AGCCAGACTAGATTAAACTGCTGAATTTCTGAATAAGGTCTGGACATTTCTCCTGTGCCTTGAAAGCATTATATAGATATATCAAATTGTTCCTCTCGATATATCAAATTAAGTCTCTCGTTTGGATGACATGACCACATGACAGGTTTGAAGGCTTTTCCGGCTTGACAGTTTGGAAGATTTTGCGACACCCCGAAAGAGCAAAACGGCTCGAAAACACAATGAAACCACTGTTTGAAACACTGAAACCACTTCCACAAAAAGCATAACGCATTTTTATCCCACACCTCACTCACTCCATAGATTGAAGAATGAGAGCACATTCTTGAAGAATGAACCTTGCTCTTCATTAAAACCTTTCTTGAATGTTTCTTCCTAACCACCGAAAATGGAGCGTTCGTGCAGCTTTCAAAGCTATTATATGAACATTGTAGTTTCTGGAACTACATCTAATATAGTGATATCGTCTGCTTGAAGCTTTTTCTGGGATCTTTAGCAAAAACAACACATCATCACCAAGAAAGCATAGAGCCCCAAGTTATCTTTGTTTGATAGAAGTTTTTCCAAATCTTTTGGCATGTTTCTCTCCAGATTTTTCAAAATACGAAATGAATGGTCTTCGAACGCGGTTGTGCGTGCAGCTAATGCATGAAAAAATGTTGATATGCCAGGAAGGTTTCTTAACACTATATCAAATTCTCACCACTTAACAGACGTATTTGAATGCTTGTACAGAAAAGTGAGCAACTCAGACTGCTTTTAGCATTGGAAATTGAATCTAGTCTTTTCCCTTTCATTGTCTTTGAGCTTCCAAAAGATTTTATGCTTTCTGACATTATTTGTTCCTCAATCTGTTGACAAGTGGCTTGCGCAAATTCATCAAAACCAATTGTTTCCAAAGCCAAGACAAACACATCGGAAGATTCTTCGCTTTCTCTTTCAGTTGTTTTGATGAGCATGATTCATTTTCATTCTGGTTGCTGTCCATGGAAGCATAAGCTTTGGGGAACCTGGTGGGATTGATGCCACATACGGTTGAAATTGTGCATTGACATCGAATTGCCAATCTCAAATGTCACGACCCTTGATGACCAGGAATATGCAGAGGCAGTCAACAATTTAGCCTCATCTTTTGCATGTGTTATAAACTTTCAAACTTTTTTAGCAAATTCATTTTTAGGCCACGTTTACATGATGCCGGTATGACTGAATCCTTAGCTTTTTTGGCCCTATTTACACTATACCGGCATGGTATCTTGACGCTTCAGTCATACAATTGCCGATGTTTTAGTTGCTGCCCAATTTTGCGTTTGACATTGTTTGAAGAATTCTTTCACCATTTCCCAGTTCTGCCTGGTCTTATCCAGAAGCGTCTAGGCTATCGTTTTTTTAAACCGTCGGTATTTTTCGAAAATCAATTCACTCGAACGCCTTTTATAGTGAGTAGTTTTCTCGAGATGAGTTGTATATTAATTTGTAGGAGCGCAGTAATTATAGGAAGGGTTGCCCTTCATCAGTGCTGATTTTTAAGAGGCCCTCCACCTAAAAAAATGAAGGAAAAATAAATTAACCTAGTTTCAATTTGATAAATACAAGCTGCAAATTACAATAAAACCCTAATTTAATCTGAATTTAGTAATTTTAAATAAACATCAACGATAAAAAGATCAAATAGTTAAAGCCTTTTACAGTTGAGCAAGAGATAATAAAAGTTGCTCAGAGAGGATGCCTGTTTGCACTCATTCCAAGACCTAGCATCTTTAAATGAGATGCATTTCTGTCCGTTATTCGCGTTTTTCTTAAGTAGTCTTAAGTCAGTTGATATATTCCTTATATTCCTAGAAGTTAAATTGGACTTTTTGTAAAAAGATTACACGTGTATTGTTTAGCCACTAGTAATAGCACTATATTAGACTGGTAATAAGCTCATCTATAGACCCACTATATTAGACTCACTGGTAATAAGCTCATCTATGGCCCTCAAGCCAAGCTTCCTTATGAGTTGCTGTCCCGGTGCATCAAAACTGCTGCCAGAGACAATAGCGATAAACTAGTTAAGGCCAACTATACAAAATATATTCAAAAGTTATTTTGAGTTATTCTGCCATTTATAAAGCTATTTTTCATCGTGTGCATGGTCATTATTGATGGCCTCATTCAGCTGAGTGATATCATGCGATTGATGGCAAAGACACGTGTCATCAGCATGCATTGACACGCTTTCTGTACTGCTAGTGGGAGGCCATTGATATAAATGTGGAATAGAAAGGGTCAAGACATGAGCCTTGGGGTACACCAACACTTATTGCCATAATTGATGAATCAACACCGTTAGCTCTAGAATATTGCATCTCGTTGTAAAGGTATGATTTAAACCATTCTTACGGCTGCTGCTGAACACCAAAAAGCTCTAGCTCTTTGCATAGTGTGCCATGGTCAGCCGTGTCAAATGCTTTTCAGCGTTCTCAATGAGAGATAAGGCAGCTTTAGGAAATAGCAGGAGATATTGTCATTCCTAAAGCTTCTTGACGTTTTAGTTTTTAGAAATTGCATCCCTAAATTTCCTGCACTTCTATCATCTTAAACTTGACCTTGTTATTAGTATTATCGAAGTTCATAAAAAAGTGGATAAGGAAAAGCTTCGAAGTTTTCACCAATTGTACAGCAAACAATTTTTCGTACCTGAGATTTCTTTTATGTTAATTATTGCATTGCCTGAATCTTTGATACAATCAATATTGCTAGATTGTGATCTTTTGTTCAGGAGTTCATTAATTGTTTTCCAAGTTTCCTTCATGTTTCCTTTGTATTCAGAAATTTTTGTTTCAAAGTATTGCCTCTTAAGCTGAATATTAAGGGAGTTCACTTTATTTCGAGCTTGTCTGTATGAGTCCATAAGATTTGGTGACTTTCTTTTAAGAGCAGCATTTTTCAGCCTGTTCCTGTTAATCATCAGACCCTTGAGATGATTGTCAATGCAAGGGCAGTATTTATCTGAAAGTGTTTTTAATAAAAAAACATGAATGACTAATAATTGGCAAGTGCATTTATATCATTGCTTAGTTGGAACACATGCTCCCAACACATGTCAGAGAGATCGAACAGATATCTTGCTTTTTAAAGGTTTCTCATGCTTCGAGGTTTTATCTGTTAGTTTCTTTTTTACTGCGCCGTCGAATTTACGAATACACTATTCCATAAAATAATCACTTAGAGAAACTTCATGAACCTCTGCTTAAACAATGTTCCCAGCACATGTAGTGGCAATGTGATAAATGATTGTTGCTGTTTCAAGGGTGACCCTTATTGGTTCCTCCACAAGCTGCTTGAAACTAAACAGCTCACATAAACTTGTCATGTGTTTAGCATTGTTATCTTTGTCATGTGTTTAGCATTGTTATCTCGCAATTTGTTTCACCAAAGATAATCATTTCCTTCCCTTCCCTATCTAAGTAAGCAAGGACTTTTTCCAGCTTATCGAAGGAACCAACAGGGCAGCCAGGTGGTCGATGACACGCAACTACCAGAAATGGCTTTCTCATTCATTTCTCATAATTTTGTTTGTTAGGCAGGGTAGCGGCTGTGGAAATCTGATTTCTCACCTAAACGAGATGGTCTCGACGGTTTTATATACTTTCGCGTATGTAGACTCAGAATCCAAGATTGGACCAAAAGATTTTGCCTTAGTATCACGTTATTGATGAAGCAATCTATAACGGCAAAATCAGTCATAAATCCGCTGTTTAGCAATTGTGTGTATTTTATGAATGTGAATTTCAAGAGCTTTCAATTGATTCACTTTAGTTTACAGACGTTTGTTTATTTTGTGACGTCATTAGTGGATTCTCCCAAGTTTTGCCACAACCTTTGTGCTGATAACTGAAAATATGCTGATCCAAATATTTTTCATGCTTTTCAGCATTATTTGACTATGCTTGACGCTAATAAGTCATCATAATAATCATAATGCACTTGTGTGGTGCGATAGCAATGACGATGACGCTAATAAGTCATCATAATAATCATAATGCACTTGTGTGGTGCGATAGCAATGACGATAAAGCAGTTCCTTAACAGTGCGACACTATACCTGATCGCTGCAAGCTTTTTTACAAGTATTGAAACTGGATTATTTAGTTTAAATCATTTATAATATGAAAGCTAATTTCATTCCAGTGTTGAGCTAAAAGTCTTCTCTTGGCTTCTATGCATAAGTACCTGCGTGTTGGTTTTGAAAATTCCAGTGCAGCCTCCCTAATTCCTGCCGGCAGTTTTGTCGAGGAGTCTGCCACATCTTTCCTGGAACTATCTGGAAGCACAAGATGATGCAATACGAGTGGCAGAACTGGTTGTTAAGTTTCTATTTTCTTTAAGCCATATATCAATGTACTTGGCATTTTGCTGATCATGTATGTACTTAAATAAAAGCTTCATCAGATGCCAGTCTCTACGTTCCATCATTGGCAACCAGTCAATTCTAGCACTTTTTTCTCTTTGGCATAGCGGCTTGGCAGAATACCTGCAGCAGAATTGTTAAACCTTTTGCAAACCTTTTAAGTTTCAACGGAAGAGGTCGAAATAGAACGTCAGTATAGTCCACATTGGACGTAACAAGAAGCCCAGGTGGAACGAGTTTTCTCTGATTTATGCTAGTACGGACGTGGTATAGATCTATGAAGCTGTTACATTGGCTATATGGTAGCCCCATGATAGATGATAGCTCAATATTGCAACAAGCAATTTACTAAGTGTTCTTGTTCAAGACCCATTCCCCCAATCTGAAGAACTTGATTGCAGTCTTAAAGACTGTAAAGACATAATTTTGTTCGCCGCCAGCGACTAAAAGCAGAAAATAGCAAGCTTTCGGGGCAAGAAAACAAATTCTGCTTGATTTGTCTCTTTAATTTGAATGGAACGAGTTTTCTCATAGATTTATGCTAGTACGGACGTGGTATAGATCTATGAAGCTGTTACATTGGCTATATGGTAGCCCCATGATAGATGATAGCTCAATATTGCAACAAGCAATTTACTAAGTGTTCTTGTTCAAGACCCATTCCCCCAATCTGAAGAACTTGATTGCAGTCTTAAAGACTGTAAAGACATAATTTTGTTCGCCGCCAGCGACTAAAAGCAGAAAATAGCAAGCTTTCGGGGCAAGAAAACAAATTCTGCTTGATTTGTCGGTCATAAATTGTTTTCAAGACACATAGAAACAGTTGTTCAATTTGCCAAGAGGGAGGTCGCAGCAATTTTCTTCGATCAATCCAAAACTAATCCCACATAGCATACAAAACCAAACACTATAGAATACGGATTAGACACTGTAACCTTTAGATGTCAAGAAGCATGGAACTCAATTCCCACAGAAATCACCTCAAGCTCAAATATAAAAACCTTTTAAGCAAGTATCAAAACTATGTCAGTGATATTTTGCTCATGCCGCATTTGTAAACCATTTATAGGACAAGTAGGCTATAATCTTGTTGCGTTCTTAAATTCGGTAATTGTTAATATATTTAGTTGGTTTTAATTAGCTTTAGTATAGCTAGTAGTGTACGTTTACCAGCTCAAAAAGAAAGTGAAAAAAAGATCATATTTCTTCTTATTCGTTTCCTTCTTCGAATTATAATAAAGTCTGCCAATCCTTGCATATGTTTCGCTTTACAATTTCCTATGCTTCTACTACCAGAGAACACGCGTGTCGCGGGTGCTAAACATTCAGAGGGGGTTTGTATGGACTTTACCCGCATGTTCTTGGTTTATTGAGAAAAGCTGACCAAATTGGGCCTGAAATGCGACAAATCCTGCCTGATTAAAGGGTCTGCAGCACTCCCAGTCTCATTTGTCTCACTTTGCCTGTCTTTCCCGTGTGGCAAAATGCTACTGTGGGTTTTCCGTTCTGTTCAATCAATGCTCGGTATGAAATCAAGACCAAAATAACGGACCAGCGCAAAAAAGTGCGGGCAAAGAAATTCAGTCGCGAACAACAAGAATCGCCGTCGCTGGCGACAAAAATCGCTGGTGTGCGCTAGGCTTTAAACAATGCTACCGTCTCAACATTCTTATTATCGTTTGATTCTCTCCGCTATGACCTCTTTTCTTTAGGCAACACTCTCAACATGAGAAACTTTTGTTTCGGATCATGCTTCTGTGCTCGCCTTTCTTTCTTGGCACAACCACGATGTTGGTACGTCTGCTAAAGATGGATTCTGTACCTTTGTTATTGAAAACTTGAGAAACTTGGAAGAATCTTTGAGCACTGAAAATGTGAATTGTTAAGAAATTTTCAGTACCAAACTTGCTTAAATTCTTAGTTTCTTATAAAAAAATTTCTATTGAACTTCATACGTGCGATGATTGAATCCTAAAATATATACAAGCTCATTTCAGTAAGTCGTTTGGCTAAGTGAAATGATCTGTGCTTTTGATGTCGTAAACTGCAGTTTGATCCCGATAATGTTGCCCTATCAGCCATGGCCTATTGAATAAACATACAAGGCTACATGGCTCTCACAAGGTATACAGAACCGAACAGAAGAATCAACTGCCTTGGCTACGGTAAAGATCTCCAGGGGGAAGTTTCAAAAGTCACCGCTCACATAATTGAGTCGTTTGGCTTAGTGAAATGATCTTTGCTTTTGATGTCGTAAACTGCAGTTTGATTCCGATAATGTTGCCCTGTCAGCCATGGCCTATTGAATAAACATACAAGGCTACATGGCTCTCACAAGGTATACAGAACCGAACAGAAGAATCAACTGCCTTGGCTACGGTGAAGATCTCCAGGGGGAAGTTTCAAAAGTCACCGCTCACATAGTTGAGTCGTTTGGCTTAGTGAAATGATCTTTGCTTTTGATGTCGTAAACTGCAGTTTGATCCCGATAATGTTGCCCTATCAGCCATGGCCTATTGAATAAACATACAAGGCTACATGGCTCTCACAAGGTATACAGAACCGAGCAGAAGAATCAACTGCCTTGGCTACGGTGAAGATCTCCAGGGGGAAGTTTCAAAAGTCACCGCTCACATAATTGAGTCGTTTGGCTTAGTGAAATGATCTTTGCTTTTGATGTCGTAAACTGCAGTTTGATCCCGATAATGTTGCCCTGTCAGCCATGGCCTATTGAATAAACATACAGGGCTACATGGCTCTCACAAGGTATACAGAACCGAACAGAAGAATCAACTGCCTTGGCTACGGTGAAGATCTCCAGGGGGAAGTTTCAAAAGTCACCGCTCACATAATTGAGTCGTTTGGCTTAGTGAAATGATCTTTGCTTTTGATGTCGTAAACTGCAGTTTGATCCCGATAATGTTGTCCTGTCAGCCATAGCCTATTGAATAAACATACAGGGCTACATGGCTCTCACAAGGTATACAGAACCGAGCAGAAGAATCAACTGCCTTGGCTACGGTGAAGATCTCCAGGGGGAAGTTTCAGAAGTCACCGTTCACATAATTGAGTCGTTTGGCTTAGTGAAATGATCTTTGCTTTTGATGTCGTAAACTGCAGTTTGATTCCGATAATATTGTCCTGTCAGCCATAGCCTATTGAATAAACATACAGGGCTACATGGCTCTCACAAGGTATGCAGAACCGAACAGAAGAATCAACTGCCTTGGCTACGGAGAGTGAAGATCTCCAGGGGGAAGTTTCAAAAGTCACCGCTCAAATAATTGAGTCGTTTGGCTTAGTGAAATGATCTGTGCTTTTGATGTCGTAAACTGCAGTTTGATTCCGATAATATTGTCCTGTCAGCCATAGCCTATTGAATAAACATACAGGGCTACATGGCTCTCACAAGGTATACAGAACCGAACAGAAGAATCAACTGCCTTGGCTACGGAGAGTGAAGATCTCCAGGGGGAAGTTTCAAAAGTCACCGCTCAAATAATTGAGTCGTTTGGCTTAGTGAAATGATCTGTGCTTTTGATGTCGTAAACTGCAGTTTGATCCCGATAATGTTGTCCTGTCAGCCATGGCCTATTGAATAAACATACAGGGCTACATGGCTCTCACAAGGTATACAGAACCGAACAGAAGAATCAACTGCCTTGGCTACGGTAAAGATCTCCAGGGGGAAGTTTCAAAAGTCACCGCTCACATAATTGAGTCGTTTGGCTTAGTGAAATGATCTGTGCTTTTGATGTCGTAAACTGCAGTTTGATTCCGATAATATTGTCCTGTCAGCCATAGCCTATTGAATAAACATACAGGGCTACATGGCTCTCACAAGGTATACAGAACCGAACAGAAGAATCAACTGCCTTGGCTACGGAGAGTGAAGATCTCCAGGGGGAAGTTTCAAAAGTCACCGCTCACATAATTGAGTCGTTTGGATTAGTGAAATGATCTTTGCTTTTGATGTCGTAAACTGCAGTTTGATTCCGATAATATTGTCCTGTCAGCCATAGCCTATTGAACAAACATACAAGGCTACATGGCTCTCACAAGGTATACAGAACCGAACAGAAGAATCAACTGCCTTGGCTACGGTGAAGATCTCCAGGGGGAAGTTTCAAAAGTCACCGCTCAAATAATTGAGTCGTTTGGCTTAGTGAAATGATCTGTGCTTTTGATGTCGTAAACTGCAGTTTGATTCCGATAATATTGTCCTGTCAGCCATAGCCTATTGAATAAACATACAGGGCTACATGGCTCTCACAAGGTATACAGAACGAACAGAAGAATCAACTGCCTTGGCCTACGGTGAAGATCTCCAGGGGGAAGTTTCAAAAGTCACCGCTCACATAATTGAGTCGTTTGGCTTAGTGAAATGATCTTTGCTTTTGATGTCGTAAACTGCAGTTTGATTCCGATAATGTTGCCCTGTCAGCCATGCCTATTGAATAAACATACAAGGGCTACATGGCTCTCACAAGGTATACAAACCGAACAGAAGAATCAACTGCCTTGGCTACGGAGAGTGAGATCTCCAGGGGAAGTTTCAAAAGTCACCGCTCACATAGATTGAGTCGTTTGGCTTAGTGAAATGATCTTTGCTTTTGATGTCGTAAACTGCAGTTTGATCCGATAATGTTGCCCTATCAGCCAGGCCTATTGAATAAACATACAAGGCTACATGGCTCTCACAAGGTATACAGAACCGAGCAGAAGAATCAACTGCCTTGGCTACGGTGAAGATCTCCAGGGGGAAGTTTCAAAAGTCACCGCTCACATAATTGAGTCGTTTGGCTTAGTGGAATGATCTGTGCTTTTGATGTCGTAAACTGCAGTTTGATCCCGATAATGTTGCCCTATCAGCCATGGCCTATTGAATAAACATACAAGGCTACATGGCTCTCACAAGGTATACAGAACCGAGCAGAAGAATCAACTGCCTTGGCTACGGTGAAGATCTCCAGGGGAAGTTTCAAAAGTCACCGCTCACATAATTGAGTCGTTTGGCTTAGTGAAATGATCTGTGCTTTTGATGTCGTAAACTGCAGTTTTGATTCGATAAATATTGTCCTGTCAGCCATAGCCTATTGAATAAACATACAGGGCTACATGGCTCTCACAAGGTATACAGAACCGAACAGAAGAATCAACTGCCTTGGCTACGGTAAAGATCTCCAGGGGGAAGTTTCAAAAGTCACCGCTCACATAATTGAGTCGTTTGGCTTAGTGAAATGATCTTTGCTTTTGATGTCGTAAACTGCAGTTTGATCCCGATAATGTTGCCCTATCAGCCATGGCCTATTGAATAAACATACAAGGCTACATGGCTCTCACAAGGTATACAGAACCGAGCAGAAGAATCAACTGCCTTGGCTACGGTGAAGATCTCCAGGGGGAAGTTTCAAAAGTCACCGCTCACATAATTGAGTCGTTTGGCTAGTGAAATGATCTTCTTTTGATGTCGTAAACTGCAGTTTGATCCCGATAATGTTATCCTGTCAGCCAATGGCCTATTGAATAAACATACAGGCTACATGGCTCTCACAAAGTATACAGAACCGAACAGAAGAATTCAACTGCCTTTGCCTACGGTGAAGATCTCCATGGGGAAGTTTCAGAAGTCACCGCTCACATAATTGAGTCGTTTGGATTAGTGGGATGATCTGTGCTTTTGATGTCGTAAATTGCAGTTTGATTCGGATAATGTTATCCTGTCAGCTGTGGCCTTCAATCCATTTGAAATAAAGCCGTTCACAATTTTTAGAGTTAAAAACTTGCTTTGCTATTAGGATTCATTCCAATAGATTTCTAATAACAGCAACTTTACGTAATAAAAATATCAACATTGAACGAACAATTGTGGGACTGACCAATATAAGTGTAATACAGCGGTGATACTTTTCCTGATAAAATGATATAAACACATGCATGCTATAGTTATTAACAGTTGGGAAGCAAAATGGAAAGCATGATTCTCTACAATTTCGACTACAAATATGAAAATTTGAGAAGAAAACAATAAAAAATAACTAGTTAACTAACTGATCTGACAGATAACTTTAAAAATAATAAAATGATTAGACAATTCGTGTATCCACATATCTATTTATCCATAAATCTATGATAGTGAACAACTTGAATCGTAATAACTGCAAGTAGCATCAGAACAAAATCAGCAAGGGAAAAAACAGTATTTTCAACCGCATTAGCAGGAAAAGACAACAGCTACCTGCAATTATCGAGTTTGTAAACAAGTTCTGTAAACCGACCAGTATTCAGATAATCAGGTGAAATTGTCAATTTGGCAGTTCTGGTATCTTCACCTTGCCTAACTAAGACTTTCATATCAAGCAAGGCTTCAATGACATGGATTAGTCCTTTGAATGAGACATTTTCACCTGAAAAAAGAATTAGCTAATTCATATAACATACCAATGCAGGTCAGTAAGTGTTTCTACAAAAGTTGGGTCCACACTGTGAGTTAAAGCAAAGTTCAAGGTACATTTCTGGATTTTGCTGTTAACCGTTCATCGAAGAACATTTAAGTAAAAGTAAATGATAATCTATATTTGGATAAGAAATGGTCATATAGGTTTTTACAAGATCGGGTCATTTCTTCTATGGGGCTTACAACTCTTGTTGGAAATGCTATGACAGAGAATACTTCCAAAATTATGCCACTAGAAATGAAGCTTTGCCACAAGTACATTCACGTCTCCCCAAACCTCTTTGCACTATCACCTTAAAGAATTCGATACAATTAAAACTCATCTCAAAAATCAAAATTTAGCCTATTCTGGAATTATGAACCTGAAATATAAAACAGACATATTAAAAAGACATTCTGCTAATTTGATAAATCGCTTACCATGGACAGTAAGGTTTTGCTTGATTCTCAAACAAAATCTATCATACAGCTCATTGGCAGCATCAATACCTGCGAAAGAATTTATATCAGGCGTATAAAAATATGTTTATAATAGAGAAAATAATTTATTATAAGAGAAAGAGCCTTTCTTCCTAGATAAGACAACAAATATGTTCAGAAGAAATTGCAAAAAACAGTATCAAGCTGACAAAGGAACTTATTACGGGAAATTTCAATCCAAAATATCAAAGTATTACAGAAATTCACAAATCTGTGAGGTAGCAAATACTTTGATAACCACGGGGTTTTTAAACGATCTTTGATGAATATGATCGCCGTAATTCAGAGAAAATGGTGTCATGGGAAGGAGAACAAAATCAACGCATCCTTTATATAATGTTTGAAAGCAGACAAAGCGATTTCTTGTAGGGTTAGCCTTGCGCAGTTGACAAACCTTTTGGACTTTTTCCGCAATTAGTTCAAGAAATCAACCTCTTTATCCTTTTTTAGATATCATCATTAAGTTCAGAACCAAGACGCATTTAAGTCGATGCCACAATGTGGTTATTTGTCAGGGCAATTCTTGTTTCACCCGACAGTACAATTTTTGGAGTACAATTTTTGAACGTCACTTCTTTTTATTTATCTGTATGGTCAGAAATAATTTTGAAAACGGTGATGCGGTTCTCGCCCTAATCAGATTGATCCATTAGCAGAGAATCTTCCATTGGATAGAACAGCAACGCGCTAGGCCAGAGCCAACTGGGTTTGATGAATCATGTATTGATGTAGCCATGCTGGGGTCACCAGAAGAACGTGCCTATTTGTTTCATCCAGTCAATAAATTAATGTTTCGCTTTATCGTGTCTTTAAAAAAAAGCTTATCTATCAATGATGAGCAAAAAGCCGTGGAAACTCCAATGAGATTGCTTCATAAATCTATTTGTTGTTTGAGTGGCTGATTGCCTGTCCTTCGCAAGAAATATCGCTATTGACTGTCGATTTCAGGGAGCAGAAATTGCAGTTGATGAAACTGTCATTGCTGAAACTACTACCGATGGAAGAAATTAAAAGTTGAATATTACGCATACATGAAACTTGATTATCAAAATTCATCACAAGCAACTGACATAATTCATTCCCTAGAAAACTGACAGCGGTAACTGCAACGGTCGCACCCGTTAGACCCGCCCCTTTCTATTACATCCATTGTTTACCTCACCAGTAAGGCCGCAATAGTTATGCCTCGGTGGATTCTATACGTGGTTTTATGAATCACCACAAGTAAAAAAAAGAAAAACAGGTGCAAATGAGCAACTCACAAGATCTGTCTTTTTTCAATATATCAGGCAAAGAACTACCACAAACCAAGCTGCTTCTAAAAATGGGGCAACTAATGATTGCAGAAAAAGAATATCATCCTTTCTGTCGTCTAGAAGGTTGACCTATGGAGAAATAGTTGTTAAGATGTGAGTGCTTTATTCAAACTGTAGAAAAATCATTTTGACAGGGGTATACAGGTCAGAGGTTCGAAATTATTGACAAAATCTTATTGAAGATGGCATTAAATCAGTTTCATAATACACTTTTAGTCACTAGAAAAGGTACAACTGAGCCCCTTATACGATCAAAACGTATAAGAAGTCAATGCAAGAGAGGGAACTTGTCATGGGCCAGCAGCTCCATAAGTTATGGCGGCCTTTCCTTACTACCTTTCACATCCCAAGGCCCACGTTATCGGGGGGCCGGGGTGGCCATGACCTCCCCCCCCCACACGTTAAACTTCGTGGCATGGACCCTTATCCCCCGTCTTTCCGCCGATTACCAATTAGCTATTTGATGAGCGTGAGACGAGAGTCTAATTCACGGGCTGAGCCTCGGCTCTAGCCGTCTGACAAAAATCGAACAAAGCGATGAGAATCTCAGTCTAATCCAAACTGACCAGAAGGAAATATTAGTCTTGAAATATTTGTTTCAAATGTATACTTAAATTGCGTCCCTCTTCGTTACCATAAATTCATCGGTGTTTGATTAATGTCAGAGGAAATCAAAGGAAGTGAATCACCTCATAGGAAACATCGGTCTTCGTTTCGTACCAGCCATTGTAGACGCCGTCATCATATTCCTCCTCAAAATCAAAATGGTTTCTCGTGTCAATCGCTGTGGTATCCTGTCAAAAAATGACATGATTTATGTTGAGATACACCCGTTAAGTGAGATCTAACAAGGTTGCGAAACATTTTACGAATTGAGAGCAGAAGGAGACACATAACGGACACTTGTGAGAACCTTGAAAGGAATTGATTTTCCCTAACAAATATTCTGCTCGGAAAATTTATATTCGAGTAAAAAGTTCTTCTTTACACATGCGATCTTAAGCAAAAACATTCCAAATAGCAGGGTAAAAATATTTTACTTATTCATAACCGAGGAATATTTCCGAAAAAAGGCCACAAGGGCAAGAATTATAAATATTTTTTTACTTAAAAAGCTGTATAAATGAGATTATTCAAACAATTCGAGAGTAAAGGAAGGTATTAAAAGCAAACTAAAACAGAGGAAAACAATTGAGGTTTTGCAACTCGTACCTTGACGATCACTAACAGTCCCGACGCAATGAGAGAATCCAGCGCGTCGGATAGCATAGATGGAATGTCACAACATGGCTGAAATTGTAGAACATGATTTTTTGTTACAACATGATCGACAGAGAGTGGTTAAGCTAAATATACAGAAAGTTGTTAAACATAAATTGCCAATCACAAGCAGTGAACTGACAAATGAAATGAACTGCGGTAAGAAAATGACAAATTCAACTCAGCTCAATTCAATTCAATCAACCCAATTCAATTCATTAATGAAACAAATTTCAAAGTAACGATGCAGATAACTATGTTGAAAAGCTAGATTTCGTTAAGCATGGCCATAATGCCACATTTCTTTAGTGGAATAATTGTTCAAAGGCATTATATAAGGTACCAATCTTTGCCAAAGAAAGCTGGACAGGAAATAAATAAATGGTTCTATCCACAGGAACTGCTTAAAAATTCATGAAGAGTTTATTTCAGTTTGCCACAGCATTGAAAATGGGGCTACAACAATGCATAGTCTTGTTTACAATTGTGCTGTAATATTTTTCAAAGAAAACGACTCAAATTAGAAGCGACGTTCCAAGCAACAAAAGAAGAACTTGAACTTACCGCAATGAACGCGTACTCCTTCGTGGCAAGCTGACAGAGACATTCTGCCAGTGAAAGAACCTTGATTTAAACAGGTAGTGGGTGTCAGATAAAAATACGGCAAATTGGAAGGTAATGCAAGAAAATATAACGTTTTAAATGGAGACTTTCGAAAATTGAAAGCATATTTTCGTAACTTTGCAAACAGAGATTGCTTTTCCAGGCCCTATACAAGATACTTGGAGGGACCATATAAAGATTTGCTGTCATTTATATCAAGCGAAAGTAAAAGGAGCAAATCAAATACATCACGCCATATCATTCAATAGTAAAAAACCTGCAGATTTTAGTAATTGCTGCGCGATTTTTGGCACGCATGCTGTCTACAGCTTTCACATTTTCATGACATATAAAATGCATAAACTCAGGAGAATCTATTCTTAGTTTCCAAGGACATAAAGTACTTTCATTTATTTGCTTACAACTGGAACACAGACATTAACAACAACAGTAACGAAATCAGACGACATCCAGCGAGTCAGTTTACAGATGAAAGCTTCAGGTGTAATCGAAATAAAAACGATTACACCCGAAGTCGTCTTTATTAGCCACCTACAAGCTGCGAAAGTAAAAATTACTTTTTACAAATCCATATGTAGAAAGTAGATAAAGCTGGCGAAAATAAGATAAGAAATAACGATAAACAATAAATTTTGTCTTTATCTAAAGGAAATAACTAACCGCAAACTGAAGTGATTTAATCTAAGATAGGACCTCACTAACAACTTAATCGCTAAGAAGGCAGGAAATCAAGACCTTCACCAAGACAAAAAAGCACGTACACGCTCGGGTCAATTGAATTTTACCAACATTGTTTAAAAATAAATGGGCCGTTTGACAGAAAACAAGATTGCCTGCTCTCAATTGTATTATAACTGCCCAACTGCTTGAAAGCACGCAATGAGCAGATGTCCATTATCTCATTGCTGTACTTTTTTAGCTGCTCGTTTTGAGTACCATCAGTAGACTTCAAATTTCTGCAGTTCTTTTTGTAACAATCTCTATTTTTTTCATTGGCGTCACATGTTGAAACTCATCACTTTCGCCAGTTTCTTCAATAGAGTTTCTCTCCTCATTGTTTGCATTATCTCCTTTCAACGCTATTGCAGTTTGCTACTGTTTACATTCGCAATGCATTTCACAATCAGTACGTCCCTTCCCCGTACAACTTTTTTTAGAAGAATCGCAAATTGATGTATAAAATATTAATCTCATACTTGATGAAAAGAGGATATGCACCAGCAAAAAGATTGAGCTTTTGCAATTCAGCTAATAAACTCTTTGCTCACTAGACGTGCTGATGTGCGCTCCAAATAATTTGCTAAGGTTTCAGAAGCATCAAGCTAGAAAAACGTTGCAACTTTATCCTCAGCAAGTCAAACAAGACAAATATCCATCTATCTGTGCCATTGATGGCTTCTTCAATGTTCCTCCCTTCTCGCTTGCACGAAATATAGGAAAAACGGAGTACAGTAGCAAACATTCTTTTGTACAGCCAGTTTTAATCGAGGTTTTCTAGGCCTGCACTAGGCCGATAAAAAATCATTTTGGATTTCATTCACTCTGCTGGGAAATTTAGCTGTATGGATTGAATGTTCAGTAGCAAAAACAGTACTTGGACAAACTTTTTGGACACACTCAGCTTAAATATCATTATAATTATTTCATCATTAATGTAACGAACTCTTCATTAATGTCTTTCACTAAGAAAGGTTCATTTTCTCAGTTACAGTAAATAATAATAAAACGCTATAGAAGTTACCTCAATTCTTGAAACACTCTCTGGCAAACGTTGATCAGTTCGGATAAAATCTACTCCACCACAGACACCAATAATAGAAGAAGCTAAAAGAAAAGACCTCATATTGATACCAGGAATGGAAACTAGCCAAAAATAAGAAAACATGTATGAGTAACTAAAACTGAACACGTTTCAGTTAACTACTATTTGCAACTATTTGCATATTTTTTCCAAAAAAATCTCATAAAAAACCCTTTGGTTTGATCTTGAACTTTGGGATGTTTCATATATTTTGACAAACCATCTCCCAGCATCTATCGATAGGCCTTTGAATGCATACTGGCAAAGATATACCTCTAAATGAATGATTCTTCAAAAAGCCTTTGTCGTAACCTTATTCAATAACTAACATGAATCACAGATGCATAGAAAAATCCCTACCCATTATGGCCTTTAAGATGTACAGCATCATCACCTAGAGTAACCAAAGAGCGGAGTTAAAAACAAAACGGAAATAGAAACTTTTAATAATATTTTGAAACGTCATTCATTGCTCATTCCAATTTACCATGTTCTACCACATGGGAGGAAAATCCCCATCAATGACTAGCAGTACCCTAACACAACAGCAAGCAGCTTCGTAACACAACACACAAGCAGCCTCGTAAAAGAAAACATGAAAAATGCAAGTTATGAAAATTAAGCACCTCACGTGAATAGTCAATCAGGCATTGACGCCTTTCTGGGCAATCAATAGCTTTGATCGTAGTTAGAGTGTTTGATCCTTCGGCTGCAGTATTCATTTCAATAAGGCCTTGGTTTTGAAGCATGCGCAAGGAATAACTGACAACATCTGATGTCAGTCCATCAAATGCAAGATATCTAAAAAGACAAACATAGTTATTTGCTTTGAAGCAGTATCGAGCAAGCTATTAACCAACAATGTGTAACGTTTTAGGATTTGTAATCTTCCATTACTATTATACTATTATTACTATTACCACCATGTTAAGATATATTCTTTGATTCTGTTGCGTGTTAATGTCACATGTTTGTTTGGCGAAAAATCTACGAAGGAGTATCTCTTGTGTTCTATCTATTTGGAGCTTAGGCCCGTTGGGTTAGCCTAGCCCATTGGTTCAACTATGCTACAAAGACACCGTCTTAAGAAGAACCCTTATCGTTACAAATGAAATATCAACAATAAAGATGTCAATAAATAGCCTGAAATTCTCAATGCTTTGTTACGAATTTATAAAAACAGTTTATTCTTTAAAGATTGGTCAAAGAGAAAACATAACACAGATTTCATCAGTTAATTAGAAATCGCAGAATCCAACTACGGAGCAAGTTTCCCACGGCGAACAGAAACACTTCAATGAAAACTAGTCTTTGGAGGTCAAAGTAATAGATCTAAAATACTATGGCAGCGAAAAGGGGAGGTCCATGACATAAAAGCATAAATAATTCAAGCATGCAATTTACTTAAAATATGTCATTGACATATAAACCTTTTCCAATCAATAATCTCATTTCTCAGCACTTCGAAAGAATTTTCCAAAGCTTCGATTGAAGCACCAGATTTATGCTTGGTGATGAGAAGAAAACTGACAAGGCTTGTGCAGCAGAATAAGACAACACGGTTGCAATCTACGGCGAAAAGTTGATTTTATAGATTTATGGAAACGCTGTACGCAGATAACAACAGGCACTGGGTGCAATGTAAATCATTTATAGCAACCAAAAGGGACGTATTAGGCGTAGCTTTGATAAACTGGACAGCGCCCCTAGCTCTATACTTAAAGTAGCGGGGAAAGAATTCAGGGATTCGTAGATTTAGTCCTTAAAGGCATTTGACACAGGTAAAAGTGGCTAACAGCCACTCGACCACGAGCGGTTGACCAAATCAAATTGCGCACAGAGAAAAAACGTGAACAGTTTCCGCCTTTCTGCAAATCGGTGAAATCCTAGAGCAGCGCGCAGCGGTTTCATGTGAGCAGTTTCCAATTCATTTTTTGTGCGCGTGCTTTGATCAATTTGGCCTAAGTTATTTTTGGATTCGCTGTACTTATTCATGTAAAATGCCTTTAAAAAGATGATGGCCCTGGCCATCTACATTATATTTCTTGCCAGAAATACAGAATTATAGATTCTGGGTGGGTAAAGATACGTAGTTAAAATATTGTTTCGAGCTAATCGCGTTAACATTACCGGCAACAACATGCTGAGTTAGAGAATCAGTCACTTCTTTTGTTGACGTGGCTGTATACAAGCCATTATAATCGGGCATACTCTCTTTGGGTAAATCGCTGTTTCTCGATGGGAATCTGGCTTCTCTCGTACAAAAATCCTGAAAACCAACCAAACAAATAATTCACAAGGAGACATCAAATTTGGTATAATCTAGCTTTGACACAAGGAGCAAAGAGAAACCACACTAAACTGAAGGATATGAGCCTCTTTGATATTTCATAAGCTAAACAAAAAGCGTAATTTCATCGTTGAAAAGCGTGAATAAGATAATAGACAAGACACAAAACAAATATCAAACACAGACTCGCATCTAAAAGACCTTGACCAAACCATTTCGAATTTTCTCTCAATTCTCTTGTAGGGGTATATTTCAAAAAGGTGAAATCCAAGAAAAACATCAATAGATAGAGCTTGAAAACTTTTTAGAAAAAAAGCTATTTGTCTAGACCCCCGAAAAACGTTCTTCGTTTCTAGGCATGATAGCCCTATACGTACTCAATATTTACATTTCAGTGAGGAGCCACAGTAATATAAATCGTTGAATACGAAAAGATAAATCAACAATTTCTTTTATCTTGTATTGAAATGTCAAGTTGATGATAAAATATGTTGACTCGTATTAAAGTAAACACAGCATAAAAAACTGATGCTAAAAAGAATAAGGAAACGAAGTAAATTGGAAATAAGAGATACTGCATTTTATATACAAAACCATCTACCTGCAACGAAAATGGTACGCCAAAACAAACATGGACCATTCCATTCAGTCGGCTTCTAAATCCAAACCATAAGGATTTGAAGATATTCCATGTTGCTATTGACTTTACTTGCTACAAATTGAAAATCTCTCCTAGAAGCTTTAATACATATGGAAGTTAAATGTATGATAAACACAGGCTTATAATACGTGTACGTCGTTATGTTGCAGAGTGCTTGATACCTTAAAGACAGAGCTGCACAGGCTAATGTGCTTCGAGATTCGTCTGAATTCGCTAAGAAAACAAATACTGTAATTAAATTGAGGGTAACGCCAGTCATTAGAGAATGTAGTCCATGATGATGATGATTGAAGTATTGAAGTTTTTGGCAATAAATTGCGCCTGTATTGTCGTGATCGGTGGTTCAAGATTGATATCTACATGCTCTCCGGACATCTGCAAAAGTGGAGCAAATATGATCCAAATACTGTGACATACCCTTTCATAGCAAACGTTGACTGGAACAATGATTACGTCATCAACAGCACCTGAATCAACACAAATATATTTCCACCTTACGGTTATCGAGGATTCATGATTTTGGCATTCAAAAATCAAGCACCAGCTACGTGCTTATCTTAGTGGCTCAACAATGATTTTACTTCAGTTCTACGGAGTTTCTTGAAACAAAGTTTTTCCAGAAAACAAGTAATTAAACGCAACTGTGAGTCATAGAATTAAACCGATAACACCTCGGTGAATGGACGAATTGGGGACAAGAAACATGCTAGCAAACATTGAAAATTAAGTTATCAAACTTCTTCATCAATCATATTTTCGATATAAACTTCATCACTACAACTGTGAATTGTCTGTGTCAAGACAAAAAACACTTTTGCTACATCATGAGTATAGTGTTCCTAAGTGTGACGCTATAAAACTGTTTTTAAAACTTTGAATTTTGACCACATAACCTGAAAGAACACAAAGAAATACTTCTAAACAAGCAAAAACAGTTAAAAATGTCACAAATCGGATGAGAAATGATCAATGAAAGTTCCAAAGTTTGCCAACGGGTTACTGTTACTTTGTTGAAGATAGAAATAACTTAAAATATCTAACTGTTCTCGGAATAATTTTAGAGGGTAAAAGTCTGCATTTTTGGAAGGGTGTTGAGAAAATATTTCATAATAATTCAGCAAAAAATACCTTCAGCTACCGCGTGTGTTACAACGGACAACAAAGTCGAGGCAACACTGCTAGTAAAGTCATCTGTACTGCCTTGAAAACAAAAAACAGCATTATATTTGAAGAAGAGACATAGCTGACGCACATGAATTTTTTAAGGAATAAGAAAACTAGCAAATGAGTCAAGGGCTTAGATAGCGGGGGGAGGGGGCTATGGGACTTGAGCCCTTTCCCACAGAATTTTGAATGATACATATTTTATAAAAAATAAAATTGAGAATCTCAATGATCTATACAATGGCGAAAATAAAGCCCCACCTCCCCCACATTTCGAAACATATCGCAGTCCTTGGAATAGGTTAATGATATTTTCCAATTTTCTTGTTTTCTTTGTAAATATAAATTAATAAATAAATGGAAAATGAAAGATGATATTCAAACATAACGAATGAGACGATCTATAGTCGGTCTATAATGTGATTAAAAGGCTAAGTAAGAGCTCCAACAAAAATAGAGCTATTGCATTGAAGCAAATAACTTAGGCCATAAACATGGAAGCTGATGTCGTACCAAACTAAGAATCTCACCACTTACCAACTGCAATTTGAATGGATTGGTTCTTTATTAGAAGTTCTTCAACATTCTGTAAAAAAGCAGATTGCAAATATGTTTATGATTGGACAACACTGATAAATCAAGTAATGAGAGAAATCAGTCTGTACTAGGCCTGTCCACCGAAGGTCGAATAATCGGTATTCGGTTACCTATTTCACTATTCGGTTAGCTGAAATCCAAAGCGAATATTCGGTTACAAGCGAATAGTTCGAATAGTACGATTATTCGGTTACAAACGAATAGTTCGAATAGTACGATTATTCGGTTGGAGACGAATAGTGCGAATAACCTCACTGTTGGAGGTCCACAATGATTGTTTGAATAGCCGTGACTCATCGAATAGCCATGACTATTCGAATAACCGTGACTGATCGAATAGCTGTGACTATTCGAATAACCGTGACTGATCGAATAGCATTGACTGGTCGAATAGCAAGGATTGCTCTAAAAGGGAAAGGCAACTTCCTATCTTCAATCTTCGAGAAAGTTTCATGGATACGGGCCTTCTTCAAAAATCGCAAACCCAAGAAATATTTACAAAGCGAATAAAGCAAGATTGGAGGGGGCAGGGGGAGTGGAGCCTGGGTTGCAGGTGGGGGTCATGGGGCTTTTTCAGGGCCTCAGACGAAGGGTGGCCGGGGGGCTATGGCCCTATCACTATTTTGCAGAATAATATAACTTTTCACAAAATCTTCTGTTGTGAGTGTTAAATTTTCTCTTGCCCCCCCTTTCTCCACTTCCCAACCTGTGTCGAAGCCCATGCTAGAAAGCTTTTCATTTCACAAAATGTTGGAAAACGATCCTATTTGAAGACTTACGACTATAGTTTCTCGTCAATTTGATACTGACTTTCTGGCCATTAGGGGTGACTAATGCTAGGGAAGGCTCAAGAAAACATTTATTTTTGACAAAAAATCGTTTTAAAAATTGCTTTGCAGCACACCCTTTGAAGTTACTCAAAACACAGGAAATATCAATAGGAAAACAAAAAATTAATGGTTCTAACTTATCGAATAGTAATGACTGATTAGCTATATTCACAGCTTGGTTAAATTACAATAAATTTTCAGATTGCAGTTTTTTACCACCACCCTGCCACACCCATTTTGCCACACCCATATTCGCCGAATAACCGAATATTCGTTAAATTTTAAGCCGAATAACAGAATAGGAATATCTGAAGGTTTGGACAGCCCTAGTCTGTACTGTTTGCTTTTTTGAAAATTGAGTGTAAAGTGACTTCCAAATGTTTTACATAAAAACCTTTCAAGTTCTGCAATAGTATAATAACACCGTCAAAGATCTACCTTAACATCCAGTGCAGCAAGGTAATAAAGATTATGTCAACGCACCGGGCTTTATTGACCACACACTTGATTATGACTTTCTGACATAAGACTATTTGTCAAGTAACCATAACCCCCTTTGCAAACAGGAACTGATTTCGTTTTGCTAATGTCCTGCTAGCCTATTTCTTTGAAAAGCATTTACTGGGAATATATACAAGCAAAACTACCTTTTGCAACATTATGTGATTTGCCTCGTCGGAAATCCTTTTGCCATTTTCGCAAACAAATACAGCACCCAGCTTGCGCAATATATATCTGAAATTTGAAAATTCAATTTAACAATCACTTGAGTACAAAGAGACACAATATATTTGCAGTTTGAATTAAACGCGCACTATTGTGCCTTTATTGACAAGATATTTGATTGGGGTTAGTTCGAAGTTGGAGGCTTGAAGGAAAGAAACAGTTAAAAATGGGAAGTTATCACTTTATTCAAATAATGCATTGTAAAAATGTGCATAGTAATGCAAGGATTATACGAGGATGGAGACAATTCGAGGACTAGCAGTTATAGGAAAATCTTACCTAGAAATGCGACCTCTGCATAGATTATCTGCAATAACAGAAAATTATAACATCAGATACACACAACGAAAACATTTCAAGAGTCGAAAGCATTGGATATTCTGTTTTTATTTTTGTCAATGCTCACTAACAAAAGCAGTACAAAAGAAAATCATGAGTGACTTTTGAAAATGGAAATCATTAAAAAATTGGCTCAAAAAGTGGCACAAGTCTAGCTGGAATACAAAATTGATGTCATAATTAAAATCGCGATGAAAAATGGAAATTGAAAAAAAGACTTCATCTCTAGTAGTAAAAACACTTCTAATTGGAAATTTCTTTTTATCATTCATATAGAATATTTTAATTTATGCTAACTTATACTGCACTCGATTAAACAATAAAGAAGTGATACCAAGGAGGGTTAGTGGCAGTGACTAACCCATTAGATAAAGAAACGCCACTGAATAACTATTGAATAAAAAAACAAAAATACGAGAGTTTGAAAATCAAACACTGCAAGAAATACTAAGTGTGTAATGTTTTTCTTCCTTACCAGGGATTGCTGTAAATGGTACCTGAAAAGATAAAAAAAGCACTAATTAGACAGTGCACTTGCTGTGTAAAAAACCCAAATTCCCAACATAAAACTGTTTTACTTCAAAATTTCATGGTTGTACGAGCAATCAATTCAATTCGACTTTATTCGTATACTACAGAAGAACAAGGCTACATAAATTACAATAACAGTAATTACAATAATAGAAAAAAGGTTGGTTAAATACTTCTAAACTGGAACAAGATAAGACAGCATGTGAATTGCGCTTCATTTTTCTCATATAATAATTGTAATGTTTTGACAGCATTTTTCTTTTTAGCAATAAGGTAAAATTTCTTTCTTTTTTTGTATCTTTTATAGGCTTTGAATATTTGCGCACAATTAAAGTATACTTATAAAACAGGATTAAAGCCATAGGATAATCTTTATTTTTGTCACTCAGTGTCCGCCCGTTGCAGCATACAAGCCTGCTTTCATCGCAAGCCCAGAAATCAGAACTTTTGTACATAGGTAAAAATTGGGTGACACAAATTGATAAGAGATATAAAATGAAGAAAAATGGAAACCTAAGATGCAAATATAGACCTTATGCAGTTCAACGGAAAAACGTCTTACCTTTAAATTGTTACAATACAAAGTGAAGCATATTACGACGTAATCCAAAAAGGATTTGTGCAATGGCAGGTAAATAATGGCAGTGTTTCCCTACAGTGAACAAATAAAATATTCTATGTCATGAATCGAATAAAGAATTTCTAACAAGATTGTTTATTATTAGAAATAATTGTTCTAAAGGAAAAGAGTTCCATACATTGGCAAAGCACTAAAATAGCAGATATTGGCATGAAACAAATACAGAAATATTACTTTAATTAGATTAGCTTCTTTTAATTTTGTAATTAGATTTTAGAATTATTTGTATTCGAATTAAAAAAGGTTAGAACACCAACATTTAACTGGAGCATAAAAGGACAACAAAACAAAAATCATACTTTTTCAGTCTCTTGAAGAACACGAATATCTTTGCTTTGACAACATATGCATGAAAAGATGTCTCTGAAAAACTTCAAAAGTCTCCATGATACCAACCTTTAATAAAAAAGTATGAAATAGCTTCAGAAATACCGGCTCAATACGTCGGATGATTATGGTACAACTCAGGCATGCAAAAAATTATGATCAAGGATGAAACAGTGAAGCATGAAAGTTTTCTCTCATTAAAAGCGAAAAGGTGTGACTTCAGCGGGTATGCTTGTATGAAAAAGTCCCCAGTTTTGGGTAAACAGTCTGTAGCAATGGTTGTTAGTCGATAACGGTTTTGTTGTAGGTGGGAAACGGATAAATAATCACCAATGACGCTTCACACGAATAGCTATTTAGTGTCATTAAATTCATAAAAACGTTAGAAATAACATGTATTCAAATCTCTAGAGCATTATGTTTTTTTCTAGGTAGTGGAAGATACCAAAAGCCAGGATAATGCATAAGACCTACAAATCACGATGTTTGAGTGACAAGAATTAAAATAAGCGTCTAATAAGAAAATAAAAATTTGAAATTTCGAACGACAATCTTCAGGATATGAACAAGATATGACCCTGAAAGAGGTGTATGGTCACTGATTTGTAGGAAAATGAACCCATGAGAAATGCCATTTTTCCTCTCAAAACATTCTCCGGAACTTCAAAAAAAGCTGAGTGATTAATAAAGCATTAATTTCTAGAATTTTCAATCATCTTGTGGTGCTCAAAAATAGATCTAGTACAATCAGTTGCGTAACCAATCAGAAAACATTCTCCATCCTTAGTATAAAAGGGGCATCTTTTAATAATCTTGCACCGGCTGGCTGGTCTCCAACATCACAACGATTGGACTGACTTAACGAAAAGCTACTGAAGATCAAGAACATATTTTCCATATGAACATATCAATATATCTAACTGGCTTTTATGCCATTATCAATCTAGAGCTCCTCTTAGAAATCTAGGAAATACCTTAAAACAGTGCTTGAAATACTGTACGCCATATTTTTGCAAATTGAAGTTGCATCCCTGCTTGACAAGATCTGCTGAGGACTGTCCACATCTACTGATAATAAAAAAATTACATATTTAGGAATAAAAAAATAACATAGAACTTTCAAAATGTACCAGGTTTGAATACTAAGCACTAATGATCGAATACTTCCTTAAAATGCACCTTGGGACACTTCAGTCACAACGTTCAGTCATTTCGAGGAAAATTGTCTATATATATGGCAAATAGCGATATTCTGATGAATTTTTGAACTTTGTCTTGACATCTCAAGTGCAAGCTCAAACGCATCAACATAAACAAACTACCTTCGCGCAAATCCATATTAACTGACTTCTGTGAAATGGTATTAGAAAGCCTGAAAAAGATCAAACTAACATTCAGCCTAAGCAAGATACAATATACGATATAATATACATCTGACAAATATAATGTCTGTGAAAGGAGATCGCACCAATCAAACGACCTGCAACCCGAAAGCACAACTGCGGAAGCGAGATTTTCTTGTAACAATCATTGCAAAATTATTATTAGTATTATTTATTATAAAATTATTTACAGTAGGCGGAGCAAAATTTTTTAGCTAATATAGCAGCTAATTAAAGCCTACTATTTATACTACAAGAAGCAACCTTTGCAATGATTTAACAAAGCTGTACGGTTCTAAGTTGCTACTCCAAGTTTTAACTTAAATGGGTTCATCAGGTAACAATACTCATTGCATTTCAACTTTTATTCACCCACTAAGGAAAATGGCTTCATGTCTTACCAATCAATGTTCTCCTTTTTTACAGTTTGACAAGGATAGGAATGCATTTTTCTTGAAAATATGAAATTCACATCGGGTGCCAATAGCCCAAGAAAATAATTCCTGATAAAAAAACAAAGGACTCTAAAAACACATTTCTAAAAGACACAAACAAATTTGCAGATAAAGTAAAAATTACTTTATAAAGAGGTCAGCCACTGAACACACATCATTCTATTTTATCTATGATCAAAGTTGTAGGAGAAAATTTTATGCCACGTTTCTTTGAAGAAGTTCAACATTTGCAAGCAAATTTTTTTGGTATTATTTACATGCAACAAATGAGATAAGACAAAAGAAATAAGGATTTCGTCCCAATTAAACAAGAACGAAAAAAGCAAGAAATTCAAGGAGTTGATGACCTGCAGAAATCTGCAATGGTGACCCTGATTTGCTCAAGGACAATCCTACTGTTGTAGCTTAGTTTGAAAAAACACATTCTGGCAAGTGCCAAGTTAAAAGCCATGACATATATGTACTGATTTATTAGTCAATGGAAATTTGGAGGATAATAATGGAACTTTTTAGAAAAAAACAATTTGGAAGTTTTGATTTATGTCTTTCGTCAATGACATTGTCAATTAAAGGCGGCTTTTTTTGAGGTCCAGCCATAAAGTCCAGTTTTTGTGGGTAAGCTTTTGGAAAGTAAAGCCTCTGTAAGAGCTCATCTAAGTTTTTTTCGTCTGTCACTCTTCAAAGTATAAACGTCGGATAAGGGTCGGACTGAGGTCAGACAAATCTATGGCATTGCTAGTTCCAAAGACAAAATTTGCATCTCGTGGGGACAGAGCATTTTGTACTGCAGCCCCTAGGCTCTGGAACAAACTGCCCGTTGAAATTAGAAGATCTCAGAGCGTCCAAACTTTCAAAACAGGATTAAAAACGTACTTATTTCATAATTATTTTAACATGTGAATGACATTTCTAGCTTTACTTTCTGTAAATTAAGGTTTTTTAACACTGTTCAGCGCTTTAGAATATATGTGTATAGATTTTAGCGCTCTATAAGTGCATTGTTATTATTATTATCATTAAGGGCAAAGGTAAGTAGAAAATTATATCTAGATGGGGAACGGAATTAACGAGAGAGGAAAAATGGCGCGGTCGATTGGTTGTTTGTTTTTGACAAACCACAGCTGCTAATCTCCTTATCAAACCTAAAAGCCTAGTTTGATATGATATGTTTCAGCTCTTTTCTGTCTTCTTCAAATTTTGCGGTACCAAAGGCTTATTTGCCCATGAAAGTCATGGTAAGCCCATTGCAGGTAAAATTCGTTTACCTGTGTTTGTGTATAGTAACATCCAAAATATTTATCAAGCTGGATGGAGTAGACAAGCTCTTTAGGTTCGGCTGTCCTTGATAAATTTTCTACAATAAATAAGACAGAAGAAGATTCAAAACTCCTTTCATCTGAAAAAAACGAAACCTCTTAATTTCAAGTAGAGCAATTTTGGATTCTCATAGCTGGTTAACAAAAAATAACAAGTAATAACTTGAGGCACAGTTAACCAAGTCAACCACAAAAATTAATATAGAACTTTCACTATAAAAATTATGAATATAAGGAATGATTTGAACGGAATACAAAAATTAGAGTGCACAAATTTTACATAAACAGGGGTAGAACCAAACCTTCCATACTGACCTGACATTGGTGACATTGATACATTTGATATGGTTCACATGGCACTTTCAAAATAGGAGCAATCAACTTGAATTTCTTTTTAGCAGAATTTTGTTCCAAAGATAGCCAATACTGTTGTGAAAAATATATCAATAAGATGTATTATTCCAATTTTGCACTATAGTGAATAAATATGAAAAAGGAAGAACTGATACAATATTGGTGTGTGATTCCTGCCTGTTTCCTAGATTTCACTTGATAGCTGAGGCAAGCAGGGTGCTAAAAAAGCCTTTTTGAGCTGAGCAAAATTATTATTAATTAAATTAATAATTAATTAACAAAATTAGTAATTGATTCAAATGAATATCTTAGGACATGTCAACAGTTTAAAAAAGCAGAAGCAGGCAAATCATGACAATGGTAATCATAGGTCACCTTATATTGACAAAGCCTATTTTCAAGTAACTAGGCAATCTGCCTTGAAAGATTACAATAAAACAATACAATACAATACAATACAATACAATACAATAAACAGTCAGGTTCACAAGATTAGAAATTTCCTATAAAGTATAAGGCACTTTGCTTTTGTCACTACACAAATAAAAACAAATAGTAGCAACACACAGAGAATGCTTACAAAAAAAGCTTTGGTCTTGTTGACCAGTACCAGATACTAGAAAAATCAGGTTCATTTATGCTCATTTCTGTCGACGTCTAGGTCGACGTCTAAGTTTTGAAGTTTGAAAAACTCACAGAAAAAAGGGGGAAAATTGCTTCAAATCTCGCTGCACTCAAAAGTGCATTTGTAGCTTTTCTACTTTCCAAGAATGCCCAAATTGAAAAGAGACCTATTTTTGTAACTGCGCTTAGGAATAAATAAAAAACTGCTATATAAAATTTACATGCATATTGTGGCAGAAATAAACAACGTATTAAGTCCTAGAGAGGCAATGACAAATAGCCTTATGAGTTACTATAACCGTTCAAAGGAAAAAACTGTTGTGATTCTGTATTTCTTTTTGGGAGTATTCTTGATCATGACTACATTGTGACTATTTTTTCAATGGTTGATTCAAAACATGGCTAAAGCAACCTGTTCTTCAATAACCATGGCTAAAATTATTGGTTTAGAATCGTACTAAGAAGCACTCTCTTCTTGAATAATTTTTAAGGGTCGAGAGAGCTCCTCTCGTTGAAATTTCCCTACACACAATTTGTTTTCAGTCACATTCGTTATTTGAAAAACGTATTAATTCCATTTTGGGTCCTGGGTATGACGTCAAACTACACAACAGGGTGATTTGCAAACACGTGTTGACTAAAAGTGGCTTCGAAACAGGGATTCCTTAACCCATGGCAACCACCCAATAACATTGAAAATAGCAAAATTTCAAGCAAAATTTGACAACATAAATATTAGATCCCGTGCAAGTCAGGATGGTTCTGAAGGTAAGTTCAATCACCCACCATGATCAGGGTCGACACTCGTACGACTCATGCAAGAATTGAAAATTCACGCTAACTGATTAAGATAAACCGTTTCTGCAATTCAACATTTAAAACAAGATTCTGCAGAAATATTAGGATTTCGAGGGTAAGATCTGTGAAATAGACATGGTACTGAAATCTATGTTTATGATTAACATTCTGCATTATAAATAGAAATACAGGAACTAGTTCAAAAAGTGCTACTTAAATAAGAATTTTCTAATTACAATAACGTTGTAATGTCCACTTCAATATTATTAAACGAAGCTGACCATTTTAATACAATACGCATTTGTTTAATTTTACTGTACTGTTTTGGCTATACCCCTTGTTAACAATAACTTTCGTTTGATTGTGAGCTATCTTTTGATCACATAGATTGGACCTTGGCAAAATATTCCTTAAAACTTTTGGCTGTTTATGGCAGTTTTTTGGTTACATCACCACCGTGTCTAGATGTTGTCTTAACATCCCGCTTTGCTCTTCTGTGCGACTTCTCTAGCAATGTCATATTGTCATTTTCATCTCAATGTCAAATTGTGGGCTCTAATTGAACGCATCAATTTCTGAAATTTTCTCGCGGAGGTTTACAAATTGTATGCTGTCAAATGCTTTGCTTCTTCAAGCTTTAATATGATGTTTTCTCAAGTTCTTAAAATTTAAAAATATTACTAGAGGGTTCATTAGCCGGCATAAACAAAGTGCAAGAATATGACAGCTATTCCGCTACCTGAATCTCCAAGACTGGAAATCATATCAACATCATGATTCTCAAATTTGTTCTTTTTTGGATGCATGCCTATGCATTGCTGCATAACCTTCGATCGAAATATCATATTTGCATTCTCCCTTATAATTCGAGAGACGATTCCCTAAAGGCTGTCATACAAGTGGATTTTGTATCTGAAAATAGCATTTCTGAGTTCCGCAATCAGTGTATTTTTGTATAATTTGTATAAACCTATTGTCACAGCCCCAAGTCAATAAGTCAGGTTTTTATCAGGCTGTTTAAGCTTCATCGTTTGAAACAAAAACGATATTATCATCTATATTACCAGCAACAATACTGTTTTCTGTTATTTGGGTGAGGAAGTCCAATTCCTTGTGCTGGCTTCAAGCAAGATCCCATTGCAAATTCCCCGTAGTTAGGTATTAATGCAGGGTCTTCAACGGTCAAAAACCATGTTGTGCCTCTTTGGGTCCCTTGTTGGATCGACTTTGTCACTGCACTTATCTTTTGTCAGAACAGAGTCTTCGTTCAGTTTTTTACAAAAATTTTGATGGCAAACCAGTAAGCATCCATTCAGTCCATCAAAAATCAAGCGAAACATGAACATTTGATTAGATGTTGAAATTCTATTTAAGACATACTTGCTTAAATTAAACGAGCATGGCTTGGCTCCGCAACCTGAATATTAAGTTGACCAGAAAGTTTCTTCATAGAAGCTGTGCGGCGGAGAACTTCGACTTCATTAGAAGAATTTCTATCTTGAAGTGGGTCAAAAAGTGCTAAAATTGAGTACTGAATTGCTTGTTGAATGTATTTGGGAATGGATACCTGTAATGTTCCATCAATCTGCCATTTTCACTTCTCATTTCTTAACTCTGTGGCACGGCCTTCGTTTGGTGAGAAAAATCCATTGAGCTTTTTTTTGCAAATGCTGATGCTATGTGGCAATATCATTCATAAATATGGTTGGTCTGTGCCAGAGTCCACGTAAACTATCGAAATAATACCAGGGGCTCTCTGAACGAAGCAAAAAACTTAATGGCATAGATAGTTCCATACTGGCATGTAACTTTTGGCCAACAACCAGAAAACCCAAACATTTTCCGAAATATTTTATTGAACATGACATTATTCTTACCAAGACCCGTATTAATACGATTCATCATATCTATTTTTGATCCCTCTGAGGTCACTCCCAGTTTTTAGCAAGTATCCTGGCCTATTTAGACGTGCTCTCAAACAACAATTCTAAAAGCAGTTCTTCAGAAATTTAACTATACTCGATGTCATCATTTTCAAGGCGAGCTTTCTGGGGTTCCGAATGATAAATAATGTCCCCAATTCTACTTTTCTCGCCAGTATATGGAGCTGAATTGGACAACTTATGTGACACTGTCCCTCCATTCATCTTACGACATTGACATCGGCGTCTTCATCATTACATTGTTACATCATCCTGAAATTACTTTGCAGTCTACTTCACATTAATTTATGGTCTTTAAAGAGTTATCTGAATATTTTGTTCCTCAGTATTCTCTTCTGGTGCACTGTATTTGAGCACAACTTTGCGTTTCATGTTGGCTATAAGAATGTGTGGGCAATAGCCAAATACGACACAGTTGAATTCGTAAATGTGATTGCTGAGGCTGTAAAAATAAAAGTATGAATTCAGTTTCTTAAGCAATCAATCAGCAATGGCACATACTTTTCAAACTGCCAAATTATTTTTGAAGCATCTAGCCAACGTGATCAAACTTAGGGATGCCGTCCTTACGCTCTCAATATCTATAGTAACTGTCCACCTTTCATCCATTTACATTTGAAAACTACTTTGTCTATGATGGTTCCAAATCCGAGTGTCTCTGCAGCTTTACTACTGGATTTGAGGGAAAAAGTCAGACTCTATGAAAAAAATAAGATATAAAGATGACCAATATTTCGTAATGCCGGAAGACAAAAACATGTCATTTGGTACTTTGAAAATAAATAAATAAAGAAAAGAAAAAAATGTAATTAAGCAAGCATACCACCCAATATTGATTTTATTTCCTGTTGCATGCTAGCTTGTTTCTTTTCCATTGACAACATCACACAGAGGAGTCAAAGTGGGAATTCCACTTTTTATAGGAATATATCAATAGCAGAGCTAACGCAAGTGGCTGTGCAGGTGAGAAGGATTCAAGGTGTCAGAAAAAAAGTAGTAGCCAATTGGATGACGATTTCATGCATATCATAGCAATGTTCAATTCAAGGAAAATGTCATATTTGGATCCTTTCTTCCTGTTTCAGACCTAGATTCTGCTTCTAAATTCTCAAGTAGCAAACTTTGCAGGACAGCAGATAATCTTGGCAGTCCATAGTCCTTGCTGAAATTAATGACCATAGTCTGCAATTTTTTATTTCATAAAATGGAGGTTCAAAGTTGCAAAACTTATTTGCTAAATATCTTGCTGATGGCAACATGCATTTCTGTAATCAAGAAGAAAATCCCACTCTTTGCATCTGCCTTCTCCAGTCTAGGCACAATAGAGGGGATTATATCCTGCAAATAGAAAAAAAAAATAATACTTCAGCCACAATTGTCATACAGCTTAAAAATATGTTCTAATTTGCGTGAATATTTTGGCAGTAAAGAAAAAAAGTCATCATTTTCTCTTGGTTTGTTCTCTAGTGAATATTTGCTCTTGCAGACTTTCATTATTCCTCGTTACAGCTTTGAAACAAAAAGTTAATATTTTACAATGATGAAGTCCTTATACTTACAGAAAACGTCTATCTTCCACTATCTCATAATGGCAATGATAACCCATGTCATTTGTACCCACAAGAAGCATGACAAAGCAAGGTGATTTCTTTTCCGAATTTGGCAGTTGCAAATTTCATGAACTACATGGAAAATCTACCTTCTTGCATAGAATTTACACACCAATACCGGGGACAGGAAATTCTTTTTTCTAAGACTGGATGCTATTGCCAGTCAGTAAAATACACAAACTAGAAGAAAGTAAAAAGTTTTAAGTCATTGTGAGAACCCTTTTACCACTACATTCAATAAAATGTATCAACAGCAAGTAATGGAAACTCAACAGCAATTTGAACATAGTTCAAATGAAAATTGATATTTATGCTAATTACCATATTTGTGTCAAATTCCTTTTTTGACATCAGATATTTGTTTTCCTTATTGCTGACACCTAATGGCCAGGGTTTTGAGGGTTCATGCCATCTTGTATCCTGCCCCCTCCAAATCCATGCTTTTTTGGCAGGTCCTGTTCCCAATGCAATGAAGTTGTATCTTCTTGCCAACTCTGTCAGAATTGTTTCCGCATTATAAAAATCCCATAGTTAGTTTTTGTCCTCTAGAAGAACACTACTTGTAGACTCAATTTTTGGGCATCAGTGGCACCTTATCCAAACTTGAACCAAGTCCCATACCATTTCAAGGTTAACAACATTCCACATTTCAAAACAACATGTGCCCATGGTAAATTGTAGAGCAGAAAGAAAACAAACACAATTGCTTAGAACATAGGGACCAAGACGACTTGAAAATAAAAACTAAAACACTGACAATCATATGACTTAATGACAGAACATACTGTCCAGCATCTGGACAAAATAACAAAAAATATGCAGCATGTGCATGTAGAAACAGTTAATGAACCACAAGGCCCCAACGGGATACTCAACAACAAATGCATTAGGGCCGAACAATCTTTGTGTAGAGTATTATTTAAAAAACAAATTTTTTTATTAATCCTGTAGCTTACAGGATAAGTAAAAAAATAGAAAGAGCCTATTTTACTAATATAAGAATTAGAACTTGTATTGTTAGAAATGGTTTAAATTTCTTAAGTGTCAACCTTGCTGACCATGGTGGGTAGATAACTAAACCCTTAGAACCCTAATATTTCCAGATAAACATTTTTTTAAATGTCGGATTGTATTGGAAGCCAAAGTTAAAACAGTTTTACTTCATCTGTTAAAACAATATTCATGAATGAATGTTCAATTCTTGCATGAGCTGTACATGCTTTTTAATAGGACAACCCTTAAGAAACATAAGCCTGAGTAGAAATTTGCCAAAAAATAAGAAAAACATATAACTGAGAGAGACAGGCTGAAATTCAACAAAACTCAAGAAATAAAATACCAGCAAAATTTAAAAATGAAAGATTAGCAATGACAGAAAGTGTTTACTATACAGCCCCAAGAGTTCACTATACAGTTATTTTTATGGTTATTTTGCACAGGTAAAACAAAATATTAATTGATAATTATGTTGCATATGATGGACAACACAAGCTCAAGCAAAGAAAAACTGCACAATGTGCTAATATACCTCTCTTTCCTTAGCTCGTTCATTTCTTGCCTTTCGAAAGCTGTTTTGTGTCCTTCTCTTAGGTCGAACAGTGAGAACATTATTGGGAACTTTCTGTAGTGGACTTGGTCTTTCTTCTAGCAAATGAGATGGTGGGCCTTTATCCCACTTCTTGATGACACTCTCTAACTTCCCTTTCCAGTCTTCCATCTTTTACAGTTCTTAAAACATACTGTTACCCTTAATCTGAGAAATTCAAACAAATTTGTGACTTCAGGACGTTAGACGATTTCGTCAAGAGGCCATGTGAGTTCTCTTCAAAGGAGCAGAGGTGCAAATTAAGGTGGTCCGAAGATATTTGCACCACCGCAGGACACCTAAACGGTAACTGGTTCAATGAGGTCCAAATCTTGACGGAAACAAAATTTCACCCTTAACGCCTAAAAATGTAGGAACTTTGATGGCTTTGAAAAATGGCTTTGAAAAAGCAAACATTTTTCAACATATTAGCCAATAGGTTGTAAAATGTTTTCGTTTTCAAAGCCATTTTCAAGTTCTGTGCCGCCAAAAACTGTTAACAACATTTATCGAGGAATACATTCTCAAACGAGTTGAACAACGCATGGATTTTTTATCTACCAGTACTTGAAAAAATGTGACGCATCAGAAAAAGCGAAGAAAGACAGTACGTTCGGAGTGATTTTAATCACAGAAGAACTATACATATTTTCACTTTCTGTATAAAATTAAAGAACAACATTTAGAAAATTTATTATCTAAAATCAATTAATTACACAATGCACATCAGGAATCTCAACAAGAACATTCTGAGACGGCTGAATTTGCTAACTGAAGATTCTATTTCATGAAATAGATAGTTAATTTATTATATATTAAATGGCAATTGGGATAATTGTGGCTAAATTCGATTTGTCTAGGGGTGAAATCAGAACACTGAAAGAATCTTACTGGGTTGATTATAGCGTATTTCAGTCCTATGAAAAGCAGGGTTTTATGCCATCAAAACATGGAGCAGGAGAAGAACCGAAAGCTTAACTGAACTGAAACTGAACTGAAAAAAAAGCTTGAAAAAAACTATCTGAAGGTCAAATTTATAAGCCTCTTTGAGCTTAAAATGTCAGTTTATGATTAATCTCACAACAGACGGTTCTATATGAAACATAGATGTGATTTTGTCATGTGCTAGCTCTTGAACAACACACGCCTAAGAGCACAATTCATTAATTTGCTAGGTTCTTGTAAATTAAGCTACAAAATTAGACTGAAATGTATCCTCTGACTACGGTATTTCGAAAAAATCAATATTGAAATTATTGGCCATTGAGCAAGTTTACCTTCCTAGAACGAGCTTATTCAAATATCTAGGCAGATTGCAGTTCGAGTGATTGAACTGGACCGGATTACCTCCGTAAAAGAGAAGAGATCTGAACAACGCCATTCGACTGTCCGGTTACACAAATCGAGCAGTTTGGAGACGAGTTCCAGTCCAGTGATGTCACTGCGGATTTTTGACCTGGTATGACCATTACTTGTTCCAGAGATATCTTCGATTCAGTCTAAAAAAGAAGTCAAATTACGCTGTATGATTAGGAAAGATAAATAACTGAAAGAGGTCTTGCTCTGGGTAGCCAAAGATGTCCCGTACCTTTATGGTAAGGGAGGGAGGGACCAGCATTGATTCGTGAATGATCCATTGTTGGAGGATGAAATCGAAATATGAAAGAAAAAACCTAAGCCTCAAGAAAACCTTTGTGAAGATTTGATGGACGACTAGTGATCAGAAGCGATGGAATTGGAGGATGAGACAAGTTGAGCAACAAATAAAAGTTAAGCAACAACTAAGAGTTAAGTCAGTAGATAATTATTCTGAGCAAAATACAAAATATTAAAAACTGGACAAAATTTTTGAACGATTTCTAGAGTGACTATTAAGAGATAAAACACCAGTGAATTGAAACAAAAACTGCAAAAATGTTTAAAAGTTTAAATAAATCACAAAGAAAATAAGATGAAAACTATATCTGAAGAGTCTTACCGAAAATACGAGAGCACCATTAGAAGCGCACGTGATCATATGTTTTCCATCTGTATCAAATGCAAAGAGGCGACCTCCTGGTCTGCTCTCAGCGCGTTGCTTGATGCCACCATCATCCGACAATGCATTCAAGCCTGTGCTACTGTCGTGTAGTGAAAACTCGGCTGTCTTGAAGCTCACTTTATGTACATCCCATAAGCACAGCTAAATCAGGAGACATGTGTCAGTACGTTTAACACCACTAACATGTAATTACTGAATAGCTTTCAAATACGAAAATGCTAAACAAGAAGTAAAAAAGAGAAAGCGGCCCAAATGCATGAGATGCTGTCTTCAAGTAGTTTTTCTAGTTTCCTAAACTTTATACCATACAACGCGTTAAATTGCAAAAATACCGCTTGTTGGTTTCAATTCATGAGGGACTAAAGCAAAGAGGGACAGGTCGAGATTGTTATTTTTTGCCGAAATTTACCTTTCCATCAGCTCCTAAACTATACAAAGAAGTTTCGTCCACACTGAATTGGACGTCAAGAACATCGGAAGAATGAGCGTGCCATCCAACAAGACAATCACAGGTTCGCATATCTAGAATACAAACACTGGGCTATCATGCCTAAAAAATTGAAAATGAAAAAAATGTAATGAAATAAAAATCGATTGGCAGGTAAGCACACCATTGCATACTGCATTTTATGGGTCTTTGAAGAAAAGAAAATACTGTCGATAAGAATAATTTTGTTAAAAGCGATGTGATATAAAAAGTACCAAAACAATGGAAGCAGAACAACGTCGGGTAACTTACATCCAGCCATAAGCACACCTGGATGTGAAATTATCAGAATGGCTTCAAAGGCCGATAGATTCAAGGGTTTGTCTTGATGGCAGATGTTTTGAAACTCTATTTCCTTATTTCCTTGTACTTATCGCATACTTCTCTGTTTTAATCTTATGAGTGGTAGGCCGGTTGCCCACTATTTATCAAAATGGGCTTTGATAAATAATGGTTTATCAAAAATTACACTTTAAACGTAAAGATGGCCCTTTTCATTTAGATGGAAACTAGGAGTACACAGAAGCTCATTTGCAGTCTGCGAAGAGGTATGAAAGGTTTTTACAAGTCGAGGAATGCCTTTCTTGAAAGTGATATATAGCCTTTTGCTGCGGCTAAAACAGATTAAAATACTATCCCACAAAATACAAAGTTACTTCAGCAAACAACAAAGAAAGTGCAACGTTAGAGACAGTGTACACGATTACTATAATAGATTCTTATTGAACAGGGAAGAAGGCTACGCACCAAACAAACGTATCATTCCATCCGCAGCTCCAGTGACAAGCAGTGTTCCATTGTGATTGTAAGCCATGCAGTGTATGCATGCTGGGTAAGGATCAAGAGCAAGCTCTGCCTACATAACAACGAGCAATAGTGAAAATGAGAAGAGAAAAATGAGAGAGAAAAACTATCAGGGAAGACTGCTTTCAATTTAAAAAAGCATTGCTTGCTAATCACTGTTAAACAAGATTCGGCATTGTCTAGGACAAAAGCATATTGCACTTTCAGTACCGGGTATAAACAGTGTGATTTCAAAAATTACCAAATACATCTAGTTTCATGGAATTTGTTGGAACTGATCACAAGCCGAGACTGAATAAAGTTTGGGGTTCTATCTGTGTTCAATTAACTACAGCTCTAGTTAGTTGAAGAGATCATTTTAATCTTCTTCAAAGGATCTGAGGTTTAGCAACTATGTATAGTTTGTCTACACAGCAGTTCCAGCACTTACTTTCTCTTTGAAGGTCTTCATATCCCAGTCAAAAATAGCTCCTTCCGTAGACGGCTTGTTGCTGTCAGTCAACGAGTGCATCGGCCTTAACTGCACAAACCGCTTGCTGGTAGAGACATTGTGCGACTCAGACCTCTTTCGCACGCCAGATGCTGCGCTGCAGATAAACGAGGATCCATTCGGGCTGCACGCTAATGCAACGATTCTAAGAACAAGATAATCATTTAACAGCAAACCAAAAGAATAAACGGGTTAATAACCTAAGTAAGATCCTCAATCAAATCCCACAAAACACTGGCATAGGCAGTACTGTACAAAGGGCCTAAAAATAACGTAAACCTCTGTCAACAAACAGACTTCGGCTTACATACCTTTGATATTTTGATTCAACGTGGCCATCCAGTAACGTTTTCTTTGAAGAAACATCATACAGTGACACCTTGCCAGTCAAATTGCCATAAAGAAACTGAAAATGGATAAAACAGACATTTATTCACATAAGATACGTTGCATCATTTACAGCACATTCCATTGTAAAGGTTTGATAAAAAGGTGGGCATGAAACGAGTCTACAATAAATTCATAACAAATTATAAAATCTAAGCAGTACCATTTTTAAAAACCAGCGTTGAATGCGATGTAGAACTTTCAGCTTACCATCTATGCTAATTAAATATTTCCAAAAGATTATATTCTTATCAAAATCGCCTAGAAACTGAGCCAATATATTTTGTATGTAATAACGGTTCACGGCACATTACTATCAAGCAGTGCCCAAAGTCATATAATACACAAATGTATCTGCTAGTACCTTTCCCTCGAGCTTAGGAACCCAATCAAAAGACAAGGACTGAAATTTTGATGCAATGGTTGCCTGTGTTATTGGTTCAGGAAGACAATGCCAGATTCTAAAAAAAACCAACCGATATTTACAACGTGTTTTAAGTCGAATGAGACACGGTATGAGTTATGCTTGAAACGTCATTTTTACTTGTCGATGCATTTGTATTTATAAAAAATTTGATACCGCTTAAACATAGCAATTCTAAAAAACGAATAAACAGTCTTAAAGATTCAGAAAACAAACAGTCTAAAATCCGGGCAATGCTCGGTACAACATAAAACGGTAATCAGTGTCATAAGAATTAATTTTAAATCAGTTAAAGTTGTGAAAACCTTCTTTTCAGTCTATCTTTTTTACTTGTACAAAAAAAAGGCAAATCTATGCATGCATTGTTTTGGCAAATCTAAATGGGCTGGTTTGATAGCTGTTTATTAATAGAAAGTATATCATCGCTATAAATCATACTGCTAAACGTATGGGTACAATGTACACGGAATGATATCTTTATGAAGAATTTTATGAAAATGATCAAAGGGAGCTAATTTTCAAGAAACTAGAAACTATTATGAAACTCATAAAAAAAATATTATGAAATTTTCAAGAAACAAGAAACTATTATGAAAGTCATAAAAAAATTAGAATCGAAACTCAATTATGAAAGTCGTAAAAAAAATTAGAATCGAATACTACAATCTCCAAATTGTTGAGAAATTCTGTTTAAGTGAATGTATAAATTATTGGTAAGTGGATTGTAAGATTCAGGCTCATTGAAAAACATTGAAAACCTATGAGCAATGCCCAGCATCAACTGTGCAGGTTCAAGAATGACATGAACGCTCCAAAGCCACTGTTCATATATTGGTATTTCGTGTTCAGGTTGATATATTGGTATTTCGCAAGATACGAAAAGTTTTTTATTTTTGGGCAATAGTAATACTTATCTCAGTTCTTACTTTAATTTTGTAAATGTTAGAAAATACCCTTATTTTCAGATATTCATCTGAACTGAATTTCGTAGTAAGATCCTTTTCAGAGCTCACTGTAAGAAAGATAGCTATTTCTGCTATTAACAGCGGAATATTACTTAAAACAGCAAAACTGTTTGAAAGTACACCCCTAAAAAAGCAAACACACCTTTAAAGACTATTGTAAAACTTACTTTATAATTCCCTCTGAATCGATACTCCCAACATGTCTTCCATCGCCAGCAAAACGACAGTTCACAATTGGAGAGAAATGTTCACCATATTCTTCCTGCAAAGTTAATGAAATACATCTCACAAATACATTTTATAAATACGAGAATCAATAGCACAACCCTGGGCTTAATTGTCATATGTATCGCAGTATAGCTTTCAGGTGAAGCACGTTTACATAACACTATAAAATTTGAGCTTTAAGGTGACGACATTACAGGTATTATATGGCAAAAGTACGCGTTTACCTGTCTCAAATTTCCCCGACTCCAGAAAATGATATAATGAAATTGCAGTGTAAAGATCCATCATATTTAGATTAAGGTGCAAATAAAAAAAGAAATAGGTAAAATGAAAGCAAAAATAACTAAAAAAAAATCACAAATAAAATGGTTTGTTATATTCCCAGAAAGGTCTACACTTTCTGCATCCGATACCAATGATATAACTTTTAAAAAATACTTGGGTATATGCATTTACATATGTAAATTATGATTAACTTTTCACAAATGAATGCAGCGGTATATAACTGGCACAACTAGAGGCATAGCTATCAATTCAATATAAAAATTATTCTCTTGGCTACCTTCGAAGAAATTTACAAACACATTTCAGCAAATAAACTACTTTCTTTTCTGTTTAAAACTCAAGAGTGATAAGCCAATGACTGATTAACAAAAAGAAAAATATTAATATAAAATCAGACCTGACTCAATATAATGAACGGCTTTTGCGAATCGGCTTTGAAGTGGTCGTAGCTTCCAGGTATAATTCCCTCCTCGAATGTTTTAGTCTTAGCTTTACTTGGGTTATAGCTCGCAGAGACTGCAAATGGTGATGTATCTAAACCTTTCTTCGATTCCAAAACCAAGGAGCTTCCTTCGCGAGAACCTTCCTTACTTAAATTATTCTTTAAGACGATTCTTGGTGACTGATGTTGTGAAACGCCTTCTGCCTTTGTCACTTTGATAGAAAGCTCTCCCTCCTCCTTTTTATCAAAAGAAAGTTTTTTCTTTATCATTAGAACTTGCTCCTCTTGTTGCTTCTTCGCTTTGGCATCCTTGATGCCTTTGAGTTTCCACCTATGCTTTTTCGTTGGAGCTGATGCTGGCTCTTTGGTAGCCAATGTTCTTTATAAAACAGAAATATCATTTACTAATATTTAGCATAATGGATCAGGAATCGACAAGATCTTAAACACTAATGCCCGAATTGTTGTTAACAATAACAATAAACTGAAAGTAATATTTCACAATGTTTAAAATATCGAAGCTTTTCATCTACAAATAAAGTTCTATATGTCGGGGAACACATACTTCAGAAGCACTATCGAAGTAAAATTCTACAACGACCAGATAGATAGGAACTCGCAAAATTTTGAACATCTATTTATTATAGGTCTACAAAAAGAGAGATGAAATCCAGAAATGGTAATAATTAACGGTAATATCGCGAAATCTTTACATTAAATTGTTTCTTAGAAGCAGCTGAGATTAAACTGGCACTTTTACTTTTCATACTCCTATCATACTCGTATAAATGAATCCGCCCTCGACCAAAAATGAAGAAAACAAAAGGATAATGGAAAGAAAATCATATGATCATAGTTTATCACAATTATCACATATACACGTAGGTTCAAATTCAGCACAAAACGGCTCATGTATCCATAATCAAGCTGACTGTTTCTTCTTCACTCACAAAGAGAGTTTTATGAATCTAAGGCAAGCAGGACGATGCTTTTCTACATGAACACAATCTGAAAAGCGTCTCGATATTGAGAACCTACGAAAGTTTGAAAAAGCGTAAAGGCGAGTTTCCACTTTATTCGCTCTGGTCGTATTTATTCGCGCGACTGAGCGAATGCACATTGGGGCATGCGCAAATTGAACTGCCTCATTCCCTGCGAATGCGCGACCATTCGCTGAGTAGTTCAACTCAGTAAAACTACTGGGCGACTGGTCGTGTTCGCCGATTCGCTGACTTGTTGATTCGATTTCGCCAAGTCGCGCGACCAGAGCGAATCAAGTGGAAACCGGTCTCAAGGTATAACAGAGACTTACTTTGTATTCACAACCAAATAGTCGCATTCTTCACCAACTGAAGCGTTTACGGTCTGCACAGCAACGCTCTTTTTCCCACTTATCTTTTCGTTTCGAAGTGTTACGATTTCCTCTTGCAGGTTCATAATTTGCATTCGAAGGTCTTTATTTTCCTCTTTCATCTGTTCAATTCTCTTTTTTTCTTTTTCAAAGTTCAGTAAAGATGGTAAATATACAAAGAGTTAAGGAGCATGGCAACGTATGACTAGGTTTAAAAACAAAAACCACATTCAGCATACAGTCAACGAGTCGGCATTTTGAAAAAGTATAGAAGAAAAATTGTGCACAGGGTGGGTGGGAGAGATGAAATAATCACAGGCAGGCACATCAACCACACTCACACTGTTCGCATCTTAAATCTGGGCAAGGTAACATGCTGTAAATGAAGGCACTTGATGTCCCGAAGTAATTCACTGGCTTTTAACAGTTGGGCTAAACAAGCTGCAAAACCTATTTTCAACTCTGAACAGTTGACTTACGGGACAAAGTGCCTCTATCCTTTAATAGCTGTGTGAAAAATGTTTTGGGTCCTGTTTTGCATTTCAATATCTGATACTATTTTATAAATCCACCCTTGACCAAAAATGAAGAAAGCAAATGGGTACCGTAAAGACAATCACATAATCATACTTTTTCACAATTATCACATATACACGTAAATTCAGATTCAATACAAAACGGCTCAGTTATTCATAATTAAGATGACTGCTTCTTTTGTCAGTCACATAGAGATCTTTATAAATATGGTAAGCAACTTCAAATAAATGCAGAACAACAAAGGATACTCATATTGCTAAAGACTGTGCTTATGCAGTTATACAAAGCAACCATAACTGACTCTTGCCATACTCTTGTGAAGTAGATGCTAAACATTGGATTTTGCTCTGGGCTCTTCAGGAAAGGTAGAGCTGGAAAATTATATCTTTCAGTTACATTAAATAACTGTATCAAACAATACAATTTATAATTGAATGCAGAATCAATGCAAATAACAAAGAATGATCAAACCTAAATAAGTGATGATATAAAATGAAACTGTTAAATGATATTAACTAATATTCCATACCAGCCAAACTTGCTTCAACAAAGTGCATGGATGTTTTTACAAACTTTGTCCAACCAATTTTTACAGATAATAAAGATTACCATTCATTATACCCATATATCAGGCTTTCGTCGGAAAAGCGTGCGATCGCATGCGCACGCCCTGGCGCACGTCTACTGCTTTCGAGGACTGCAAAATGTCACACGCCTTCTTTTATTCTGAGAGCGAAATTACTTCACCTTATGCTACTTCAAAAAAGGCTTAACTCCTTGTTAGGATTGTGAATTAAATAGAAAATTTTTAAATAACCATAGGACTAATCTACAGTGGAATCCCGATAATATGAAACCCGGCTATAAATAATTTCCTGGTATATAACAAATATGTCTGGCCCCTTGGATTCTGCCACACCCTATACAAATTCTCTCGGTATAACAAACCCCATATATAACGAACTCTCATTATTACGAACGGCATTACGAACCGCGATCTTTCAGCAGGCTGGAAATGAAAAAAGAATCTTTATATAATGATGAATAATCAGTGACATTCTTATTTTTGAAAAATTAGTACTTAGTACTTCAACATACCAAACCAATCTTTCCATGTTGGAACATTCTGGAGCTCTGTAACAGATTTGTCAAAAAAATCATTGACTTTATCTTGCTTTGCGTTTTGAATTGCACGAACTAGATACAGGCGCAGAACACTTGTTTCTAGTTTGCAAATATTTTTATATGCTTCATGTGGCAGCTTAGAGAAGAACCGTTGATCAAGATGAGACCAATACGCCTTTAACCCTGCCAAATCATAATTTTCAATGAGCACCTGGATTTGATCAACAACTTTTTCAACCTGAAAAAGAAAACAGATGTGAACTTATTTTTCTAAAATGGTGGCTTTTAGAAGCAAAATTAAAACATGACTTACAAAAATTTGGATGATTGAATTTAAATATAGATCTTCTCTTCTTATTGGTAAATGCTTCATAACTTTTTTTTTGTATCATCACCAAGGAGAACTTTGTCCTTAATTAAAAGATACCTAACCAACAGTTGTAAGCTATACTTGAACTTAATGCTTATATATATTGTTCTGCTATTGGGACATTACAGTTGAGCTAATTGAAATTATTACAATGGTAGCACTCTCTACAGAGCTGCACTGCTGAGACAAGCAACCATAACATTGAAAATGGCTTTAAAAAAAGCAAACATTTTATAACTTATTTTTTGTCTGACACTCCACTCCTCAGAGCATCAAACATGCTCTCAAATATCAAATATATAAATGAATCAAATTGCAAATGATGAATAAGAAATTTCTATTAGAAGAGCTTAAGAAAGTGCACATTTGCTGTTGCACACTGCACACTACAATTTTTCTGTGCACACCCCCAGAGATCTCGTCTAAAAGAGCAGTTCTTTCCATACTGCCAGCCAAATAGCAGTGGTCATGCCCTCCCCTCAAGTCTTGAGTAATGGGGGCTTGAACAAATTTTTGACAATACCCAACAACACCCAATTTTTGAGCCTATTCGTTCCTTTTGAGTAGAAAAGTTCAAAACTTGTTACTAAAGAAAAATATTTGTTTAATGAACTTTTGGAATGATATTGTTTTATTATTTGAGTTTGACTTCATTGTCTGTCAAAACAGTGTTATTGCATGTGATAATCAACAAACAATTCAAGAATAACTTAAAGCAAGTTTTGGCATTCTCTATCTATTGACTGCAATCTTATAGTCCCTATCATGTCCATAACAATGCCCTTAAAGGAGAACTGACACGCAAAATAACGTTGGCTTATTTGATGCAAAATTTGTTGTTGACTTCAAATCTGGAAATAGTTTTCTTCTCAGATTCGCCGTTTTCCTGATATTTGCACTTTTATCTGTCAATTATGTCACAGCCAAAACTCGGGAATTTCCTGAAGTGGAAACAAGATTATCACCAGGAGTTGTTAAAATTCTCGGTTGACGTCACAAGTGACATGTTAACAATGCCGTTGCAAAGGCTTTCACCACAACTGTGAAAGTACAAATGAAGTTTCGTGTTTTATTGAAAATAGTCTGCGGTGAAAAGAAAAACAATTTTAAGGCATTTCATTTATAAGTAAAATAAAGCTAGAAAATCCTAGCAACATGTCTGCTAGGATGCTAATATCCACATAAAATTTATTTTTATGCCATGATATCTTCAAACCAGCATGCTTTGAAACATTGAAAAAACCTCTAAGCTTGTGAAAAAAGGAGTCAACTTTGTTTGAAAACTGATACCGTTTCTTCACAGTTTTTATTTTTATAATTACAAATAAAATCGCAACATGGGGGGTAAAAGCGATCCTGCAACCTGCTTTAGGTGCTAAGAGCTAAGAGCCTATTTCCTAATTCCAGATTTTTCGACTGCCAGGTAACTTATCAGTTCCCGAAACCCTTCACACCCGGTGAAAATAGCATATAATCCGCACTGGTCGATTTTCAACCCGCCTTCACTATTTAATATCACGATACAGTTAACGCGTTTGAAACATTCAAAAACAATCATAGAATGTTACATTAATAATGGATAACTTGCACTCCGTTAAGGGCATCATAGTCATTTCAGCGAATTAGGCCATACAGACAAAGCAGTCTGGACAAAGACGCCTCAATCTGAAATGAAATCTGATCTCATTTAGATTGTAGCAATAGCATTGTTTTTAATAGAAATTCCATATCAGTTTGTACTTCCAGTCTGTTCTTTGTTCATAACATCATCACTGTTGAGCCATGGGACGACTGTCTGCCCAAGCGGCAGCGCTGGTTGGTAGCAAAACCTCAGACGGCTGAAACTTTCCATTTGTTTCGAAATCAGTGTAATAAAACTTTGATTCAGAATCCCAAACCATTGAAAAAGTCAATTATGTGTCAAAAATGCAAAATTAGCTCCTTTCACATGCACAAAATAAACATTTGTCCCCAGCATTTTCTTAAAGGTCTCTATAGAGAAACACAATACGTGCTGGAAACATGTCACTTGTGACGTCAAAGATGATCGCCCACTTGTGACAATTTTCGCCTAGAGTCTCAAGTTGTCAGAACAATTGTCGTTTCTCAACTTAAAACGCCTGTATTTCAAAAACGGTTACCGTGGTTTAAAAATTTTTTTCGATCCCGGAATTTGCTTGTCACAAACTACCATATTAGCCAAAATTATTTTTGCGTGTCAGTTCTCATTTAAAGGGCTTAACAGTTCATGCTGCAAAAGATTAAGCTCTCAAGTCTGTTGGTTTGACTCATCATTACCCTTACCTGTAACTGGCTTGCAACCACACATTGGAACAACATCAGATAAGTCTACTTTTATTTATGTTACTAATCATGCAATAATGATTCTTGTGATATTAAATCGGAAAAAAATTGCAATTCCAGTTCATCACCTCACTGACAATAGTGTGGAAGGGGGGTGTGGCCAAAGATCTAGCTGAACAAGTGGTTTCTTCCTTAGCAAAACTAAGGATTCCATCATCATCATTGTTCTATTTAATGGCACATCAAGCCAACATTCAATACCAAGCCTGTATGTTCATACAGACATTGAAGGAGATGATTCATGAACAGGACAAGCTGTCAGATGAACATGAAACATTCTTCATAGTCCCATGGGATACAGCCCACTGGATGAATTGCTGCATGGAAGATATCAGAGAGAAAGATCGAAATGGTGAGATCTGCGGTGATTGATCAAATGAGCAAACAAGTTCCATTCCATGTATGCAAGAGGGGAAGGCCAATCAGAATATTATTTCAGGTTATGCCAAGGAGAACAGCAAGAAGGCACACTTGTTATTACTTCTATAACTCTGTTTGATTTCAAGTGTAATGAAAATTGCAAGCAGAACATTCGCAAAATTCCTGATTTGACCTACCTAGGTTGCCATGCGCATGCAAGACCTAATTTTTGGGGTGCACTTTTAGCTTCCGTAAATCACCTCGCGCGTGCAGCTGCCATGCTTTGCAGACTGGGTATGACCGCTTGCTACACACCATTGCCCCCCCCCCTTATTAGTTGTGGTAGTCAAGGTTAGTTCTGGATCCACCACTGGTTAAGCCAAACCCATTTAAATGTGCTCGGCAGTATGCAAGGATAGTTCAGTCTCTACCCGCCCCCCTACGCCTTTTAACAACAACAGAGATACCAATCACAATTGAGCTGGGAGCAAACTCAAGATTGTAGTAGGTGGCTAGCTAAAAGAAACACAAACGATGCATCGGTAAACTTTACCCTGAAGCTTTTATCTTTGTCTGACTTTATTTCATTCTCTAATGACTTCAAAGTCGTAGTAAATCCACGAAACAAGAGATATTCTCTAAGCATCGAGTCAATCAAAGGTGATATATTCGCCATTTTGAAGGACTTTGGGCCAACAGAAACGAGGCCGATAATAAATGGGACCTGCAGCAGCAGCATGGGTTTCCAAAAGTACAAAATTGATTGTCGAGGGGCTAATGATCTCTGCATGAAACTTAACTAAAACCAACAAGAGAATCAGAGAAAAGAACATAGTGGCATCTGAAACTTCTTTTGTGAACAAGCAATAGAATACCCTTGTGAAAACGAGGTGACGTGACTGTTTGACAAGTAATCTCAAACACTAGGCCTAATCAACAACATCTCCGGTGATAAAATCTTGCAAGAGAAATATGGTGTCTTTTATATGTGATGCCTGTGGTCAAACTGTGAAAAAGAATAAGGTAGAAAAACACTACCAAACAGAATGTCGAAATTGTAGTGTATTGTCATGTATAGACTGCGGTAAGGATTTTCCTGGGGACGAATATGCTGGACACACTAGTTGCATATCAGAAGCTGAAAAATATCAAGGAAAACTTTATCAACCGAAAGAGAAAGCAAATAAAGGAGAGCTTAAACAACAAGAATGGATTAAGGTCACACTTTCTATTGCTAAATGGAGTATAATCAATTTTTCATGCCCAAATCTTAGAGTTAAATACGTCTGTTTTTTGGTTGCTGAATGGTGGAATGCTAATTCTATTTTAAATTTAGAATCATTCTTCCAAAGTGTTTAGACTCAACATTATTTTTAAAACACGATCAAATAAATGCTTTAACATCAAATTATCTATGTTTATCTGAAGCTTTGTTTGGATTGTGCTGTTGGTGTCCAAACTTTTATGGTTTGTAAAGATAGCCAGGCCCCTTGATGTGAGGTCTTTGTAGGGATACCAGAATTTAAGCTGCAGTGCTGCCTTGTGTGTGTGTAGCAACATTTTCTTGGCAGTTAATGTAGTCTACCTAGCATCCTTGGCACCAGCTTTTCAAAGTGTATGCTGTCAAACCTATAAAATATATGCTGTCAAACCTTGCATTTTTGCAAAGCAAGGAATGTTGTGATGCTGTTTGCTATATTGATGTAGGAGGGTGCAGGACAAGCCAATTACAAGCAAGTAATTGCAGCAGTACATAACTTAACAATCAAGCCATATTGTGGTCACCATCTATTTGAACATGTGAAGATTCACCATCTATTCAAGGATGGTGAATTGATGTTGAGCATGTTGTGGTCACCATCTATTCAAGTTCAACATCAATCTGATTTGCTTCCTTAAGAATAATGAATAAATTCCTGATTTTATTCACATTTGAAATGTCATTTTTGTTCTGATGTTTGTCTTTCCTCTTATTGTAGCAAGTACAACAGGCAGGTGATGTGGCACAGAATCCAAAACTGAAAGGATACCTTAACAAAATACAAGAGTATTCAAATGTTCCAAGAAAAAGAGCTAAATTTATTGTAAGCTGTTGCTTTTTAAATTTTGTTTGCATTTTAGTTTGCTAAACATCTGATAAAATGAATGTTGTATTGAAACATGTGGTTATGGTAATGTGTGAGAAACATCATGCTCACAGAACAAATTGTTTAAAAGTAGTAGGCAATTGTATGATGTCCAGAGAAATGAAAATAGAAAAAATGTCTGAGATGAAAGGAATGCAATTTTTGGTGACTGGTTGTGAATCTCCATCTATGGAGTTTTTATGAAGAACTTGAGAAAAAATCTACTTAGATATTCACCCAAAAGAACCAGAAGCAATTCAATATAATGTAAATGAATCCTATGTTAAAACTAATATATTGTTATAAGTAAACTAATACTTAATCTTGCATATTATACTTCATCAGGGTAAAGAAAGAGATATAAGGAGATGCTGGCTTTTGAAAATTCTTTCTGTTTTCAACATTGATTCTTGTTTGATGAATAGCAAAGAAATTGTGTGTCCTGAAAAAGCGAATGGGTGTGGCTCAAAAAGGGAGTGCTTAGTTAGATTTTTTTCAATGCTTCAATGATATCGTGTTAAACATGCTAACACTTTCAAATCTAAGAATGCTGAACATGTGCCAAGATTCAGAGATTGCTGGGAGATGATAATTGAATTTTGATAGTTTATATTGTTTATATCTTGATTGTCAGAGAGAGCCATAGAAATGCAAAAAGACCTGTATATTTGTTTCATCGACTACACAAAAGCTTTCGATAAAGTAAAACATGAAGAACTTCTGAAATTGCTAGAATGTTTTGATCTATTTGGGAAAGACATACGAATTCTTAGAAACTTGTATTGGGAACAAACAGCATGTATAAGAATTGGAAACGATAGAAGTAACTTTACCAAAATCCAGAGAGGAGTTCGCCAAGGATGCGTTTTCTCCCCAGATCTTTTTAATATCTACAGCGAGATGATCTTAAGGGAGATAGAAGGCATGGAAGGCTTCATCATTGGTGGGCATAATCTCAATAACTTGAGGTACGCCGATGACACGGTCTTAATAGCCCAATCTGAAGAAAAGCTACAAAATCTTCTGACTAAGGTAGTAGAAGAAAGTAAGAAAAAAGGTTAAATCAATTGTAAAAAGACAGAATGTATGGTAATTAGCAAGCAATCTGACCAGCTATGCAGACTAAAAATAGAGGACACTGAAATAAAGCAAGTAAAGTCATTCAATTACCTAGGTAGCCTAATAACAGACGATGTAAAATGCGACTCCGAGATCAAGCGCGGAATTGGGATGTCTAAGTAGGCTTTTCAGAAGTTAAAGAGAGTGTTGAAAGATAGAAAAATGTCGTTGGGAACTAGGAAAAGGATTCTACGCTGCTATGTTTATTCCATCTTAACATATGGCAGCGAATGCTGGACAATTTCAGCCGGTATGGAGAGCAGGATCGAAGCCGTTGAGATGTGGTTCCTCAGAAGGATGTTGAGAATATCATGGGTGGACCATATATCAAATGAAGAAGTATTGAAAAGAGCCGGAGAAGAAAGAAAGCTAAATAAAATGATTAGAAAGAGACAGGCCGAATTCATTGGGCATATCATGAGAAAAGAGGGTTTAGAAGAGATTATTATCACAGGCAAGATAGAAGGAAAGAGAGGAAGGGGAAGACCTCGGCTGAACTACCTGACAAGTCTCAGCAAGTGGATGCAAGATCAAGTTCCCGAGGAACAGCAAGGAAGGTATAAGGTCCAGAGTCTGATAAGGACAGAAAGTTGTGGAAATCCATGGTCGCCTACGTCCACAAGGGACATGGTACTTAGATAGATAGATAGATATCTTGATTTCCTCACTCGATAAAGTTTAGCATTCTGTTTTTACATGATTATGCAGACTTTCAAGGGAAAAATATAGCAGGGCATGCTAACCACCGCACACCTGAAAACATCCAGGCAGTGGTGGCGTTTGACATTTTTTGGCAAAAATTTATGATTATCTTCATAGATCTACGCAGAAACTGCCAACATGAAAATGCTGACACCAATAATTTTGATGAAATTTATTTCGCTGAATCCTTAGCATCACTACTAACATTTTAACAAAAAAACGTGTCCTGTTGTTTCTGAAGACCTGAGCAAGTCTCTACATAGTTTCATCAGCTTCAATAAAATATCTTTAGCAGAGTCATTGAAAATCTGTCTGCGTGTAAATCTGTGCCCCAAGGGCCCTTGGTTATCAAGCATCAGAGCTATTTTATGTACCTCACTGGCCAGATGTCGATAATCCATAAAGATAATGTATAAAAATATGGGGGTAGACAAATCCGCAAATCTGCTAATTTTTTGTCGCATAGTTGGCAAATCTGCTACTTGCCCTAAATTAGCAATCGAAAATGAAAATCTTATTCACAATATTTAATTTTCCTTATAAAATTCAGGGACAAAAATGTCTGTTATAGTCCTCCGTGTTTGGATTTGTTCACTGAAATGGCCTTGAAAAGGTGTAAACTTTTGCACAAATCTCTTCTCCATTTTTACATCATAAATAACGCATGTTTGCCAATGTCTGTTTTGCTGATGAAAAATAATTATTCTTCTGAGAAATTGAGTTAAATATACACCGGGGGAAAAGTAGACCAAAAAAACAGTGAAAATTTATAGTAAAGTTTGTCATATCGAGGAAAATCATTATGAAGGGACATACAATTTGGTTCAAAATAATGAGAATATGAGGTATTCGTTATTCCGAGGGAATTTGTACAGGGTTCAGGAGAATCCAAGGGGCCAGACAGTTTTTTTATACCGAAAATTAGTTAAAGTCAGGTTTCATATTATTGCGATTCCACTGTAGATTATTCCTATGATTATTTCAAAATCTTGTATTTAATCTGCAATCCTGACAAGGTAATAAGCCTTTTTGAATTGGCATGAAGTATAGTACAAAGGAAAGATAAACATTTAAACCTGTCTCAAAAACCAACAAAACCAATCATTGATAAAGAATTTCCCTCTCAGAATGAAAGAACGTGTGATGTTTTGTGCTTCTTGAAAGCAGTAGGTGTGTGCCAGGGCGTGTGCATGCGATCGCATGCCTTTCCAACAAAAACTTGATTATGTGGCAACATCCTTTATTCAATGCTCACAACATTCAAAAGCTTTACATTCCTACCATCAAAAACATCTAATTGTTTGGACTCCCCTAACTTTCTCAGAGGTTAACAGTTGCTGATTTTTAAAAAGCAAAAAGCTAACCAATTCTGATTTATCTGTCTTCTGGCCACTACTTTCAATCAACACCTGGATAAAACTTTTCTGCTTACCTTTGGTCATTATCCAATACTTGTAACCTGTGGAATTTCACACAAAAAGTGCTGCAGTATGCTTTGTTTCTGCAAGTTCTTGCCACCTTCAAAACTGTATAATACCAAAGTCTTATTTGGTTGCCCCTTGTTGCTTACTCTTGTATGTTATCAGACCAATGTTACTTTTAGAAATATTGTATCTTTCAACATAAATGCTTGATGTTGTATGTTGAAAGTCAGTGAATTGTCAATGATCTGAAATGAGAGCTCATATTTTTCTTTCACAGAGTTTTCTATATAGATCTATATTATTTTATATTTCCTCTATATTAGTCTGCTCTCATTTCAGAACTTCTGCAAGAACAGTATCAGAGTGTTTGACCAAAATGTATTGGATCAGTTATGGGAAGCTTTCAATTCGATGAAAAACAAGGTGAAATTGTACTTTTTATTTGGTTTGTCTGGATGTTCTAAAAAAATAGATGATCATATATTTTTAATTCAAAGTTCTAGCCTTCAAGTCTTTTTGCAGAAATTGAGCCTAATTTCTTGCCTTTTTTTCTTTTAGACTATGTTACAATTTTTCTGGCCTGTAACTGATATATATTCATTGTTCTGTAATCTCCAATCAATTTGTTCTGTAGTCCGTAATTTTTTTATAATTGTTATTGTTTAAATTTTTGTAACCAATGCTTTGTCTTTTGTATCCTTGTATGGATTGTGCTAATTTTTGTTCCTTCATGGTCTAACCTTTTTTGAAGCTTTTTTCTTACACACAAATTAATCATCTGTACCAAGTTCTAGAATAACATAGGCCTATCAGAAACACAAGCATGTGACAGGTAAGGCTACCCAATCAGTGCAGCAAATTGATGTTCACAAAATTGAAGGCAGAATCTGGCATTTGTCAGTCCTTTCAATCAGACAAATGACATGTATAAAGAAGTCAATAATGTACAATTTAAATGACTTGTCATTCAGGGACAAAAGGATGACCAGGAAAACTCAAAACCAACTAATGATGTATCTGATCAATTGACCAATGCCAAGATATGTGAGCTATCCAATGGCCCAATTGAAGAGAAGACAAAAAATAAATCTAGAAAAACAAACAAGAGAAACAGGGATTGCGAATCAGAAGATAATAGTGTTTCCGTAGAAAACTGCAATGGTAATGAGGAAACTGAGCCCAGTTCAAAATCAAAGAAAAAGAAGTCGAGACACATTGAAAATAACACTATTGAAGAAAGTGAAAGTATCAATGTTGATCTAAACAGTCAGGTTTCTCAAGGTTTGTGCTAGAATTTTTTTTCAATAATGGAATGTATCACTATGTGCTAAAATCATGCAGACAAAGCCTGTTCTGTTTAGTCCTGTCCTGTCCTGTCCTGTCCTGTCCTGTCCTGTCCTGTCCTGTCCTGTCCTGTCCTGTCCTGTCCTGTCCTGTCCTGTCCTGTCCTGTGTTGTCCTGTGTTGTCCTGTGTCCTGTCCTGTGTTGTCCTGTCCTGTCCTGTCCTGTCCTGTCCTGTCCTGTCCTGTCCTGTCCTGTCCTGTCCTGTCCTGTCCTGTCCTGTCCTGTCCTGTCCTGTCCTGTCCTGTCCTGTCCTGTCCTGTCCTGTCCTGTCCTGTCCTGTCCTGAAAACGCAACCGTTTTGTTCCGTTCTGCTCTGCTCTTCTCATCTTCCGTTCTTCGGTCATTCGATTTTGTTTCGTTTTGCTGTTTTTGTTTCTGATAAGACACAACATTCTTGCTGCAGGAAAATTTAGTTGGCAAAAAGCACTCAAAAAAGTGTTGAAAGACGCAGGGGAAGATGGGATATCCATAAAAAGACTTAAAAAGAAGGTATTTGTTAACTATTATCGATTTTCTTAGAGTATCTCAACGTATGTTTCGAATATACCATTACGCATCCTAGTATCGATGCTTGGAATACCGTACCATCTCGAATAAGCGCTCCCCTGCAAATACGCACACATGCTCCAATGTGCACATGAAAAAGCGCACTTCTGCAAGCTGAGAAAATACGGCATTTTTGTTTTTGTATTAAAACTGAAATTAGTTGGCCTAATCTATTCAAATCTAAACGAATTGAAAGACATTGTTGCGATTATGTATACGTATCTCGAACCCCAGGCATGATTCGCCCTTACCAGGTTCAAAAAGCAGGTTCAAAACTTGTACTCCCTGTGTTTAAAATCAAATGCTCGAATGAAACAATCTAATTGTTAATCACTCTTATCCGTGCCTTGGTTGATATTATTTGATTTGCAGCGCAAATGGTGTGATCTTCCATCCAGCGGAATAATATTTTGTTTCAATGAGATTTTATGTGAAATTTAAATCCGCACCTTAAAATTTCACGCTTTTTAAACCATTTTACCTATCTTTGCATACCAAATAGAATAATCAGCCAGTCTGCAAGTTTTGTGGTTATATACTCTTCGGTTACCTCATTGAGTTTGTAAACCGAGATGCATGATAAATGCCATTTTCTCAGCTCGCAGATCTTGGACTGATAGCGGGATGCCATCATTAAACTCAATATTTACTGAAGAATAAAATATTTTCTGCTCCAAATTAATGCAGTGATGTTACCTTCTGAAAGCTTGTTCTTGTATCCACAAGTGTTGTTGATATCTCTGAAGGCGATTTACCCTTACTCGTGAGACCACAAATCAATGTTTAAGACGTTGAGAGTGCAATGAAAATTCTTTTCATAAAATTCAAGAGAATGATTGCTTAACAGCTAGATACACCTCGCTGCAAAAGTGGTATCGTGTTATAAAATGCGATGTCAGTATGCGCTATCTAATTAATTCAGTTCTTAAAGAATTTTCTAAAGTATAAGTGATATGTTTCTAGTATTTGTAAGACAATTTGTTGAATATAAAACCTGACCTGCTAAAAATTTGGTTAGATTTTTCTATATCTTTGTCAGATAATGCAAAGGCAGCAATGTTTAATAATACAAGTTAATCAGTCAAAATTTTTGCTATCAATTACAGCTAATTATTGCTATCTTTTTCTTCACTTTGGTTTTTGTATTTCCTCGAAACCTACTTCTTTGATTTTTCTTTAGTGCTATTTTTGAAAGAGTGTGCTGTTTATATCAACGCAATATTGTTATATAGTTTTCAAAACATTTGATGCTAGTCAGACACGCATACGGTATATTATTAGCATCTGTCTGAAAACTGTTCAATCCTGTGCTTGAAGCAATCGAAAAACCTTCCTACACTTATGTTGAATCTGTTTTTTCTGAGTAATGGTATTTACCTTGTCCGTAGTTATTACTTCTATTGTTTAAGCTTTCCTGTCTCTATTTTTTTATTGTAAAACCTTTTATTGATGTTGCTAAAATAAGAGAACTTAAAATTTCTACTCAACCTATTCTCAATTGCCAGTAATTGTCTCTCCTTGTGCAGTTGTAGGTTAGCTTGACGCCTTCTTTCTGCCTCTTCTCTCTGCGCTCGTTTCAACTCTTCTTGCTTTCTACGTTCTTTTTCTATTTCTTTTAACCTTTCATAAGTGATCTTCATGTCTTTTATTTTCAAGCGCTCTTGTTCAACGAGCTTAAGCTTCCTTTTCTCCTCTTCTATCATTATCCTAGTTGCATTAAGCCTCCTTCTCATTTCTTGCTGTGCTGCTTTTATCAAAGCGAGGGCCTCTTCGAATTCGCTTGCTTTCTTCTCGTGCCCATGCTCTCGCAGTGCATCTGCAATCTCAGTAATGTTTCGTTTCTTATCCCGGGTACCCCATGTGCTTGCAACTGTCACTGATGACATTGTAGTGTCGAAATAACCACTATCGCGCTTTAAGAAGGGTTTCAATGGTTTCTGTGACGATTTCCTAGGTTCTATTTTTCTCGAATTGATTACTTCATAGCTATCCTGCGAATCGAAGAACATATCAAGCCTGTCCTTTGCACATTGTAACTGCATCTCAGATTCGCTTTGCACAGATATGTCTCCGACTGTCTGCATTGCCTGTCGTTTTTCTTTTGGTGACATCTTCTTAATGATCATTGTATCTTGTGGGGATGAATTCTCATCTTCGACAAGATATGACGATGATAACTGTGATTTGTTAGTTTCTCCATCTGACTCATCATCTATGGTACTCAGTGTGCCTTTCCTGGTATAGCTCATGCCAAAACTTGGCATGCAATGCTCTTTAGTGCCTTTGTTTATGTGCGAGTTTGGTGATGTAGGGGTATCGTTGATTTTCTGCATTGAAACAGCTACTTCATTATAATTTTTGCAGTTATTAAGAAACCTATTAACCTTTTCAGAAATTCTAGTCCTACTGTTTAGACGTCTCTGTGTATTTTCTTGTTCGACATTGTTTATATCTGTTTCGGTATTTTGGGGCAACCCTCCGCAAGGATTTTCCCCTCTTTCATCTTCATCATCATCGTCCGTTACCTCTGCAAGACAAGACAATGCTGTTTTTGACATAGCAGTTTCCCCTGTTTTAGTATTGTAATACCTCTCTTCGCCACTGTTGCTTTGAAATAATTTATTGTTGCGTTTTCTGTTGAAATAATTACTTTCAACATCTTTCCCTCCCAAAGTGCTGCACCTTATATCCCGTTTATATGTTCTTTGCACATTACTTATCTTACTATTACAGTCTTCTAGTTCTTCGTTCTCTTCAGGATTTTTTCCTTTTGATATATTTTTCAATTGCAATCTTTGCTGTTTGTGTCTCTTTTTATTCTCTGAAGTTCTTCGCCTTGTTGACCTCTTTCCCTTTAGTTCTGATGCCCATGTAGTGGTTTCCACTTTTGTATTTTTATCGGCCTGTGTGGTTTTCTGTATGGTTATTTTACTTAGCTGCTTTCTTCGTGCCATTATTCTGTCATGGTTCGCTTCCATTTGTCGAACTAATCCGAAACCGCTTGCAAATTTCGTTACCGAAGTTTTACGATCCCTTTGCCAGCTCCCCTCTGCAAATGCTTTCTCGATGTTCTTACTGTGCTCTGATATAGTTATTTTCAACTTCAAGTCGCTAAAGTACTCCATATAGTTTGCACTTACTCGATCAGCCTTTAATTCCACTTTCTCTAATGTTTTCCTTGCTGCTTCAACCGTTTTATTGAGCATAAATTTCAACTTTTGTTCTTCCTCTTTTGCTTCATGTTGTGTTGTTCGCCAAACAGCTAACTCGCTTGAAGTTATCTTTGAGGTTATGTATGTTGATAACACCGTTTGTCGTAAGATGTCCCAACATTTATTCGCCCGTATTTTCACAGAGTCGCCTGACACGCTACTTTGCGTTCTTTTTATTTCCATTGCAGCACCTTCTCGTGTTTCCTCTATAAGTTTATATTTACGTATGATTTTGAAGCACTGCTTGTATTCTCCATATGAAAGTATTGTCTGTCCTTGTTGTACTTTGATCTCCCCCGTCATTTAAATCCTCATATTAATTTGCAATATGAAAATGTTCAGTTACCGTACACATGAGCTGATCTTCATAAGGCGTTAATTTAGTGTTGAAGATTTATGAATTTTTGAATAAAGACATTCAATTGAATAATCAACGCAAGATCAATGTTATCTTCACGTTACCTACCAAGCCCTTCGTTTTAAACAACGCGTTGCTTACCATTTCTACTTAATTCTGCAGATTTGGCTTCTCTGCAGTCCTTGATGTTTCTTTGAATGTGCTAACCAGCCCTTGCCAACTGCTCCCTTTCCACTAGAAGGACGATCTCACTATGTCGGTGAACAATCTTTTGGCGGCAGGTGCTTAGCTGTGAAGCTAGTCGCTATGCTCCTTCCTTCTGAGTGATCAATACATCGAGCACTGTCTCAACAAGGAATAATCCTGCACAAGCTTGCAGACAGGTGTTTGATTATATATAGAACGTGCAAGAAGGTCGTTATTCCATTCCACAGAAGAGTATTGCCTGTCCCGCTCCAACACGAAAGCTGTATGATAGTTGTTTCGTAACATAAAAGCCCGAAAGGATCATTGCCTTTTTTGATTGACGTTTCGTAAACATCAAGAGATTGACAGGTCTTTTGTGTCAGTGTTATAGCCACTCTTGTCATCACTGACACCATATAAGGATGGCTTTCATGATTATCATTTCCAATCACGATAGAAATTCAAAGTTCCCCTAGATATATTCACATTTGCAGATTAAGCTTTTACTTAATTGTAGTCATGAAGTTGCATTTTCTTGAAACAAATGGTGTCTTCAAACGTTTTAACCATAATTTTTACAAACAGTGTTTTGATTTGTACTTGCAGAACAAATCTTTCTAGATGACCGACGTAATGTAGGGGTAGCACAAAATCATGGTTAAAATACTGTTTATTAAGCATTTCTACAATGACTGCTGTAGGTCATTGATTGGGTTTGACAGAATTGCCAATATTCATTATTGCGAAACTGAAATAAATGCGTCATGCATCGATCCCTCCTTAAACATGACCTCTTGGAGGCCTTTACCTATGTTTGTGTGTGCAGAGCTGTCTTTGTAGCCATTAATTTTTCGTTATGTTCAAATCTCAGTTTTGCAATGATGAAAAGATCTGGGGAAATGCAACTTGGGGCCGTAGAAGAACTAGACTTCTCTTTTGTAGAAGAACTAGACTACTCTTTTAAAAACCCATTATTGCTTTGATTAAGCTGGAACACATTACATATCATTTCACCGCGTGAAGTTTCACATAATTCAGTTTCTATGCAGGCTATATTTAAAGTAATTAGCTAACAAGTTTAGAAAACTTTTTGAGACTGTTGATTTTTATCAGTTCGAGACATTGTTTATATTTCACTGGCATGCATATCTTATGTCTTTCAAAAAGCCGTTTCTATTTGGAAGTAACTATATAACATATTAAGTTGCTAGTTTGCAGGCCTGTTTTATTGTTGTAATCTGAATTTTCAATCAGCAGAAGGTCTCTCGCTTCGTACTTTTAAACCAAATCTAATTTGTTTTGTTAGAATCTAATCATCGCTTCCCTTTGAGCCTCGCTTGTCTTCGACGCTAGGGAGACTTTTCTTGGATTATAAGATTTTAAATTCAGAATTGAATTTCACCATTTGTTCAATGGCCCTGCTACATCACTGGATCAGTTTATATGATCGTTTTCATGATTTTAGATTATGTATTTGCAAACGAATTGATTTCCTGAAAGTTTTGTAGCCTCTTGGCTCCTGGGTTACTTGAATCATTCAGAAGAAATCTAGAAGTCGATATTAAATGGGGCAGTCTTGCTCTCCCTGAGTTGGTTTTTCTAAATATTTTTTTGTCGCAGTTATTCTTGTGATTATCACAGCACCCGCTATTATTATTTTGAACGCCATGGTTGCTGCAATGCCCCAAGATTTTCTAAATGCCCAACTGCAAGCAATCACACTACGACAAAGACCAGGCGAGAGGTTGTATAACGCCAGAAGAATTGGGCCTGTTGTATTTTTAAGCTGACACCAAACTTATTGATGGGTGCGCATTATTTGGCATCAATTAATGAAATCTTAAGAAACATGCATGCACGATACTGAATGACTTTCTAAGAATTTATTTAATAATTCATGAATGTTATGTTAGATTGCGATTTTAACGAAAACTTGACCTGTGAATTTTGTAATGTAAGTGCTTTTGGCGTTACCGCATAGCAATTTTTTTGAGAAATCTATTTACTTCACATGACACCCTTTTCAATGATTTTGACAAAATGAGATCAATTATCTCATCAATTCTCATTTCCTGCATGATAATTTACATTGAATCTCCATATCTAAGATGGAATTAGTTGAATGTGTCGCCCACAAGAAATTCTCATTTCTTTGCTTTGCCGTTATGCGGTGCCCTTTTGCTGTTTGCTAGGTAAATGTCAATAAAGCAAAGGCTTGACTTCAGAGTTACCTTTTAGAACAAAGTGTTCATTCCATAAACGTTCCGTTGTTGCTGCATTTGCGTCATTGAGCATGCTTGCAACGATGCTTGTTTTCGCGCATAAGATGCTTGTTTTCTTCGATTCATGAAGGTATCTCCGTAAAGCTGGAAACATATCACAGCTATTGTAATCCTCAGTATAAATAAGCAGTGAATTTCCTTCCTAGATATCACCTTACTTTTCAGCACAGAAAGTTTATTCACCAAAATAAAACATAATTTTCTAACGTTTTTACGTTCAATTGTGTATTGACAATATCTATATCGGTTTTTTTTCTTGTCTTGTGTTTTTTTAGATTTTTGTTTTTCCACGATATGCAACTGTAATGCGCTTCAATTAACGAAGCTAGAAGATCTTTAATGCCTTGCCTTTAATCCATTTCAAAACACCGGACATGTTTTGTATAAATAAAGCAATTTTTGCTTTAATACTGAAATCTGCGATAAAGAAAGGTAAGGGGAAGATCTTAGTGCAAAGGAATTATGCAGAAGATTATGAAATTCGATGTGCTGACTTTGATCGTTTTAAATCGAATTTAAGACATATATGTCCCACAAGGTTAATTAGCTAGTGGGACCATATGTAAGCGCATTCCTGTCATCTTTCAAACAAGCTGCTTTCGAACGATTGTTGCACCTAATGGCTTTGTAGAACCATTTAGCTCTTCGATAATATCTTTGATCTATTTACCTGAATGTCGAAAAATCCCAATGCCTCGGGCTATATCGAATGAAAGTATTCATATTAAAGCCTTTATCGGGGAATCGGGAATTAAATTTAATCGTTTGCTAAATTTGCTTTGTTGCAAAATCTAAATTTTTGCATTGAATTAGTTATCATAATTAACCTCTCGCGTTCAGCAACAGCCACAAAGCGTCACAAAAGCGCGTGCTAGTTTATATTACCTTGCTCTCTGCCACTTCTGACTCCTTTGTTGAATGCACGTACCATTGTTTCCTCATTTCGATCGACCAGAATAATGCTTGCATTTTTCTGCTAAAAAAGAACATTTTGTTTTATTTGTGGTTTACTGGCAGTGTCCAAGACCAATCTATCATTGCTGGTTTTTCACCAGGTTGTCTTTTTGCAGGTTATTACAGAGTACAATGCCCATGGGACAAATCACCAAGCATCGACAACAGATCAATGCTCAGCCGTGTTCAAACAAAAGTTAGGAAAATACAAAAACGCCAAGATTGTCAAGGAACGTGTATTTTACAAGAAATAGAGCATGTGTATGATTCTAGGTATTTTTATGGTGAAACCTTTTGGTTCAAATAGTTTTATTAAATGTTTTATGAATTAATCTTGTCTTGATCTTTTTAAAAGTTCCTGCGAATCCTCTTTTTCAATAATAGAACTTCCATTTGTTTTCGGCAGTCGCTTGATTTTCTTGGCTGTGGAGAGCTTGTCCTGTTTACAAGGCCGATGTACACTTATGTTTTATAAGATTACTATAGATTTATCCAATTTTTATATTATCAAGAAATTTTTGCTTTGAGCTTTGGTTCTGAAATGGTTTCAGAGGAACAGCACCCGCCCCCGATTAGAAAGTATGCTCTGGGACAAAACGAAGAGTGTCAGCCATACGATTCTCTGTTATAAACATCCCAAAACAGGGGGCAACTGCTGAAAAATGAGACACAAATATGCGAGATAAGGCTTAGCAATATTTTCATAAAGAATGTGATGTGACTGAGCCTGAATATTCTTATATACGATATTCTTATAAGAGTGTATCCACCAGAAGAAGAGCAATACTATTAGTCGTATGAGTACATATTACTCAGGGGCAAATCCTATTTTGGCTCTCGCTACCGCAGTCATTGGTGACAGCTTAAGTCATGGCTAACGCTCTCAACCTTTCTGTCGAGTGTCGACTTTACTCAAAATATAGCCAAAGCAGAAGACAGAAGTCTGATGCAATTACTAAATAAAGGAAATTTTGGCGGAGAAACATGTACCAAATTGCACATGCGATACTTGGCAAAAAGTCGAGTATCAAGTCGAGAAGTGGCCAAACGCTCTCTACAACGGTCGAGAAAACCTCTAAATGTCGAGCACGACCACTTAGAAATTTTAACCTTATTCAAATTTGACTCGACAACGCTTGACAATGCTCTACGACGCTTAACATCACTCGACCAGTTTGCCAAACGCTCTCGACCGACGGTCCAGGGGGACTCCCATTATGGCCGAATAGGGGGTCCAGTCGGAGTCAAAGAGGGCCAAAGCTAAAATGTTAAAAAGTTGCCCTGAAATGGTAGTCTTTTTTGACAATAACCCTCAAATGGTAGCATAAGAATCGAAATTATGTCCTTGGTGGCATCCATTTCTTTGGGCTCGCCTGGTCCTACATTGGAAAATAAATCCGCCATTGACTGTTAATGATAAGGGAAAGATAAAATCTTGTTCGTGTTCTATGGTAAATCAAAAACTAAACCAAGCAGTTGTGTTATTATCGAAACTGGGTCATTTGGTAAAGATTTGTCAAGACCCCCCTGTCAGGCCTTAATGGGGTTACCCCCTGGGAACAACGACCGGGCATTGTTGATTGAAATGTCAAGAGCGTTTGGTTGGGGCTTTAAAATGAGAGCCAGGAGTGTAGATGGGGTCAAATTTTTCAAAGCTAATTTGTCAAAAAAAACTAATTTGTCAAAGTAGCGATGCTATTACCGAAATTTCTAACAAGTTTGGTTCGAAGGAGCAATATCATTCCCCTTGCATTTTCTTTGTCCCAGATTTCATTGTTAGAGTAAAAATTGTTTTATTTATGCAAAACATGTTCGGTGTTTTGAAATGGATTAAAGACAAGGGATTAAAGATCTTCTAGCTTCGTTAATTGAAGCGTATTACAGTTGCATATCGTGGAAGAACGAAACTCTAAAAAAAATCAAGACAAGACAGAAGGCCGATATAGATATTGTCAATACACAATTGGACGTGAAAACCAGGGGCGTCGCAACCAAGGGGGGTTTGGGGGGTGTGACACCCCCTCCCAAATAGTATCTCAATAGGAAATTTCAGGTAAAGTCCGCTCGGCGGAAGAAACGCTTTAGGTATTTCAGAGGCCTTCGTGTCATAAAATCAATAAAGGATCAAGCAAAGGTAGTTGCTCCGTTGGTTAAATATGATATACCTTGATATGTATGATGGTAAACAAACTAATGATTTGAAGATTTGAAGATTGATTGTTCGCAATAAATCTAAAAATCCAGGCCCTCTTTAGGTAAATTTTTGCCTTGTGTCCATTTCTCCTAAAGTTTCTCAGTAGAAGCGTCAACTGCAATTCACTATGAGCTCCGGATATTTTTAACATTCAAAAGGCATGCTAAGATGGAAAGAGGGATCTAAGTTGACAACCAGTGCTGCTTCTTACCTAGTATTAGAAGTAACTGACAACATGGTATTTATCAAGACCACGGCGAAATTGTTGTTTTTATCTGCTGTAAAAAATTTTTATACAAAATAATAATTTTCAATAGGATTAGGAGGATTGCTTTAGTGAAATTTGCTCAAAGGGGTGCATTTTCCAGGGAACTAGAGGCATCAAAATTCGAAATTTTTTCTATTAGGAAAGTCCGTTATTTATTACCATATAAAAATGAAATTTGCGAATTATATACAGAGTTGGATTGACATGTATTGCAGAGGTTTATGTCAGCAGCTAAAGAATTTCAGGCAATAATTTTTTAATCAGGTAAATTTGTAGTACACAGCCCCCAATGATATAGAAGCGCCTTCGGCGCTTCTATCTCATTGACACCTCTCCCACCCCCTCCCCCGCAACGAGGCTTGCCTCGCGACGGCTCTGGTTAGAACGTTAAAAAACGGCTCCAAGCCATATGTCCTTGGACGAGACAATGAGCAAAAGATGATTTAAAAGAAATGTGGCAAAAGACCCTTGTCTTGAAATCACAAACTATTTATATTTTCACATGGCAATGGGTTGTTTGCGAAATGGCGCGAAATTTCCTTCGAATCTTTTTAGGAATGTGAAGCCTCGTTCTCAATTTTTGGCCTATTTGCAAAAGGATTTGTAAACTTTGCTTCACTTTTTGGAATTATTGCAGTTTGCCAAAGAATTATGCTGGTTTCATATTCTATGAGAACTGCTTTGGGCAAGTGTGCAGCTTTCAAGCTAATTTCAAGAAAAATAACGGCCCTCCCTTGCTCCTGCAACGTTACAACGAAGTATTGCCACTGGTACTCAACAAGGCCGAATGATGTTGAATTTACGTCAGAGAAATATCCAAACTTAAAGAGAAAGGATTTTTCAAAAGTAAGGATATGAGTGGGTAACACTTTTTCAATTTTTTTCTGTAATTATCGCGAAAAAGGACATGCTAAATGGGAATGGAGATCGGTTGAGGGGGAGGAGGGGAGGGGGTTTAACTAGTGGTTAACAGAAGGAAACAAAATTCCGGAAGTTAAATTGTAAATATTTGGTAATTCTGCATATGGATAGAAATATTCACAATGATTAAAGATCTATATATTGCTTACCTTTGTGTATATTGACATAACGTCTTTATACAGAGATCTTCAATGATGAAAAATACATATATTTTTGTATATAAATTACAACTGCAAAAAGAAAAAAGGGTAAGCTTTTTTGTCTGACATTCCCCACAGCATAAAGCGTCAGAATACTGGTCTGGAAGAACATGATGAAAATATATACCCAGTTGTGGAACAAAATAATCAAATCAAAAAAACGCAAGCACAAGATTGGTATGGTTGGCCAATCACAGCCATGTGCCTAAAGAAAAATTACCACTGGACTCCACCAAGAGAGAAAACAAACAAAACCATGGATTGGTACTAACTTCCTTGCGATTTGAGAGTCTTTGCTGTCAATTCTTATACTGTTTACAGCAGTAGGAGAGCCCTTCCATCCATTCAAAAGGATTGCGTTCCTACCAGCCAAAAAAGTTATGTTGTTTATGGATTTATGTGCCAGTGTGATTCTGGCTATGTGGGACACACAACCCAAAGATTGGGAGAAAGGATAAAACAGCATGTTCCTTCCAACATAAGAAATAAAACTGCCCCTCAAATTGAACAGCCTCCTCTGCGGTTTTCATCATGTGGAAATTTGACTCTCTTGATGAAAGTGAAGCTGGCCACATGTCATTTTTTGTTTTTATTTTTTCTTTTATTTTCTCCTCTGTGGTTTTCATCTTGACTATCTTGTAGGTCTAGAAACACTGTTAAAACAAGTGATTCTACCATTGGTCAACATCTTTGAGATAACCCAGATTATGCTTAACTCTATAATAACGACATGTTTCGGATAATTGGCAGAGCCCAGTTTTGGAATCAATTTACATACAAACAAAAAAGCAAGACAGAAGGAGTTTGTGTAGACAGAAGGAGTTTGTTTACTCTCTTGGATTCCAGTGGTAATTGTTCTTTAGGCATGTGGCACTGATTGGTCAACTATACCGATCTTATGCTTGCCCTTTCTGATTGGTCTATTCTGATCCACAACTGGGTATATATTTTTCATTGTGTTCTTTCGAACCCCTAGGGCCTATTGTGGTATGGATAGGCTTTGCGTTTACACAGGACCTGGGGGATGCGATCCAATTTTGATCTTCTATCTGTACCAATTTGAGATCACTTTTGAAGATGGTCCCATTTGGATCCGATCCCAAAAAGGTCTAGTGTAAATGGTTGGGATCAGATCCAAACAGGTACAGATACAAAATATGGCACAAAATGTCCTTTTCAAGGTATTTTGTAAGAAATTTATTGTTTCAAATCTTTTGACTTGGTTTATCCTTAGCAATCAAATCTATTTATCAAAATGTCATTATTTTCAAAATGAATAAAGTGGTTGATAAAGGACCAAAGAGCAATTGGAAGTATTTTGCAAGATGATATTATAATGTCATTGATTGATTGCATATCCTAGTAGTTTGCCAGGCCACTGTAGCAGCCATTTATGGAACTTACTTTTGATGATACTGATCTGATGAAAATATTAATTTTCTCTTTCAATGTGATTTCTGTGCTATATATCCTGATTTAATTCGGTGATATTTTAAACATTTTGTTGCCATTACAGGTAAATCAAAGTGACATGATGTTTTTTGATGAATTATTGCCTGGAAGGGTTGTTACAGATGAAGATGAACTCTTAAACCACAACACTGACTGGCTGCGTATTGTTCGGTAAAAAAATAGACAATATTTTTCTTTAAAATATTGATTGATTAACGCATCCAAATAAATCATCCAAATTACGCTGATTGATTAACTTATATTGGCACTGAGCGCTGAATTGTCTATCAAAATAACTTTAAACGTTTGCAAGCAATCGTGAAAGCCAGAAAGGTCATTCATTTGTTAATTTGGGTTAGAATGGCAGTACCACACGATGTATAGCTGTGGCTTCTGATTTTCTAGAGCAATCATTAATATCTGCTCTAAGTGTATTTTGAAAAATTATGTTCTACTTCACCAATGTTTGTGTCATAAGTCTTTTCCACATCATCTGCTATGTATAATGATAAGCGTTAGTATTTTATTTGCCTAATTTTACTATTGGTACATTTGAGATCTTGTTTGTTGAGAGACTGAGTTGTGTCTCTTGAATTTTGCAGAGGTGCTAGCAAAGTTTTGTTGAAGCCAAAGTCCACTGAAGAGGTCTCCAAAATACTTTCATATTGTAATGAAAGAAGGTAAGTTTAGAATTTTGATGATCCTGATAAGAGTTTAGTTAACTGGTAGATCTGAACGCTAAAAATAATATGTTATTATGAGAAAGAGAGTCGAAAGAGAGAATTTTTGCAAATATTGCTTTTGCTCAAAGTGGAGGATTTTCCTTCCAGTCCTAGAGTTTTTTTTACAATGGCTCTAGAATAAAAGTTAGGTATCAGTATTATAAGCTTTTGGTATCTTTGTTATTGTTCTTCAAGGCAATGCCAGCCACTAGGCTACACCTTTCTACTGTAAGAAAAGCAAGCAAATACCAATTTCACCAATGTGGAAAACCTACAACTAATTTTCGATAAAATAGCCAGTTTCAACATCCCTTAAACACATCATAAATCGCACTTTGCCATAACATGACCCCTTTACAAAATTATAAAAACGACGTCAATCCTCCCGGAGAATGGGATATCGTAACTCCCAAGACCCCCCATGGTGCTGCAATAAATTGTTACATCTATTATTCCTTCTTCCCTAATAGACAAGGCTTCTATACAGAAAGTGTACCATGATATTGAGCAACACTTGCCCTGTTGCAATGAGAAAGGTTTTGGTAAATAGCGAATATCTCCTGCGTTTACGAAATATGGGCATTTTCCCAAACCTAGGGTCACAACCAATTTTGAATCACGTGCACTGCGGCCTTTACTGCACCTACCCTTATTCTACTTCAAAATAATATGATTCTTTTATAGTTTAGAAGTTTTTCAATGCAATCTGATAGCAGATTATATCAAATCTTAAAGTGATACGTTCAAAATATGGAGGCCAAATTTTAATCAAAGCCTTTTCGGTAGAACTTTCTTTGTCCCTTATTTTACCTTCGCGCAGATTATAATGAATTTTTTGTTTTTACCAACTTTAAAGCACATGACATGTAGGCCAAAGAGTTTACTGAAACAGGAGTTCTGTCAGTTACAGTTATTCCCAAATTTCATATACTTTTCCAGCTATCGTATATCTAGTTTTTTTATCATATCATATCTCTGTCCTCTCCGTCACTACTATATTCTCTATCATGTCCTTGCGATTTTCGGCAGCAGCACCTTTAACCTAATCATCTTCTTCTTAATTCTCTGCTTCATCGTCAGGAAATACGTGTTCCCAACCAACTGCCGAAAACAAGAGGAGGAGGCTTCTGTTATCCTTCAATAGTTTGTGATGTTCCCTTTTTTGTTTTGCTAGATAATTGACGAAAACATATAAATCAACTCTCTCCAAAAGCCTCTTTGATACAGTTCCAAGTTTGCCAGATTCATGATACTCTTTACTCAGCACATGTTTATACTTTTTATTTTGGGCCTTTTTGTTTTTCTATTAACGTGACGAGCATCACATTTGCTATCAAATTACTGAGTTATGCCACGAACTATTCCATCTAATTCTTGACCTGCCTCTGTTTTTTATGATTTTTCCATGCTTACATATTTCTTGGTAAATTTTGTCTCCCATTTTCTAAAGCCTCTGTTCAACTTTAGATACTTTGCTTGCTATTCGTACGGACTTGCCGGATCAACCCTTTTAATCGTCTCAACACCTCCATTTCTATTTTTCAAGTAGTTTATCTTCCTCTCTCTCGCAAGTACCTAAATGCCTCTCTGCACAATCCCTTCCGCAATTTCTTTTACTCTCTTGCTCCTTTTTTGTTTTGCTGAATGAAACTTTCAGTTACTGCAGATGAAGCCTGACAACTCCTGTTTGCTATTTTCTTTCTAAACAGAAGTTTTGCAATGATTAAATTGATAACCAACTAATTTCGTACTGCCTGCAAGTTTAGTCTGTGCTCAAGACCGCTAGCTTGAATTTATCAGACCCCCACTATTTTTTTAGATTGGCAGTTGTACCTCAAGGTGGCAACACAGGCCTAGTCGGTGAGATTACAAATTCTATTTTTGTAGAATCTTTGACAAATTTTAAATGCACGTCAAAAAATTTGACTGCATTTTGCTTTCCGTTGGTGCCATCCTTACGTATATTTCTGTTGTACAAGAGAATTGTAAAATGTAAGGATTTTTGAGGCCAATTCCAACAAGGAAAATTATATCAAATTTACAGAAAAGCTGGTCGGCAAGATATGAAGTGCAGTTACTGGAAAACTGTCTTAAACACGCAGATATATGCAAGTTGCCATTCTATGCCATGATTTTATGACTTTGAACACTATGCCGAGACTTAAAGTGAGGAGAGATTCATGTCATGAGAAATTCATGTCGATTGATTACTCTTGAAGAAAGAACCATTCAAGACAAGGTACTCTATGGTTTTAATCAGTGTTTATGCTTTTCAAATTTTTGTGACTTTGGTACATTTTTTGACAGGTGGAAGTGTTCCTGTCTTTGATGAAATCATCATTTCCACTTCCTTGATGAACAAAATAATTGACGTTGATGAAACTGCAGGTAAACGGATGATTATACCTCCAACATGCAGATCGTGAGTGGTAATTTAATGATTTTCTTTAATACGATTAAATAAAACTGGTTTTTGCTGATAGCAATGGCCCTGTTACACGCTCTAGCTTTAAGATCCTGACGATTAAAAAGAAATTTTTTTGAACACAATCCAAACGTTGAAAATTAGGACAAAAATATTTCATATTAGATAGTAAATCACTTTTTTGTTGATGAATGAGTTTTATCCCAGGTATTCTGGTTTGCCAGGCTGGTTGTATACTGGAGGTGCTTGATAATCATTTAGCAGAGCGAGAATTAATGATGCCTCTTGATTTAGGGGCAAAAGGAAGGTGAGACACGCTTATTCAATCTTGCTTATTCATTTGTATCTGCTGTATAAATTTAATCAGGATTGTTTGCATTTATTCAAAAATTGAAATTTGTTCAGCAATATTGACGTTGATTTGCAGCAACGAAATTAATAAAGTTGATTTTTCTCGCCTTTTTTGTAATCTTAAACCATAGCCGGGGCTTAAAGTTTGTGCCATCAAGAAAAAAATTAATTTTTTTGGCTACAACTAGAATTCTATAAAGATCAATTTTTTAGAATAGAATATGTAACTAAACCTGAAAGAAAATAAAGCAAACACTAAATTTTGCGGCTCTTTTTACCACCCACAATTGCAGGGCTTTCCCTGTACGCGAATTTTTAAATTATTGGCAAACGTTTAAAGATTTGTTGAGTGTATTTCAGATCAAATTAGAACCCTTTTTTAATCACAGCTGTCATATTGGCGGCAACGTTTCTACAAACGCTGGTGGTATACGACTTCTTCGGTATGGTTCGTTGCATGGATCTGTGCTAGGAGTTGAAGCAGTATGTCATGTTCTCATTTATTTTTTCTGGCTGACTGCTTTATCATCTTCTTAGGGAATCGCTGCGAAAATTTTATATTGATTTGTCATTTATCAAGGCATGTTAAGACATACTGCAGCTTTTGTTTTGACGCTGTGACGTCTGACAGAGTCAATACCAACTGGCTATTAAACAATACCATAATAATACCTATTAAACATTACCTATTGAACAATAAAACAATACCAACTGGCTATCCACATATCCACATCTATGTCCACTATATAATTCCTTAAATTTAGTATATAGGTTTATTTCCTAACGTATAAGGGATTTTCAATATTCTGACGTTTCATTGTCTTGCTCCTTCTTATTTTCCAACGAAAAGTCTAAGTGATATCAATCTTTGCATGTTTTCTTTCTCTTTTGAATTTGCTTTTGTCTGGTCACTGCACAAATCTTAATACTTCTAGTTGAATCTTAGAATCCTCCTGTTGTACACACTAATTCATGTAAAGCTTTCCCTATACGGCATCGAGCAATAAATAACAGACCGTATAACAGTGATTTTCATTGCTAGAGTCTATAATCACCTTAGAATGTCTTGTTACCGAAAGCAATACGATCTCAAGATTTTTGGTACCGATAGCTAAACAGGGGTTTTGAAATAATGGTGTCTATTTAGACGAAGTGGTGTTTATTTTTTTTTATTGTAGGTCATGCCAGATGGAACTATTCTAGACTGTTTATCAAATCTACGCAAGGACAATACAGGTGCTGATGTTACCGAGGAATTTGATATAAAAAACGTGTAAGGTTTCGTGAGAGTCTAGGGCTGAAGTTCTTAAGGAAAAGAATTTCGATAAGAAATATAACCAGTGTATGTCTAAATGGAAGTGACTGTAATTAGATTTTGAATTTTTTGCACTACAGATTCTTCTACCAAAGGTGATAAGTCACTGCTATTGAGAATAAAACTGTTCTCTAACAACGTGATAAAACCTTTGCAAATTTAATGAACCTTTGGTACTTTTTCTTAATTTCTAAAATTCCGACAAGAACATTAACTGTGAATGTGTTTTGGCGAAAGCATTCTGAGTTTATTTCGAAAAAAAATTTACTTTCTTTGTCAAAACATCTCTTTTATGCTGCTTGCTCATTTTTTATGTAAAAATAAACATTAAGTTTTTCACTATTTTATTCAATTGCAGACTTTTTGCTCAAGTTCAGAATTTTGATCTTCGGTCTCGCCCTTAATGGGGCTTTTGCAAATACATGCAATTGTTATGAACTTGCAGCTGACTTACAAATCTTAACTGTTTTAAAATGCTGTTTTATCTTTTGATATTGCTGTTTAGAGGGCATTTAAAAATGCTGAACTATATACTGTTCATAAATTTGCAGTAAAGTTTGTTATACATCGTTTCCTTAGGCTATGATCTGAAGCAACTAATGATTGGTTCAGAAGGAACCCTTGGTATCATCACAAAGGTTTCAATCTTGACACCCCAGAGGCCTAAGGTATAGAGATGGACCCCTTCGATTTCCAACGCTATTCTGTAAACTGACTAATTCATCTGACAACCATTGATTTTAATTTGATTAAAGCATATTTTTGTTCCAGGCTGTTAATCTTGCTTTTCTTGGTTGCAATTCATTTGATTCTGTACAAGAGATCTACGTTAGAGCAAAAATGATGCTTGGTGAAGTACTGTCAGGTATTCACCTGTTGCTATTTTGATTGTGGAAATGATTTATTAGTTAAAAACTTTCCTTGACCTCAACATTAACGTTGTATATTGATAAGGTTTTCTGTTAACAGTAAGCATGAATCGCATTGAGAAATATAAGAAAGAATTGCGTTTTGTGAGTTGTAGATATCAAAAGAATTCATTTTCCGTTGGTTGGTTTTTGAATGGAAAGTCACCTGCCCGACCCCGAGGTTATTCTGAGCGACTTTTGCAAAGCAATCTTCAGCTGCTCTTCAACACCCACAAGTCCCGGACTGTTCTCTTGAACGATCACAGGTTTTTGCTTCCTGGGTTATAAGAGCAAATCTACTGATAAATCTGATTTCTAGATTCTCTCCGGAAGGCTATGGGATAATAACCAGTTGAAATGTCTTGCATTGACCTACAACACAGTGCGCCTTTGACGTTTCCCAGTTTCAGATATTGCTTATCAACAAAACATGCCGCGGATAGCTTTACAAGACCTTTAAGCAGCGACAAAGACATAGAAATCCGAACGTCTTGAAGCACGAACAGTAATTATGTTTGTACGATTCAGTTCCAAGTGTGAACACAACAGAACTAATTAGCATTATAAGAAAATAGAAGAGAACATTTTTTTTAAACTTATTGCGAGACGACAGAAGAGTGAAGTTTATATATTTTGAGAATCCGGAAATGTAGTGATTCGCTTACTGTGCCTATATTCATTAAATTACCCCTGCCATTAGAAGCTGCATTGTCCGATAAAATATTATCGATTTTGATATATAACGCAACCACAACAAGAGATATAAATGCCGTGAAGATCTGAAATTTGTGTTGTTCTAATAGATTAATGCATATTTTTTTGACCCTTTTTTAATACATTCAAAAATCTCGTTGCTCATAGAGTACTGATGCAGAATTTTTAACCGAAAGATCTGAGCGATTTAACAATTTGCTACTTCTAGTTTATTTTTTAGAATCTTCATGCCTTGTGAAATTCCATCCCTTGTTAATACAACGGGTTATGATTTTTGTTACTGTAGATTGTTGTAAACTGGCTGAAAATGTTTATCCTATTCTTTTTAGCATTTATTAAGGGCATCTGAATAAGCACATATATATTTTCATTTACTCTGTTGGTAATTGTTACATTTTGACCTGTCACTCCACGTAAGTGTTTCTATGTGCTCTTTTATTCTATAGCTTACGAGTTCCTGGACGAAGAAAGCATGAACTGCGTAAGAAGTAACCTGAAATATAAAAACCCAATCGGAGAATTTCCATTTTATGTTTTGGTTGAAACTTCCGGTTCTAATGCGGATCATGATGAAGAGGTAATTCTGCATGCGCAAACTTAAAACTTTTTTTTAATGCTTATTCTTCGGTTTTTGTTTGAGTAACTGTTTTGCTGCTCAGTCAATTCAATATTTGAATTTTTAAATTCAACATCCTAAATTCTTCATCGTACAGTATAAACACTACCTTTTTTGCAGAAGCTTAGTTTGTTTCTTGAAGATGTGCTTTCTGGAGGGACAGCTTTGGACGGCACAGTATCAACAGATTTAACAAAAGTTGGTTGAATTTTCAGCTTTTAGAAAAATCAATGGATTTAGCCTAACCTACACATCTATAAATAGGCAACCAATCATGATAGACTTCCGTCCTTTTCTTACCAGACGTTACATACAATTATGATAATGCCAATTCAAATTGAATGGCATTGGAAAATATTTTCAGAACACTGGGACACGTGTCCTTTGATTCATTATAAACTGTTTTATCCCTTAGTGTTTTTATTGGATTCTGGTCCTGAAACACAAGGAGAAAAAATTTTGTTGCCAAAAAGAAGTTTTCAATAGTATTGTCCACAATTGACTGAAAAAGATATTTCATAAGATTATAGTTTTTTGTTATTTTACATTCTATGATCCCGATGTATACCTCTCAGACTGTCAGAATCGTATAAATCATTAAATGGAGAAATGATTCATAGAACTGACCTCAAAATCGATGAAAAAGACAATCCTTGACCTTAATCTTAATCCTTGCTTATCTGCTAAATCCAAAAAATAGCCCAGGTACTTCTTTTTATAGCATAATGGCGTTTTTCTTAGGTTAAAGAAATTTGGAGGATTAGAGAGAGTATCGCGGAAGCTTTGATGCACGATGGTACCGTTTATAAGGTAATAGGATATATTTTTCTTTTTTCTTCTGTTCCTCTAGAAAGTACCATTGAATACCTAATTCCTAATATTAAGGACCTAATTTATAGAAAATCTGGAGAATAATTTTATATTCAAGGGGTTCTAGGAAATCGTTTGAATGGTAAAATTTTCAATATTATGGAAAATTTTATTCCTTCTAAATTGCAATCTGATTTAAACGATACATGTAAATTGTCCTTGACTTAGCAATTTCCAAACTTTAAAAATAGGGTGGGTTCTATTAATTTTCAGGGGTGTCTATTTTGCTCGATACAGTATGCCTGTTTAACTATTGTTTAGACGACACTACCCTTTTCATGCTGAGCTGCCATGAACACATAACACATAAAGGCCTGTTCTTTGATAAAGTCTTCAAATTTTATATTTTCTACGATCTAGATATCAAGCAGTCTAAATAAGAATGAACTGTTTTGCTATTGCTTTACGGGAACAGAAAGTGTGAATGTTTTTTCGTCGGTGTTCAACTAGCATTGTCTTAACAGAGTCATATTTACCATTCAGCTCCAGTAACACGTTGGAGAGTCACGTACAGTCAATTACCGTTTAAGTTATGTATCTAAATTGTTTATGATAAAGAAGTTCCAAGTGCAGCAAAAGCCAGAATGTAAACAAGCATCCCTGATTATCTGCCATTACAATCGGCTGATAATAAACATTTTTCTTTTACGTACAAATATCTGTTAAAACCGACGGCTTTTAATCGGCTGTTTATTCTTCAACCAAGTATCTATCTACAAAAATACATAATAAACTGCATACAGGCGGCAAAAATATTATTTCTTTATGTTAAGTATGTCTAGTAACCTAATACTGTAGTGTTTCTATAAATCAAAGAGACATTTATCAAAACTAGCTTAGCCACTAATCTGACATGAATCGAAATTCCTTGAACCGGATAGCCAAGCAAAAACGAGAAAAACAAAATGGAAATGCAATAACGCTGTATCTAGAAGTTTTTCTTCTTAGCCAATTTTTACAATGCTATCAATTTTCAACATTATCAATGTTTCTGGTTGTTTTCTTTGGCGTGACACCTCCATCTTTTTTAGTATGACGTTTCATTGCCCTTGTCTTGTCTGTATGAACTCGTGGTCGACATGCGAAAAAAATTGGCACACCAAGCAAAGCGGGTTGTTGGTTACGGTCACCTAGGTGATGGTGAGTTCCATAGTAACATTAGTATGTTAATAAGCTGTGTTCTTTATAATTCATTCTTGTCATACTCCATGGTATCAGAGATGATCTAGCATATATTAATGATTTAGCCCATGGTATCAGAGGTGTTTCGATTACCTAAAGGCTACTTTCTATAGTATTTCAACAAATCTCAGTTTCTTGACACCAGCTGCAACAAGGAAACTCTTTATATCAAATATGCAATAATGTTGTTCTTGGATCGTTTACATTGTTTCTTACACATTTCATTATTTCTTGAAGTAAAATCATTTTTTTTATTTTTGTTAACAGGAAACCTTCACTTGAACATCGTACCTTGTCAAGACGATCATGAGTTCATTCATCAGTTAGAGCCGTATATATTTGAATGGACAGGTGTGTCTTGTTTTTACTGAGTTTATATCCATCAAAATTTGTCCCAAAGTCTCATTTAGATTATTGAAGGCTGCTCTTTATTTGCTATTAAGTGGCTTCAAAGCCATTTACCATGTTTTAAACATGAACAATTTTTTTGCGGTACAGAATTTGAAAATGACTTTGAAAAAAGCAAACATTTTACAACATACTTAAAGCTTTTTCGTCTGACACTCCTCAGAGCATAAAACGTCAGAATAGGTTCCGAAAAAACACGTTTTAAACAGCATACCGTATTTCCTCTAATGAACGCCGCACTTTCAGCCAACCATTTTGAAAAAACGCCCCCCTCTTTTGAACGCCGCCCTCTATTGAACGCCGCAACTTGAAAAGCGTTCATTAGAAAACACACCAAACAAGAAGTAAGGAATGGTTTATATGCTTACTATTCGAAAGCCATGAAAACTTTTATCTCAAAGAGACGAGGACTCTGACAGAGGAAGGGATATTGACATTCCTTGACTTGACTTGACATTCATTTTATCTTTTTTCATCGTATTTTTCTTGTCATTTTTCATTTGACAAACTTTTCATTTTGTATTGAACGCCGCCCTCTGATGAACGCCGCCCTCTATTGAACGCCGCATCCAAAATTTTCAGTTTGTAATAAACGCTGCGGCGTTCTTTAGAGAAAATACGGTACGTAGCCCCTTTATTTCTGTATCCTAGCCTATTTTTAGTTGAAATAACACCCAATGATATTGTTAGCATCACTTAGCCTCGATGTGATATATTGATAGCTCATATATGTTGTTGCAATGATACAAGAAAAGGCACAGCGGCCTTATGAATTCGCCTCCTTCTTTTTGCAGCTAAATACAAAGGAAGTATAAGTGCTGAGCACGGCCTCGGATTCAAGAAAGCCAATGCAATTCATTTTTCAAAGTCAGATTCGGCTATAAATTTGATGAAAAGACTTAAACAGATGATCGACCCAAAGGTATTTCATTGCAGGTCCACCTTCTTAGCAAGATATATATCTAAGAGAATGTTTCTAAGATATCTAAGAGTATTTTTGCAAAATATGATTTATCTTGATGCATCTTAATGAGATAAAAATTTGAGCACATACGGAGCTTCTATCTTTACCTACTTCTTAAGGCGTTTAAAAAAGGAGAGAATATTTTCTTAATTTCACAGCGTCAAGTATTACTGCGGCATATTCCGATTGATCGTTTCTACGATGTTTTGTCAACTTTTTGCATATTTTATTTGTATGGCTGCATTTTGAAATGCCCCTAAATTGATAGATTTATGACGAATAAAGCTATCTTTCTTTATACCAGTTGTTTGGTTCTGATTTCTAGAGAAGTGAATTTTGAATATTTTTGTTTTCATAGGGAATCCTGAACCCTTACAAGACCCTGCCTTACAGCTAACTGGATTAGTTAAATGAATGGTATTGTCTGTACGAAACTACTTCAAGATTGGAGACAGAGTGAGACTTTTATAGAGTAAATAATGTTTTCAATTTAACAGAGCTTTTTAGTACGCAATTGAAAAATGCAAGAAATATCTTATGTCTACAAAGGATGCATTCATGGTCCAAAAGTAGTAGGAAACGTCTAGCTGGATTTGAAAATAAAGATCCCATTTTAAACGGAATTAAAATTTTAGACTTTTAAATGAATTCCATTCAAAGTTTGTATGAGATAAATGCAGCTGCAAAATTAGCTACAATCAGTAATTGTGACGAAAAAAGAATAGAAGATTTTTAAATGAATTGTTTGATTTGTCCGCCTCAAAAGCTATTTGAATGAAAATAGCAAGAACGTTATGATATAACATTACGACATCCCAAAACTTCACATGGTTTTGGAGTGATAAAGAATTGGTAGCCTCGAAGCTCTTCTTAAGTTTTAACATCTTTTTCAACTGCTAACAAGAAATATTCGAAGAAAAATGTTAAAGAGAAAGTATTAGTCTGTTGCATGATTCAAAATGAAAATAGATTCTTTGGATTTGTTGCTGAGCGACAAGTTGCGCGTCTTTTTGTGCATACGTTCAGTTTACTTTGATAACACTCAACAATTTATTTGTTTTGTGGCCCATAAATCTTCAATCTAGAAATATCCATAAATTCCATTACTCGAATTAAATAAAATATATTATAATTCATCTTTCTTTTGTGTTGTGTCCTTCTCTTCGTTTTCATTTACGTCGGGTTTCCTGTTCGACATTTCTTTGACTTTGTTTAATGCCTTGTCCATAGCTCGAATCACTAAAATTTGATGAGATTATGGTGAGATTAATAAAAACTTAGTTAAAAAATTTGATTGATTTCTTAACAATCGTTCGTTCAAAATTCTTCTCTTTCCTTGTTTATTACATCTGTACACCCTTAGACCAAGCAAGATCGCACTAAGGAAATTCAGTTTTAAATGGAAAGATTTTTCCCTTGGTAAATGAACCAAGTGCTTTGAAAGAGGTTTTCTATTACTAAGTGTCTCCTCAAACCCTCTTACTGATAAAATTTCTCATTTATTCAAAGTGTGTTGCATCAATTTTTTTCATAAAAAAATGAAATGTTATGAGTGAACTAGAACAGGATAGAAGCTGGTTTTATCTGTTCAGCTATTAAGCTTTTCCTCCGTCAGAAACTAATTGAGTGATGGTTGAATGAACCCAACCTTTTTCTTCAACGCTCAAAGATTTTTATATTCGCTATAGAAGCCAATTTCTCTTAGCATGTAACAAATTTTATATGCTAGATCTATTCAGAAATCAACAGTACCCATTTGGATATATAAAAACAAAGTAGATCTGCTTTAAATGACTGTGCACGCTCTTTATATTGTAAATGTTGATAGAATCAAGGCTACAAATACTTTGCTGGGAGTTATCTGGAAGAATTTCACACAGAACGTAGCTTAGACCTAAGTGGGTAAGTTGACCTAGGCCCGGAATACTAAATTAAAATAAATACAGAAGACATAACAAACCTGATGCTGTTTCATAATAATAAAATTTGTTTTCTTGATAGTGGGTTCCTACGTTCCATATTTTTTTCATTATTTCCCCATCAACATCTAAAAGAAAAAGAAATTAATTAGAATAGCACCCAATTTCAAGTACTTTCAATGTTGTTTTTCGACTAACTACATTGGTGGTTTTTTCAGTCGGCTCAGATTGGAAAGGTAAATGGAAGGTAAGGTAAGTGTCACATGACAAAGGACTGAGAAAAATTCTAAAAATTGTGTGTAGAAGTTTGAAGGCAAAAGTTTTCCAGTTTATCCATGTTTCCAGTACCATATTGTACAATTTTTACAAGTTTTGACTTTTTATTTTTCTTACGTGTTTTTATTTTAAATTAGGTGTTTTCCCATACATAAATATATGAAAAGTGATAAATTCATTTCGTTGTCGTGAATGGGAAAGGTAGGTTACATTTATGTGAAGTGTAATAACAAATCATCCAGATATTTATTATTTCCCTGTTAAATATTTAAAAGAAAAAATAGAATTCTTACCGAGGAAGTAAATTCTAGGAACGTAAGTGCCATCGACATCAAATTTATCAGCCAGTTCTGTGTCTGTGTCATCCTACAATAATGAAGAGGTTTGAAATTCAGAGCTAAGTTAAATCGGAAGAGCCTTGGTATTGTTTTTTCTGTAGCAACTTGACATATATTTAAGGGACGCGTGCGCTATAGGGTATTAACTGGACGGAGGGATTTTTGTCTTCGCTTCAAAAACATTATCTTTTCCAGAGCAAGAAACACTTCCAATTCAGCAATCAATATTGATTACTGTTTCATTTGAAAGGGAAGTGGAAACAGTCTGGGAAATTAACACAAAATAAACACAGGAGTTTGGTACCAGCTCATTTCATAGGGCGATATTTAAGATACGGCAACAGAAAGATTTTTAACTGCCAAAGGACATAAAATTTGGTTTATTGGATATAACATGCACCATACTAATAACATATTTTGCATGATTTCTTGCACGAATTGTTCTCGGCTTCGACTATTTGCTTCGTTTTGTTGATTCATATAACCAACGTGAAAAGATTAGAGTAATGTATAAATGTTTGGAAAGATAAATCAAGGGACATGAAAATTGATTTCCATAGTCAGAAAACTTGATTAAATACCAGGTTGAATAAGTGAAAATCTATTGTATATCATTGTATATGCATTTTATTGCAAAGGTTGAGCTAGTAAGATACGATATATACGCACCTCGATTTCTACCATGATAAAATCCTTTGTTTTCTCCATGAACGTCTCATCTCTTATCAACATACGATGAACAGCTAGAATAGTCAAAAGAACCATTAATTGATCTTTAACAAATACATTTAGGCCGTCAGTCGCTATCTACTTCAACAATTAATTTATCTACAACTATAACAGAAAAGGCGATTTATAATATTGGACAAAAAAGCAATAGCAGTAAAACTGATTAAAGCAATCGGCTAGGAAATGTTGCAGAACAATGATTATCACAAATTTCGTGAAAATACTGCCAATATTCAATCTTGTTTTATTGAAAATTATGATTCTGGTCCCAGATATTAATGAATCGCCTTTTTAAAACGCTTTTCCGTCTGCATCCTCGAGGCACAAGACAAAACAAATGGCAAGTATTAAATTATGATTATCATTTCCTGCAATTAATTATTTTAATTAAAAAAAAACAAACAAATCTAATTACTGCAAATCATCGTTTGCAAATATTTAAGCTGAATAAATACCTTTGCATGCTGGGCAGGATGAGCGGTGCACCAACAAAAATATTGGCTTGTTGCTGGAAGGTAAAAAGAAATACTTTGCTTTACCTTGCTTTGTAAACGTTTTTTGCTTTAATGTCTTAATGTGATTAAATAGTGTCTCAAAGCTGTTGTATGATTCAAGATTAAATCTGTTAGGTGCAGAACTAAATTCAACCCTCTTACCCATTCCTGCCACATCCCAACTTTCGTATGAATGCTAAGACATTGAAACAATAGCAAATTCTCAATCTGATAATCAACTTTTCATGCCAGCTTGTTGCATAAATGAAACGGTAGGGTAAAATCACCATAATGCTATATTACAGTAACGTTTTTCTAGACTAAGGAAGCATAAATTTTTGTATCTATATCGTTAAAACATAAACAAAACATAAAACATAAAATAATTTACATTACATACAAAGAACGATTGATATACATTAAATATCTCAACTTGGGGGACATTGATGGGTGAGTTCTGTTCACTCGTTTTGAGGAGCTGTTTACTCGTGGTGACTTGTGTTGTTCTCAAATAATACCATTGTTGCTTACCCGTTCTTGGCAAGTTGCAACGCATGGTCGTATTTTACCCATGGGATGTTATCACCAGCGGTTGCATGAGCTTCGTCTACAAACGTACAGAAAATGGCCCTTAAAACACTAGTGAACTTGAGATAGCTGCTTACAAAGGTTGACAGTCATAAATAAAAAAACATACTATACTATATCAATCTCTTTAGATCATTCATATGAAAGTTAAGCAAAAGATGATTTAAATGAATGTAAATACTATCTGAATGTATGAAAGAGCGCATGTTATTGCTTCGATTTCTATCTTTAACATTTGATGCCCATTCTAGGAATTGAACAGCTCAGTTATAAACATGATATGCCTTTTCAGCAAAATGCCTCTATAATTCAATGCATTAATCTGCTAGGTTTTTAGTTTTGCATTAAAATCAACATTTTTCTTTAAAAAGACCAATGCACCAATGCATTGCTTGAAATGTCTCTTTCACCTATTTCATGAAGCCCATTTGGTCTCACACTATACATTCAATTTCATCATTTTAAAAGACTAAAACCAATTTCATCATCATTGTACCTTTGAAAGAAGTGCTCAAATTGTACCTAGTTCTCCTTAAAACAGCAAAACTGCCAGGGATATCTCTGAAACAATTGTTTTCCTCTAGTGCAAGTATAAAATATATTTCGAAAACAGTGTAGTTTAAAAGCGGTATAGCATAGCAAATCAAAGATCACAGCAATACCATGGCCAATAGTTCAGTCACTTGGAGACAAAAAAAATGTCAGCTTACAGATTGGAATGCTTCCTTGTCTTGTGAAGAATTTCATTGCATTTCTCATTGCGAGAACAACTAAAAATGGCAAAGAAAAACAATATATCAATAGAACACTATCAAAATTACAAACCAATCGAAAATACGGACTTAGGATAGTACCAAAAAGACGCAGACAAGATTATTAAAAATATCCATGGCACTGTTTGCTAATGAAAAGAAAGATTTTTAAAAAAGCAAAATATCATTTTGTTAAGCAAAAATTTAAATTTATGGATATTATTGGAAAGATTTTAAGGATGTTCGAAAAAATGTACTCACTGCTATCGACATCATTAAATGAGAATTTGTATTTCAAGAAAGCAGGGTTTTCGTTGTGAATGTCTTTAACGACGACGCCAGTTGGGTCTGAAATGTTAAGAAATGGGGCCCGTAATACAGTGGCAAGATCTATTTACAATGCAAAAAAGCTACTACAGTATTTCAGCTACTTATACGGAAGCAACGCCTGTAAATTTATTGCAAAGAGAAATCCACATGTCCTTGATTCATGTAAAATGTTTGTGCACATTCTTGTAAAAATCCTTAAAAAGCCCTTTCAACAATTGTAGCTAAAAAGGGCGTTTCCAATCATCGCCGAGAGACTGAAGGGCGTGTCCCTGGGCAAGAGCTGCCTCTCGACGGCCCTTACACCGCTTATCCCTATTTCACTGGTATTAGATATTTCATATAGAGTCGAGCTTTACACGCTTTGCTGTATATTAACACTGAGCAGCTTAGAATCGTCCTGCACTATTCAGTAAAGGGATAGACTTTTATTGGTGTACAGTTGGCAAAACCACTCGTAAGAATCAACGACTTTTGCGTCAATAAGATCTTCGAGGTACTTTCAGAGGTGCCAAATAGATCTCTCAAAATTGTATATTTGCTGTCTCCGATGCATTGATTTTTTTCGCAAATTCGAAATAAACTTAACGCTTGATGTAGGTTCTGTGTCGTTTAATGTAGTTTTTACTAAAATTAGGACTTGTTATGCGATTTACGACCAAAGCAAGTTGAAAGCATGTTTGTTTTCCCAAATAGCGCTAAGGACAAGGTGCTTTCACAAGCAAGATTTTATTGAAATTAATTTCTCCCAAATACGCAAAGATATATCATATCATAGTTGGTAAAATATGGAAACTTCAAACAAGCTTTCTATCTTCTTGAGTTTTCAACGGATTTTCATTCTAATGAATGTATCTTATCTAAAGTTAAGAAGATAATCAAGACATAAAATCTGTTTATTTTGGTCAATGAAAAGATGCAAATATAGCCGTTTAGCAATGAATGAATTTTACCTAAGAAAAAGACCCTAGGATAATATCCGCCATCAACTACAAATTGTGTGTCCTCTGGTTCTTCATCGTCCTAGTAAATGAAAAGCTGCAGATGAAATACTAGAAGATTTCCTTTTCTTATCATTAAGGAAGCATGAATCCTTTAAGATACATATTGTAGCAAAATTGAATATGGTGAATTAAGTTTTTAAGAAAGTGTTTAGCAAAGACATCGCCCAAAAATTCGTATAGTAAGGTAGGATTTTACCGCTATAAAGAGCTTCTAAAACATTTAGGAAACTTATAGCAGCAGGCTCAAAACATATGTTTATGAGAATTACTAATAAGATAAAGATTCAAGGCTGCCTTGCAGATAAATGGTAATGTAGAATATTAAAGTCACACCTCAATATTGACCATAATAAAGTTTTTACTGAGCTCAAAAATATCATATGACTCGGCAAAATTTGGTTTCAGCGCTAAAAGAGAAATTTTGCAAATGTTAAATTAGATTTATACTTTACCAGCAATTGCTGCTCTTACAATGACGTTCACACAATTGTGGGATTCAAAGGTGCATTTCATTACTTGTAGTTGCCAAAACGATTGAAGATAAACAAATGAACGAAAAATTTATTTTCTTTTGAATAGCTTTACCAAAAATCGTTAAAAGCTAACATTAATCACCAAATGAGAAGTTAGAAAAGGTCTAAACTATAACTATCATTGCTCCTTAAAATAATTTGATATCACAACAGTCAATTTTTTATAAGGGCAGTATTTCTTTATTTAGCATTGCTAAACATTCCTTGGGCCTGGAGGCGGCCTTTTGAGTAATCAAAAAACGAAAACATTTCTACAAGCAGTTCGATTCTTATCAATTTACTTACATTTCTCGATCAATTAGTTAATATCATACCTTTGCAAGCAGAGCACCATGTTCTATGGATAATGACCATCATTGGTTTGTTTCTACAAAAAATGTCAAACAGGTTTAAATGAAAAAACCCATTCAAGTTTCAAAGCGAAGAAGGCAGTTACTTTGAAGTGCCTTTAATTCACTTTGATTGACCAGACCAGTAGGGCCATACAATCAGGTACTTTCAGAGCCAAATTTCATTTGATTGTAATTGGCAGGTGTGGTCTGAGATGCCTGTCAATGATTAATTAAAGAAAAGAAAAACAAAGAATTATAGAAACCACAGAAAACTATTCCTCTGATAGTAAGATTACATGGCCTCTCAATTTACTGTGTCACTTCAGCTTCGTTTCAATTGATGAAATGAAGTTGGCATATCGGAAATTCTTACTGTTGACAGCAATCAGACAACATTATTTTGGACTTCTAATACGTAATGTAGCCTGCATGCCCACATCAACCAATTGTTTACAATAATCAAACAAGCACATATTAAGAAAGGTTTGTGTTGCCGGAATGGTAAAATTGCAGGACTTTCTGCAGAAGACTTTCCGATATGACTGTTTCTACTTTTCGTTGAATTCTGTACCTTTCATTCTCAAATCGTCTTCTTGGACCGTTGTTGACACTTAAAAAGTAAGGTACTTACTGCTCTTTGGCAACTTCTTTACCCTTTGCTAATGTATACCACTCGATGTAGTCTCCAAATCCTAAAATAGTGAAATACTAATGTATATCTGACTAATTGCAAATATACTAAAAGCTCTCGGTGGCCAAATCGCGAAGTTTTGACAGGAAACACCGATTCAAAAGTTTGGATATGTCAAAGAGGTAATTTACTAGCAAGGCCAATGAAAATTCTACAGAATCAAGAGACAACAACAAATTTTGATTCCTCGTGCATTTCAAATTTAGCTTATTTGTACAGTTTGTTTTATAACACTATTGAAAGCTCCAGAAGAAAATGAAAAATGTTCATGTATTATTTTATAGATTATAGTTTTAAAGTAAGGTAATTGCTTTACAGTTGATCATACTATAATTTCACAAGCAAATTATAGAAAGCAATCAACATCGTCTGAAAGTTAGAGAAGGAGGCTGTTTCTTTTAATGATGAGAATATCAACACCATCATGCTGCTTCAGATGGGAAATTTTTTAAGAATGTACTTTACATATTTAGAATATGGTTCCAAGACTAGTTTCAAGAAATGATGAAGAGAATGAAGTAAAAAAGTTCCGTGTGTCCTTACCTCTTGACAGAGATACGTTAATTGCCTCCTTGGCTGTCTGCATTGCTTTGATCACTAAAATGATGAACAACCATTTGAGTATAAAATCTTGAAATAAAGTATTCACGCCATAAGGGTTCTAGGAATCGATGCAATCATTCAATGGTTAGCAAAACCGCCGCCACTACCCAGCCATGTAGAAACGTAGACAATCTTTTCGTGTTTGGAGATTGAGACATTTCAATAAAAACGTGCAAAAAGTACACATTGCAGACAAACAGCTAATCTTGTTGGGCACCAGATCAACTTGAAAATCGATGTGTGGTGTACATTAATTTGTCTATAATAACAATTCAAGATAGTCTAAACGGAATGATTAAATCGTTTGCATTCGTATTATGTACAATTGTAGAGTGTAGGCGATCTTAGGACATAGGCTAACCGTGAACTTTTTCTTTATTTACATCAAAAACAATTGCATTTTCAGTAACTTTAATGCAGATTTCTCCATTAGATTCAAAATCTTATACATTAAACCTTGATTCATTCACCACGACTGTTTTTGGCAACACCCATCGAAGCTTCCTGACAGGCCTGGCTCATTGCGCAGGCTGTTTAGAAATCTAATGAACTTAGATGAATACAAGCACGTGGTTTTTCAATGAGTTAACTCTGTTCCTTGCAAGATGTATCTCGGCATAAACATTTCATACACATTGAGCAATACATATAAGGCTGTTCCTAACTAATTTTACGTATACTGTATCATGGGTGTGCTGCTGTCATAGCGAAGTAAAGTATACAACCAAACGCTGTTTGCATGTGTCTATAGTTGTGTTTTACCTCTAAGTCTGTCGATGTTCTGTCTTCAAAAAGAAGGACGCCCCAAGATGTGCCTCTTTCAACCATTAGTTCTCAGTTCTTCGGGCATTTTCAGTGTAACAAAAGACCCTGCGATTATCTATTCTTGACACCTAATCAGTTTTGATAAGGGCAACCGTTGCTGGTCGGAATACTTGGTCCTAAGCACAATCGAGATGGGACTAAAATACGGACCTACTGCCAACATATCCAAGCAACGAGCTCAAAATTGTGAAGGGACAAAAGTTTTGGACAAGATTGGGTTGTGCATAAATCAAAAATTGCTTCACTGGCTTCTCTCGAGCTTCCAGGTAAGCTTGAAAATATAATCTTCAAAATGGCTTTCCAAAAATATGTCATAATTGACATGATCCATCAAAACATTTGTGAAAAATAGCTTGCATTTTGTTTGCACGTATCTTTAACACAAATATCTGCGCATCTCTGAAAATTGTGTGTAGCGTTGATCACAATTCGCTCTCATATTTTCATGATATATTATCCGTTTCAAGAATAAATACAATACGATAAAGGGTCAAAAATTGCCAAAAATCAAGCTTGAATGCATTAAAAACATCCAGTCTGCGAGTAAATAAATGAGCATGATGGACGTGTTTAAGAAAACTATTCTCAGTCATTTTCCGCAACACAGTGCTCGATACCCTTGCCTGTTTTACCCCTCTTCCACCCCCTGTTAACTGAACGTAAATAACAACAAAGCTACAAGAGAAACCCTCTCTTTCCGAAGATTCCCTGTGTGCATCCACGCAAGCTTTGGTCCGTAATTTAACACCACCTGGACATAGTTATCGCAATAAAAGCAATGATTTTTTCGATTCTCCTTTTGAAATGTAATATACGGATTATCAATATGGATATTTGACTTACATAAATCTTTTCTTTCTGGAATCAGATGTTGTGATTAATAACACAATAAAGAATAAATCTCTCGTCTGAATAAGCCAAAGATTATTAAAAAAACTTGAATCTCACTTTCATCTGCAGTCTTGTAATAAAACTTGGTTAGCGGAAATTCCGTATCTGTGTTGTTGATGTCACTTCGAACCTTCCCTTTATTATCTATGGGAGAGAAATGATAACATTGTAACAAGAAATTCCTGAAAACATGTTTGCACTCTCCAAAGCAACTTTTGCAATGCCTTAATATGAGCCGAAACAAAGGACCAATCAACTGCGTTTTCTGAGCACTCATTCAGATATTTGATTGGTCCTTCAAAACAATTACTTTCTCTCGTAGCATGGGAATAACCACTGCTGTTTTTAAATCGAGAAAGCAGGGACTTTATATGAGGCTAATGCTGAAAGATCTCTATTTATCAACACACAACCAAGGCAAATTGTCTTCAGTTCTTTTTCTCGTGTCCACAAAAAGTTTATTCTAGAGGCATTTATAAAACTACACGGAGTCAATCCAAACGACTTTGAGCTTCAATAATACGAGTTCTATTGCTATGTCTAAGAAAACTTTATGTGTTTTTTGCAGTTAACAGTTAAATACTGCCAGAATTGTGAAAGTAAAATTGTAAATGCAACGGCAAAAGTTTATACTCAACTGTCTCCTGAAAATTGTAACATCTACATAGGGCCGTGCGCGTCAGAAATTCACGCACCACTGCTATTATCCATAGAAGAAGAGAGCTATTTTGACTTACCCAGGAAGAAAACGCGAGGAGTGTACTGTCCATCAAGGTCGTATTCAGGATCCGAAGCAGCACTGTGATCCTGGAAAAGAAAGATTAGGACATGCCAGTTGATCTCATTGCGGGTCCATGAATGATCGTCTTAGCACAAAGGGCAACATTTGGTAAGTTCAAAAATACTGTTTGTACTGGTTTTCAACTAATGCTTCGGAATACACGAGTACTGTAAACATCTGCTACTAAGATTCATGGCTTGTGTAAATGCAAAAAAACTTCACTGAGGGAAGGTTCTAAGATGCAGTTTGAGCACACTTATGACTGTTCCTAAAAATATTTTTTAATAGACAAATGGAGAAGAGGCAAAAGCCTCTACAAGCTCAATGTTTATAACTTTTAAACAAGCATTGCAGTTTGTAGCTGTGAATTCCTTAACTGACTTTGGCACTTTGGATAGAAAGATGTCACAACGCTTTTGCTATTAGCAGATCAGTATATTGTAATAGTTTCTAGCGATTGGGGGGAAGGGGCGATTGTTGCATCAAGTATCCGCGCTAACATAGCTGATAATATCGAAATAAATCAGAAAACAAATAATATTATGACAATACCTACCTCAGCTGATATCATGACAAAATTTTTACTTAGTTTAATGACGTCATTGGATTCACTGAAGATTCTCCCGAAAGCTAAAAAGAACAAATGTAATTAGCACCATCCATATTCCTTTCGATTTTTCTCTAGGTTTTGTTTTTCTCAAACTATTTCACTCGGAGTTAAAAGGACAAACCAGTGGGTGCTAGATAAAATTGGGGTCCCATTATAAGAAAGGGAGGTATGGAAAGGTGCACTATCGAGAGAAAGGAGCTTGATGGTAAGAGAAAAGAGAAAGGCCACTGACATCATGGGCAAGTGACATTGTTAAATTGGTTGGAGGAAGTTTGGCTGATGCAGTTCTGCTGACAGAGAAGGGTGGCGTGGTCTGGTAATAGCAGCGCATTGAGCGCTAACTGACTTTGAGAAGAAGAAAATTTCACACGGACCATGTCTTGACAATGTGTGAGTCTGTTGAGCAGAAAAAGTTAGTGATCGATAAGTATTAAATTTAAAAAAATGTCAAAAAAGGTTTTGTGTACGTCTTGGCGATACAGTAAAATTGACTGTTTGGGGTTTCAATCGAAGAATACCTCGTATCACTCTTTCCATAAAATATTCTCTTTTAAAAATCAAAAAATTTGGAAGAAATGATCTTATCTCTAGAAAGGTTTGAATTTGATTTTGAACAAAATACGTAGGATTCAAGTAACTATATGCACTGAATGGCTTTCCGCCCTTGAAGTACTGGCATAAAGAAAGGAAAATATAAAAAGAATCTTTAGTAATTGATTGCGGGAAACCACAAAATTTTATTCTCGTTTGATATGTGATCAAAACTTTTGATTAAATACTGATGAGAATGATAAACAGGGAGCTCAATCTAGAGACGCGTAGCACATGGGCCTTCTAACCCTTGCAAACGTAGAAATTTGCTTTTTTTGTATTGTTTCACCCTTTTATGGTGCCTTGCTATGGGGCACCGCGAAGCGTTGAGAAATATGGGGGGTCTAAAAAAAGTGGGGGGGGGCTAAAATCTTATAAAAAGATGCTTTACTGGTAGTTTATTACTTAATATTTGGCTAAAACAATCCCCTCCCCCTGCGCCCTGCTCCGCGATGCCTGCTTGCCATCTCTTCCATATTCCTAACAAAGAACCCAAACGACTCGTTGCCAGCAACGTTTTAATAGAGTAATCTATCAATTGCCTATTTTGGAAAATGCATGAACAGAATAGCAAACAAAATAATGTATTAACTGACTCAGTACCTTTAGAAAAACTGCACCAACTGTTATGGAATATAAGCATTGCAGCCATGTGACTGAAAAAAAAATTGTGCTTTAGCTCTAGTTTTAATACAAAATTTGTAGAAAGGCACATGAAATGAACCACCTTACAATAAATCGAATATGAATGCTCTAAAATCACTAATCATACTTTTGGACCATGGACACCTCCTATAATAGACAGCCCCTCCCCCAACATCAGAACAAAGCATTGCTCCCATAACGAATTTTCTGTGGCCAAACCAATCGAGATGCAGGTTCGGAAAGATTGTCACCTCTCCAGAACGGCCATTAATTCTGGTCCCTTATATAGAGGTTTTTGGTGTTTGCTCAGCTATTTTTGTCGAACCATATAGTTACGTCTCAAATTAATTTCGTAATGCAACTGTGGCCAATCGTATTAGCAGCTGTTTTACTGCCTACAAACCAATGCCATATTTGAAGATTTACAATAAATGAATACCTTTTCTTTGCCTCAGCCAATCCAGTTTCAATGTCGTACCATTTTACTTTGTCACCAAATGCTTCAGGATAAAAAGATATTACGGTGAACTCAGAGAGAATACAAACCCTTTTTTGTCCAATAAGCTAGCTTCGAAAATAGCTTGCATGTTTCAGACATTTGAAAATTTTGTAAACCTCGATTGAATTTAACTTTAACAACTATGTGGTAACAGTGTAAATGAGTATAACAAGGCCTACTTGCTGTTTGTTTATATCTAGCATTTTTAGATTTTAACAAAAACAAAAGGAGTCACTAGAAGAGCAGGCAATTGTAACAGAATTTTATAAAATGCATCTTTTTCTACTTCAGTCTTTTTCTGTCGAAGCGGTACACTGAAAGATTTATTTGATCGCAGACGAACCGTAGTACGGGAATTTTTCGTAGAATATGTATCACATTTTGAACAGTTGGGTCTTAATCTAGCAAAAAGGGCCTTCAAATGGTGTGTATTAGTCAATTCCTTATGTTTCTGCAGTCTGTATAAGGATTTTCTTGCTAGGGATGTCCCCAAGATAGCCGAGTGCTTCTTTTCTCTCTGAATCATTGATAAGATTGTGTTATCGTTGTTATTCTTTATCTTGTCAGTATTAAGCCAGAACGAAAGAATCAGCCATTAACAGAATAAGAAGGACCTTTGGGTGGTCTGCAATTAGTTGGCAAGAAAAAAGAGGCTAGAGGGTGTCCCTACGTAAAACAGACTTCGATAGGACATGTTTCACAACCAACAACAGCATAACGATAAATTCCAGCTGCAAGCAAAACTAGCAGTCAAATGTTTAGCCAATTCAACCATCAAGGGTTCTACGTGGTAACAGCATTTATAAAGCATCTGATAGTCAAATGAGATTAGTTCTTGATTAATCTTTTTTGTATGAATAAGATCCAAAACGTAGCGCCATGGCAGAAAAACAGTATTTTGAGGATAATGAAATCTATTCTTCGAAGGCATTGTTTTTGAAAGAGGCTTCAAAAACTTGCCACTTGGTATATATAGAAGGAAGGAATGCGGCTATGCACACTGGCTGAACATTTCATCCTTGTTCCTGTCGAGCAGAGTGTCAAACAAAGCATTGAAATCTTTCAGTAGGTCCAAAAGTCATGAAAATGCCGGTAAAAAAGAGAACATTTTCAAAGTGAAATTCTTTGCTCTTTATCTTACCTGTAGATCCTTGGGAGTTTCTCTTTCGCCAAGGTTCATTTCAAGAGCCTTTATCATTTTTGAAGCAACTAAAAAATAACGATAAGCATGCCTTTTCAAAAAACCTTTAAGCATTTTGTATTCGCCTTTTAAGACATTTAGCACAATGATAGCTATATCTAAGTTCGATCATATCCTTTGTTCAGTAATGTTTTACCTTAAGGTCATGTTTGTCAGTGAATGTCAGTTTGTGACACAAAGATTTCATGCTCAGGTCTTATTGGGATCATTTTTGTTAAGCAAGTAAACGGGATTGGATGTCAATTTTGCTGACTTGTCATTTTTCGAAACACGTAATATTACAATCGCGAAGCTTTGCAATATACCTTGTATTATTAACAGATTCTCAAGTCTAGGAAACGACCAAATCTTGATCAATTCATTTGTTTTGATCAGAGTTTATCGTTAGGATATTTTAGAGGCACTTGTCCCCTTATTTCATGTTAACAAGAAGCATCCTGACGCATTTACAATTAACAACAGTCTATTGTAAAATGCAACCAATGAGAGTTCAAGAGACCACTGAGATCCATTGGCTCATAGTGTCCTTGAACTCTACGGTAACGTAAAGACCCGCTCTACGGAAAGTGTCCTTTTTATGACACAGCGAATCGTGTCTTGCAGAGAAAACAAAAAGAAATCTTGCTGTTTGCTAAAGCCTGGTTTCCTTAAACATGTATCAGTCCTGTATGTCGTATGAAGCTAGCAGCCCCTAGCTGCGTATCTTGATGCAAGTCATATGATAATTGTATATCTAGGGATTCCACATAGTTGTAGCACATCCACCATGTTGGATACAAAGAAGTACATTATGGGACAAATTTTGTTGCAACGGAGTTGCATGCAATGGCTTTTACTGACAAAATGTGCAGATACAATCGATTTTATATCATGCAACAAGCTGCATCTGTCGTTTTTACGTATTGGGCTGCTGTATGAGAGGTTTCTATACAGTTGTATCTGATGCAAGGAACTTTTCAAGCGCCAGATACAGCGATATGGAATCTAGACTCGAAGTATGGATAAACAAATTCTGGTTGACACATGAGTAAATAATATCTCGCAAAAAGGCTCAAGCTTGACAAGATTGGCAATGTCATTTGATGGTGAACAGTTAAAAAAGCTAATAAAAACCTACTCTGATCGCCGTCGCTATAAGCATACTGGACTTTCTTGAAATCTTCTCGCTCATTTTTCAGGCTTGGTTCAACGATACCATTTGAATCTGAAATGAATTGTGATTTACAGTTCTCTTAGTTACTTTAAGTGGATTAAAGCTTTTGGTAAATTGGAGGAAGATCGAGTGTTTTTGCAACAAATCCTCTCTAATAAGCTTCCCAAATGCAAAGCTCTGCTTCTTTCTGTTCACTGTGGTTTCAAGCTTTTGCAACAGCTAGTAAACCACTTGAAAATGTGTTGCGATCAAGTATCCACTCAAAGAGGGATACAAAATTTGGTATGGCTTGAGTATACTCCTTTCAAATAGCAATAATGTCATTTAATTCTATCTTAAATTATGCACTGAAAAATAAAACTGGCATATAAAATAAGCAACGTAGCAAGGGTCGGATTCGTTTAAAAAACGTACCTTTCTAGGACGAAATAAAATTTTGACAGTCTAAAGCTATTGACATTACATTACTTCATTAGGAGTGAGATTTTACACATAAAGCCAATATTTGATTTTACACATGTCTTTCCTTTGGAATTTAGGCCCAATACTTTACGTCAATGGATTCTAAAAAATCTGAGTAAGGCAAGTGTTTAGAAATTTACCCAAGAAGAAGATTCTAGGAATGTAGGCGCCGTCAATGTCGAATTGTGCATCTGTTGGTTCTTCATCATCCTTGAGAGAAATGACATTTTAACAATTAAAAAGGTATCCGTGTAGATAAAACAAAACCTAGCTAAGCTGTATCGCAAAGAAAAAATGTCATATTTTCAGAAAGAGCAGGTGGAAGAAGAAAAACTATCATTGGCTTGATCTGACACGTTCAAGAAATGAATGTTTCATGTCCACAAGACAAAACGGAGAGTATAAATTCTGCTATGTAGACTTCTTTTCTTTTCCTCAAAGTATAACGCAAAAAAGGAATACGATCTACTTTATATCATTCCTTTTTCAGAAGGTTATACAGAATTCCTTACGAATAAAGCAGCAAATTTTTTGAATTGCTCAAGAGCTGACAAGTGTGTTTGTTGAATCTCCTTACTGGTTCATAAAGATAAATTTATAATCTTCTGATTTGCGTTTCAATAGCTTTTGTGTCACTGCACATAGTAGAGCTTTAAAGAGAACGGTGCACCAAATGAAGTGTTCCAACACACGCCCAATACAGTTAGAAGACATCTAACATATTACGGCAATTGGATTTTATCGCAACTGAAGTGCATGCCTGAGGTTACAGTGTAACATTAAAAAACGCGTAATAAAACATCTACAAATTTTCGTCTGCTTTCCCGTCACTCTGTTTCAATTTCAGTTGGCAGTTCAATAGCAAATTTTGTCTTTGTTTATCAGAAGATTTTGATCGCAAAAAACTGAGAATCCCTATATCTCTATAAGCTATATACAATAAAAAGAAAGAAACGTTGACGTTAAAATTTACTCAGTTGCATGATTTATTGGGTTTATTGATTATAATAGACATATAAATGAATTTTCTTACCAGGCAGTTGATCATGACAAACTTTTTGCTCAATTCTGCTAATTCTTTGCTCTGTCTTATTCTCGGCTTTAATGCTAAAAAATCCGATTATTTATTTTCTTCCTTAAACATCAACATTCAAAAGGGTTGGTTTTTATATACACTAGGCAACATACCATGGTATCCAGACCTAAACATTTTAAGAGAAACATACTTCCCGCATACTTCATTTCATTAAAATTTAATTGTCGGTCGACTTTTCGTAAAACAGTTTATCTGGCAAATTTAGAAATGAATGCAAATATTTTTTCTATGTAATCTGTTGACGCCAAACAAAGGCTGGGTCGCGTTGGTCAGGAGGCTGTCTCAGCCAAGAGGCTTAGCCGTACTTTCCAGCTTTGCTGAGCGAGACGACACGAGAATTCACGAGCAAGCAGTTGGGCGATATGGATCAATTCAGTGGCGGCTCTTGCTAATGGGCATCTGGGGCAATGCCCCCTCAAAAAGATTCAAAGGAAATCTATGATATCATATTTAATTTTATAGATAGTCTTACTGTGGTTAATTATATAAGTTTGTATCTCTTCTAGAAAAAGCTCCTTGCTATCCCGTCTCGTCCTTAGCCTCGCTTCTGGCCCGCTAGTGCCTTGAGCGATGATGTCATTTTACGGGCAAAGTTTTTTTTGCCCCTAGCCGACTTGCGCACAAGCCAATTTTCGACCTCGAGCAATGCGAAACGCGGCCTGTGATTGGCTTATTTGGCGGAATTCGGGGCAAGAAAATTTTGCCCATAAAATGACATCATCGCTATACAACAACCACATCTATATATGCTTTTTCTTCTGCGCTCCATGACGATCAACATCGAACCATGAATACAGTGAATAATTTGCAAACTCGACCTTTCTTTCGATTATCGCAATATTGATGGTCTGCCCTCCCAACTGTGAAAGTCACGAGCCATCACTGATCAATATCAATTATTATCAACAAACTTTAAACTTCTCAGTAGAAAAGAGGCTTTCGGGTTGCTTTTAGTGAAGGTCCCATGAAAATAATAATATGTAACACATTAGATTCTACACATACAATTGTCTGTTTCATATCATGCTCAAAGTTTCCTTGAGTATAGCCCCAATAACCCCTAAACATTACCACTTGGACAATACACATCTCCTACCCTACATTCCAAAATTACCACAAGACTGCCAAGCTAATAGGTGAAACTCTCCTCTTTGGAATGAGACCATCTTACTACCCAGGTGGTCTGCAGGTGGCGTTGAATTCGTAAGCTTTCGAGTATGAGGCGAGAATACTGGCCACTAAACCCACGTTTATGAAAGATTACCGTTTACGTTTACTGTTCAAGTGACAAAAATGTGACGTCACAAAATATAATCTTAGAAGTTATCAGTTTGGAGCTTAAATTCTAAAAGAACGCTATGTTGTTTGTTCTAAGAGTGCTACAGATATGGTAACATTACCAACTAACCTTTACCTATGAATGTACTGTTTATTGGTCTCGGTTCTCAGCTATCTGGATCAGGTGAAAACAACAGTAGCCAGACAGTATAACACCAGAATCTTACTGGTCATGTCTCAGCAAATTTCCAACAGATTTAACTGATTTTGAAGACCTAGTTATTCCTTGTTGCTTCTTAGGTCTATGTGGTCAATATTCAAAAATTCTAAATTTGATTGTAATGACGTTTTTAAGTTGCTATTTTATTTTGATCGCTTTATCATCGTCTGTACATAGCCAATGTCAGCTTACCTTTACAAGCACCACAGTAAGATTTGTGGATGATAAGCATGATTGGCTTCTTTCTAAAGATGAAGAAGTCATTTTGTCAAAAAATATTCAGTAGTAACAAGCGAAGAAAATTCAATATCATTAGCACGTTTATTAAACAAAGCAAAGAACGAAGTATTGTTGTAAGGTCGCAAATATGTTCTTTGAAACATAGCTACCAAAATCAATATATTAGAGCCAATTGTATACGTTTAACCTCAATACGGCCTCCAAATTATGAAATAAATAGTTAAAATTTGACTTGAGATTTTTGTTTGTTTATCAGACTGTTTAAGTAAGTTTTCTAGATTGATTGTATTCACCACCTTAATCATGTATGTTATTAAGGGAATACTCACTCGTTTTTGGCGATGGCAAGACCTTCTTCATAAGGTTTCCAGTCAATATGAGTACCCATTCCTTCATGAAAAAGGGAGATAAGAGCAAAATTAAAGCATAAAATTTCTAAGCTGTCTAAGCATTGATTGAGAATAAGATATCATGCGAAAGATCGATAGAGTGAATCAACTTCTTCAATTCCTACAAACCTCTGTCTAGTGAAGGTTTGACGGTGGCCATGTGTTCAAGTACCCTGTCCATGGACTTGATAACTGTAAAAGAATTCAAATTCACCATTGCCAATAGATACACTTTTAGAAAACGAAGTTGAAAAATAATGGCTTGATCGCACATTTTAAGAGTACGAGCCTTCACCAACCGTCATCATTGATTTAAGGTTAGGGAAAATTAGCAAAAATACAATTAAGGAAAAATGATACACTCACGCTCTTCAGGCTCTCCGTAGTAGAACTTGACATGTTTGTGTTCAGTTTCAAGGTTCCAGTGGTCCTTCAGTATTTCACCATTGTTGTCTGAAATTTTACATATACATAATTATGTTCTGCAGAGAGACAGATTTCAAGAAAATGATTGTATCTTGATTGTAAAGTTATTGCATCCATATATACGGCTTTAGCCAATAAATGAAAAAGAGACTTACCTAGAAAGACTATTTTTGGATAGTACTCTCCGTCGATATCAAAATCTTTCTTCTTGACAACTCTTTCCTCCTAAAATTTATAAAAGTTAGATTATTAGTATCGAAAAAACGTAACAATCAGAAATCGGTGAATTATACCCGCATACAAAGTCAGTGTATGTTTTGGCTCTTACGTCGGAATTGACCATGATGAAACTTTTGCTTTTCTCTAGAAGATCTTTGGAATCAGCGATCTTTGGCTTCAGCCCTAGAAAACAAAGTGGTTGCTATGGCTTACAAAGGAATATGCAATTCATGATACACTTTCTTTTTATTAAACTTTCTTTACATTCTTTGACCTTTCTCTTTATTGTTGATAAGCTGTAAGTTAGGATTTGCTTTACGAGTTGATGTTCATCTAAATTTGAATTGTTAGAACAAGCTTATTGTTTATAAGAGGAAATCCTGAAATTTATATGAAAAATTAATAGCACCACAAAATACAAAGTATTTTTGTTCGGTCTTACATGCAGTTTTAAAGTTTCGTCTAGTACCTACCGACTACTTGATTAAGACAGGAGCGAAGGACAGATGTTAATTTTACGTCTATTTGTTGTTTTAGTGAATATTTAGAAAGCTTTTTCGCAAAAATGACTTGGCATTTTCAAATGTAGGGAGAAAAGCGGCATTTAAAAATATTTCAGGCCTTACTTTGACAGGCACCACACCAGTCTTGATGTATGATCAGAAGAATTGCTTTACCACTGCAAAGAACGTATAGAGGTTTTAATATTCAAAGGTGTTTACAGATTTCGAAACACCCAAGGAGAGCTTAACATGATTGTTTCGGTTAATTTGCATCGATACTGATTCTACTAAAGTTGCAAACGGTTTTAGCGCTTTCCTGACAGTTACCCAAGATATAAGGATAGAAGTACTGTATGTGAGGTAACTGTTGCAAGGCATTGCTTGTAAATGGGACATTCTAAAAATGATCTTGTCTGCTTTTCCATTGTAAGCTTCCACTATAAACAGAAATTCTTATTGGATTCAATAAATGAGTTACAATTAAGACAAAACTCATCAAAAGGTATTACCTCCTCTTTGCTTCTTCCAGTGCAGAGTCGTAGCTCATCCAGGCATAATCTTTGCCAAAACCTGACAAAACCAAGTCAAAGTATAACAACAGCTACTATGTTACCCAAAATTATGTCACAAGCGTACTGACAGGATTTCCCTTCACTGATTTTCAGATAAAGTGATTGAGAAATAAATCAATCAAGAATGATTAAAAATAAAGAAGAAACATTTATGAGTCGTGATAAAGTACTGTTACATTTAGTCTTTAACGATATAAAAAATGGCTGTATTTATGAACAAAGCAATGATGTTGCTGCCTTAGTAAGGTCGAGTGTTTAGCTGTAGTATCAGCTTGTGATATGCTATTTATCACTGTTGTCTCCTTCCTTCGTTTCATCGCTCTACTCTCGCTGTCTTCCGTTGGATTAAAAGCTGTAATTACCTTGATCCAGGGAAGTCTTGGCCAAAGCCTTTTTCATACTCTCCACAACTTGGTCGGCTTTCTTGTAGAAATATCTTGTTTTTTGTCCGCCATTGGTGATTCCACTCAGTACATTTCCTTGTGAGTCTACAGCAAATTAACAGACAAATTGATTGCGGTTGTAAGGATTCGTATATGTCTAAAAACGTCCCATTTCAATATGACTAAACAAAGCCAATTTCACTAAATGAAAATTGTGGCAAAATTTGAAATTGAAACTTACAAATGTTCCTTGTGCATCGATAAAACATTCAAAAGACTCGTAAAGGGAAATGAATGAATTTTTCAAGAAGACATGCCTAAATCAATATGAACTAGAGAACTGTTCCAAGCTAGTCGTTATCTTTAATCGCGTTAAGCCCCCATCTCGCGACACACCATTATTTATTTTCTTGAAACAATTAGATTTTCAATCCCGCTTCAAGAAGCACATCTGCTGGTTTCTGTCCTAAAAGAGCTTGTAGGATACAAAAAGAAAACCAAAACAAATTTAAAATGTATGTAAATGTCTCCCAATAGTTGGGAAATCACTTCATATACCCACCTTGAAAGATAATTCTTGGAGCATACTTTCCATCTATGTCGTATTTAGGGTCCATTGGAGCGTTATCATCCTGTGGATAGCAATGTATTTTTTCTTAGACAAGACAATCCATATAACCCTTTAATAACCCTTTAACGAGAAGACTGATGATGTTAAAAAAACAAAGAAAAGTAGTGCACTTATGGCTTTTTGTGAATTTGAGTGTTGTCAGCAAATGAAAAGTTTCAGTTGCTGAACCAAAGATTGTTTAAGGTAGAAGAAATTACTTACAATAGCAGCTGCCATATGAAACTCTTTGCTAAGTACTTTGAACTCTTCATTTTTCAAAAAGTCATCAGCAAGTTCTGAAAGAATAAAGAAATAAAAGATGAACTGTATCGTTTCGTTTTATCAAAGTTTTCTTACAGTATTTAGATGTTTGTTTGGGAATGAGTACGAATAAAATGGCTTATAAAGGAAATATATTCAACGTGGTTTAAGATCTGTGTGACAACATTCTTGGTCTGAAAAGTTTATTCAAACGTTTAAACCTGTAGGTCGTCGTAAAAAAGGCTTTTTGTAAACTTCTATGATCTGCATTACTATAAGCTCAGAAAAAGTATGACTGATAAACAAAAGAATGAAAAGTTTACTCACTGTGGCATGGCTTGCACCAACTTTTTGAAATGAAAAGCAAGATCAACTTATTGCTGAAAAAGATCAGTGGACTTTATCATTTAAAGAAGGCATGATATCGATAAAAGTAAATTGCTAAAAACCTAATGTTCATACAAATTCAGCGTACTTGAGAAAAATGTCTGGGTCGGCCGTCCGTTTATATAATAGTTTTCATCTTCAAATATTTCAATCAAGACTATTACAGAGCGAAATGAGCATGAAGTACTGCCTGGAGTGGAATTTGCGCTCCAAGTCAAAGAGGTTGAGTCCATGACTGAGACAGTATTGATTATAGGACATTTTGCTTATTTCCATATTCACTGGATTCTTGATCAAATGTTAACTGAAGTTAATAAGAGACTACCGGCGCACCCTGCAAATCATTTCATATCTGATTGCAAGAGTATCTGCAATTTAGAATATGGGCACTGTAACCTCGTTATTTTGAACATCAAGTCTGGGGTATCTTACTGTGTTAAAGACATCCCAGTATAAAGCCATGGGTGCACGGGCAACTTCAAACCTCACCCGTTAATAAGTATCTATATATTCGTTTTATCCCCTTAATACAGTTAGTGTCTGCTGATTTTATCAAAGGGGTTATGAGTTTTCAAATAAAAGAAAAACGAATTTTCGAGCAGTGACCCTTGTTGTATTATAAGAACCATTTGAAATTTCACAACATAAACTTGCCAAAGACAAAGACCAATTACGCATAGAATTTGATTGTTACGAAACAATTGTTTTCTACACGTGCTTTCAATTATGCAAATTGCTGGTGCCAGCTAAATCGCTTCTTTGGCACTTTTGTAAACATGTGCGATGCACTTGTTTTGCTTAAGGTTAAATGCTTTTTATCACTTTGTCAGTATCAATACTAAGCACCCGTAGAAAGAAATGCTCCTTTATTGTTGGCCATAAACGCACGCCCACCCCAGTTGCAAGCTGCGATTGCTCTTACCTGCGCTAAAATAAATCTGCTTGCTTGCTTCATTAATAAAAAATCTTGCTAGATCTAGACCGTTGACTATATCTGGATCTACTAAAGTACAAATGTATTCAATCCAGCTTATAGCTCTTAAGGTGCCTAAAACTTTGTATAATTCAAACCCCACATTTAGGAAGGTTTCTTTTCCCCAAAAGTACATGCTATTTCCTACGTATGAACAAAAATCGTTACATTCTGTACGTTATTTTGGTTCAAAGATCTGGAATTTACATCCACAACATAAATAGACTATTGATCTCTTGACAAAAGTGGGTTTTTGTAATAAAGACTGATGCTGAGCATGTACTAAAAGTAATCGATTCTGTCCATTGTGCAATCTTTTAAGTGCTTCATGTCAGCGTTAATTAGTTGAATAACCATTCTCTAGCAAACATTTAATAGCTTTGATGATTGTGATGATGATGATGATGATGATGATGTTGCTTTCTTTGCTGTTAAGCAGAACTGTTACCAAACAAGGCCTGTTATTTGATGACTTTTTCATTTTAATGAAGATTATGATTCCCAACTGAACTGTGTGAGTAGAAGGGGACCGTTGCAAGTCACTTCTCAAACATTCACACTTGAAGCGACCATCAGACAAATTCGCTAATCGCCAAATCATATCAAAGTCTGGACACATACCACAACAACACAGCAAAAATTATCGTTGGCCGCCACTCTCGCTACTACGCAGTTTTCAAGCAAAGAAAAGCCCTTCACCCTGCCTAACGTACTTGGGCCGACATCAATCGCGGTAGAAGCAGTGGTCTTTTGGACCTAGCCTTCTACATTTTCAACGTCATTGTTTTAATTCCGTTTAATTGTAAAAGAAAAACGTAGATCTGTCTTACTCAATAGCAGCATCTTCCACCGCGAATTCCAGACGCTTCCAAGCAACATCTTTTCCCAAATCTATCTTCTTTGCCTCTTCTAAATGAGAAACATCCGGTTAGTCATATTCCCATTTGAGGATTTGTTTGAAAGCAACAGTAAATTCAAAAAGCAAAACTAATAACCCATCTTCTTTGTAACACTACCTATAGGAGCAGAACTGCTTGAATTAAATAAGATTTGGCATACCTTTTGTTTCGGCGTTCGAGTTTTGCTGAAACACAAGAACTATAAGGGCTACGATAGCAAAAAGCTTAGCCATGGTTGTTTCCAAACGACTTTCCAAGAAGAAACCCAGAGACTGATAATCTTTTAAAAAGAGTGAGCTCGGCCTGGTTCACACGTGTGTTTCACAGGTACCGTGGCATTGAAACGTCCTGCGATTTAATGCTTGCTGCTGGTATTTCTTATTTGTTTGAGTCCGCCTTTGGTCTTTGAGATAACGGAATGTATTTGTAGATCAAAAAGCCTTGTAGGAGTCGTTGGTACCCGCATTTGTCAAAAAACAGCTGCATGCAACAAGGAACGTTCTCTCTACAGAAGCACGGATTTTTCGCACATTGGTCAATAGAGAAGATTTGTAGGACATAAAAAGAGTAAACTGTAACGAATAACATATGACAATAACGCTCAGTTTTCTTGGCGTCTAAACAACTAAGACTCAACGTAATTTTGTTACAGGGTTTGAATGTAAATTCATTCTTAGAAAAGTGTAGAAAACACTGATGGAATGGTATAGGCGTCTTGGATTCACATGCAAGGTGTACCATACGAAGATCAATCATCTGATTCCTCGTCATTATTGCCGTAACTGATCTATCCGCCATCAACATTGTCACTATCTCCATAATATTCTATCTTCAGAAACCTTTTTTCCAGATATTTCTAATCATTATGTCGACCATTACAAAGTTCTGGTGTTACCCTACATTGCGCTTTGTTCGGTACATTTTTGAAACTTACACTTAAGGGTATCGGCAGCCATTTCATCTGCAAAGAAAGTTGTTTTGATCATCATCATCATCATCATCATCATCATCATCATCATCACCTCTGGGTCCCCAATCTCCATATTTTCCTGTCTAGCGCATCATCCTTTACTAGTCCATTCTCAGCCATCATTTTTTCAGACGATCTGTACTAGTATGTAGGTGCCCTAGCCCCTCCCAAGTTTTATATTCCCTATATTCCTGAGGGCCTCATTCACTGCCGCAGTCAATTCTGATCTTATGACATATCCATACTATTCCAGAGTCCTCTTCTTCCATCTCCCACCACTCCCTCAACACTGAACCTTTTTAAGATTACAAGACATTCAAAACAATTTCAAAGATTGCATAAAATGGACTATTTACTGCAGAAAAACAAACATGCTTATTTGGGACAATCAACAAAGTATTAATAAAGTTTCATTTTCGGCTGTCTTTTTTATTTTGAGAATAAATTCCAGATTTGAATCTGGAGGTGGATCTGAAACTTTGTTTGTTAAGTCTAACTAATCGCATATGTATGGTAGATTCTGTCGACTTTGTAGGAAGTTTTACTTGTACGAAAATGAATATTTGAGTAGCCAAGTTGTAATTCTCGCTCAGTTTTTCTATTTTATCGTTTCATATTCGTATCAATAAGTAATAATTTCTAGAAGATAATATCAATTAATCCCAGAGCTCCAACATCTTGGTTTTTAGAAGCATCACGGAACAAAATTGTTTATAATGTCTTTTCATAAAACTTATCAATTTCTCAAAATGTATAGAAAGGTAAGTTTTGACTTATGCAAAAAAGGGTACTGATTTAAAGAAGAAAGCTTACAGAGGTTTCCTCTCTAGCATCGTGTTTTAAAAGTAGCATCAATTGATGATTTTCATTACATGTCCTTTTAATATTTTTTACTATAGGAGAATGTGTCTAGAATTTTGTGCTTTTTTGCAAATAAGTACTGACATATTTAGAATGGCCTCGTTTGATTACTTGTGCCAAGTACCCCAGTCTAAAATAGGTAAACACGCATATTTTAAGGAACCTATCCCAAAGTCTAGTAATATGGGCGTACACGCTTTTCAATAAGGAACCTAACTCAAAGAAGTACTTCTTTTTGGGCCTCTTTTGATTGACTTCTGGAACCGAAAATTCTTTAATAATTTTTTTAATTTAACTGCACATTTGCGGCCATAATTGTGCATAATACATTGAAATTCTTTTTTAGCGTCGCCAGATTCTTAATTGTGGCTAGAAAACAAGGTGAAACATAGAAACGTTCAATTTCAACCTGAGCATGCTTTTGGAAAAATTCTAAGGAGTAAGAAAAAACCTGATTACTAGCCGTTATTGAATGAAAGGAACGCGATATGCAGATAAAATGTTATGGAATAAATGCTATTTCTCAATGTCACTACAAATAGCCTAGCTTAGGCCCAGTTCATACGCCGCATTTCTGCCGCAGCGAATTAAAGTGCAATTAGATGCGACTGTATTTTCCTGACGTATGTGTTTTGTTTCAGACACCGAATTTAATTAACCCCTGTCGAACTTAATGTGGTGCAAAATCCTGCGCAGCGCCACTGATGTGATTCTCTTGTCTAATTCCTTCATGACAAAATGGCGCCAACAAATCAGTTCGTGGCCATTCTTAATACGTTGATGAATAACAATAACATGCTTGTGAACATCTTCTTCTGACCGCTCTGCAAAGAAGGCAGGCAATATTGTCGATTTCGTTTCAAACTGTATTGTTGATGACAAGCAGTCAGAATCTGTATGCTAGGTTTTCCCACTCTTGGTTTTCTCGCAAAAACGATTGAAGTTTCGATCGAAAGGCAGCCATCATAACCAAAGACTGTGGGATTCATAAATTTTGGCGGGCACAGCACAACTAGACGCATGCGTATTGCTATTTTATCACTCTTCGACCAATCAAAATCAATATCAATCACAACTTTCATTGAATTCGCTGCGGCAGAAAGGGGCGTCTGAAACCAAGCCGCATGTCTGCTGAAATTATTATTTAAATGCAGCAGAGCTGCCGCATTTCTACCGCATTAAATTGATAATTTCTTGTTAGGTTTCAGACGCCGTATTTTTGCTGCATTTAATTGACACTTAAACTTTTTCAGACTTGTCAATTTAATTCGCTGCGGCAGAAATGCGGCTTATGAACTGGGCCTTAATTTTCTAATGGCAAGCCCAGTGTAATGATAAGGGTTCTTGTCATGACGATGAAGAACCATATAATAACCAAACTCGTCAGTGGAGCGATGGGCTAGGACAACAGGCCTAAGCCCCGAATAGATAGCACACAAAAGTTATCAATGAAGGCTGGTTTTTTCTAACATTTAACGCTTCAACGATTTTTAAAGCACCAAGATATTTTAATGACTTTACTTCAAAAGTCGCTTGCTTCTGAGAAATAACAGATCATTGCAATTTGTTCTGGAAATTATCTAGTGTACCCAATTAGAACTCTCTGCTGGTTCAGATATTCAAGACAAAAGAACGCAAAAGAAAACACAACCGTTTCGCATCTAATTTTCTTCAATTTTCTACCCAACTTTATACTTTAAATCTACACAAAATATAAATTTATACCAAAAAAAAAACAGGTTACAAATTTTACGCCAAAAGGCTTTAACAATAATCAACATATTTTGTAGATCTGCGATATACTCACTTCTCCAGTGGCGGCCTGGCAGGGGGGCCAGGGCCCCCAGCTGACTTTATTATAGGGGTGTCAAAGCTTGTATAGGGCGCTAAAAACTGGAAAAAAGTTTGATACGACCGACTTGTCTGGTTATTAGGTCTCCGCGTTTACTATAACAGGAACGAATACAAACGAGAAGAAACGATAAGGAAACAACATGAAAGGATTTGTGACTTTTCAGAAACGACTAGATCTTCAAAACGAGGCAAGCTTATCCATCCACGTGGGCATTGTCATCTTCGTTGCAGTGGCCTAAGTGTTCGGTCATGTCGTTCTCCACCGCAAAAGCTGTTGTCTTAGATGAGGTTACGGAAACCCAGTGATAATGCTTACTTATGTTTCTACTACGCTAATTTTAGTAAAAGCAACAGAAACTAAAAGAACAAACTCCAATATACTGAAGGAACAAGCTGTATAGGTTGACAATCTACTTCTTGAATAATGTTTTGTTTGGGAGCCTAACCCTAAAGCCTCTATAAAATTTCAGTAAGTTCCTAAAGCAGTTGAATTCAGGGGGGGGGGGAGGCTTGATTATTAGCCGAGAATTTAAATTGCTTTATTTCGACCTTCCCGGTAGCTGGTCCATGTTAATCCCAATGCCAGTAAGATTTGCTCTTACAATGCTGGCACTTTATATCAGGCTTTCATAGTATAATTCCTCTTACAAAATTACCATATCAACATCTACTATCATAGCTATTATTGCCGGATTTCCACTGAATAAATAAAATTGTGCCGCAGTTTAAATTTTTCCAAGTCGTTTCTACTTGTTTCTACTTGTTTCCTAGTTGTTTCTTACTTGTTTCCTAGTTGTTTCTACTTGTTTCTTCTTGTTTCTAGTCATTTCTACTCATTTCCCGTTATAGTAACCACGATGATTAAAAAGATCGAGGACAACGTCAAGGTCAAGCATCTAGGCCTATTTTTGCTGAATATCAAGGAATTATCTTGTTAAAAATGAAAATAGCTACGCATTTAATACTTATCACAAGGCCTGCGTCAATATATCACGAAAAATTTTGCGACTGCGTCTTTTGGTTTAGCTTAAATTACATTCCAGAAAATTTCTTGGAACTGTCGGCTTTGAACTTCAATTTAATGGTTCTTATAAAAGAAGTTAACTATTATTCGACAGTTTCAAAGTGCCGACAGTTCCTTTTCTTTTTTTATTGAGCTGCCGACGGGTTGTCATTTGGAACTTTTGGGGAAGCATCTGCCCCCCCCATGACACCCCATAGCGCCATCCCTGTTATGAAGGGCACCATCTTGCTGCTGCCCCCCCCCCCCGCCCGGCGAAAAAGGCCCGGCCTCCACTGCACGTCTTTATCGAGAAAAAAAATGATTTAATCTTGCGGCGAGAATTAGAAGGAATAACATTCGCTTCAGGAAGGAATATCATCAGATAAATCTGTTCTCCACTCAACGCCTCAAGCTACTTGTGGTAATCTTCTAACACACATCAAATGCTGTAAATAAATAAAGCCTGATCCATCATATACATACGTTTTCTGTCTTTAATTTTGCATGTAGTTGAGAGGTTAGGGTCGCTGATTGGTAAACAACCAACCAACACGTGGATATATATTTTCTGCTTATTTTCGGTCACCGCTAGTTCGTGCCATCTTCAAATATATACGCTTATAATCTGTAATTAATTTACCATTTAATTTTTATCAACAAGGTA